GTAGAAAGAAAAATACATTAAATAATTGCATACGACGATTACATTTTACTAAGTTTGTTTAAGTGTGTTTTCTCTCTCGCTGTGTCCTTGTGTTGTCGCTATAGTATTTCCTGTAGTCACGAAAGCTGCAAATCTCTCATTGACATGCTAATTTCTCTAACCCCCCGACATCGTTGTTTCTCTGTGTGCCTATGTTGTGTGTCTCTCTCTCTGTGTCACTGTGTTATGTGTTATCTCTCTCTGTGTACCTATGTGTATGTCTCTCTCTGTGTTATCTCTCTGTGTGCCTATGTGTGTGTCTCTCTGTGTCTCTGTGTTATCTCTCTCTGTGTGCCTATGTGTGTGTCTCTCTTTGTGTCTCTGTGTTGTCTCTGTGTGCCTATGTGTGTCTCTCTCTCTCTGTGTCACTGTGTTATGTGTTATCTCTCTCTGTGTACCTATGTGTGTGTCTCTCTGTGTGTTATCTATGTGTGTGTGTCTCTCTTTGTGTGTCTCTGTGTTGTCTCTCTCTCTGTGCCTATGTGTGTGTGTGTCTCTGCTTGTAAACAGTCTATGTGTCTATATGTCTGTGTTTTGTCTCTCAAATTTAGCAATCTTTGGAAGAACGTAATCAACCAGGTAGGGTGTTGACTGTTATGTTGCCGACTCTCTGTGTTGCATTGCATTACATTTCTAAGTTTACTAGGTTTGTTTTCTAATTCATTCGTAGCTGATGATGATTGCTTGTTTTGCAATCGAAACGTCGTATGGCATTATTTAATTATTTTTGATTTCTACGTGACTTTACCGAAAGAACCAAAGAGTAATTCCTGCAGTAACGGAAGCTCCAAATCAAGTTTGTATAAACATCGCCACGAGGGAGACAAAAGTGGCCGAGCGTGGTGCTGGCCACCTTGGAAGCCTTCCGGCTTTTGTAGGTGCTCGTAAACAGCACTTGTCCCAGAAGTCTGTGTGAGTGAATCCATGTCGATTACAAATATTAAATGCTACTGTTATTTAATTTTCATACTTATACCAGATTACCAGTCAAGAGTAACATTAATATTTTGTCCTTTAACGAATACAATTACACAAAGTATAACGAAAAAATAGTGCATTTCAATATTAGAAAGGTAAATACATGATGATAAACACATCACAGACACAATCACAGCACGGAGACCCAGTAATAAACAACCATAATGATTCACATGGATACATATTTGCTTGTACATTAAGCCTTGCTTTGCCACGTATATACAGTCTTCCGAAGTAATGAAGTACTGACACGCAGCCTGCTATGCTGGCAAATAGCAAGGTGTTTGAAAGGTCATATCACCCACAGCGAGATTTAAACTGCCTTGATGTGGTAATGCGTCACCTCAATTTCCATTACACAAAGTATTCACGAGCATCGTTGTGGAGAATATAAGAAACAACAACAATAAGCAGACAATTCACCTCTTTCACAAAGCTGTCCCTCCAAATCAAAAACACAAGTACAGGCATCCCTCGATTCACGAACGCTCGGTTGACTAAATTTGGCGTTCATGAACTTTACAAATTATGGACACTTTTCAATTCACGAAAAAAAATGTTCGCGTGATCGGAAGTTCACAACGGCACGCGCCACGACATCATCAAACAAGAAGCCACCCGTGAGGCTGCGTCGTCATCCATCCACAACATTGTCACGGTGTCCTTGCCGTGTAACAGTAACGCCTCCACATCGCCTTGCCGGTCATTCCAAAATGCAGCAGGTATTTTGGCGAGTTCCCTGAGATGGTTAGTTATTTTTGTTTTAAAATCATTATTCAATCGTTGCAATATTAATGTTCTTTATTATTATTTTTGTATTTTGAAAGTGCTATACGTGTACATTTTTAGGTTGGGAGTATAATTTCAATGACTGTCCGAAACCCATCCATAATTTTTAGAATTTAATTAATGGGAAAATCCATTCCGATTCAAGAAATGTCGATGTACGCGTTTTTTTTTAAAGAACGCATTTCTTTCGTAAATATAGGGTTACCTTACACCACTTTGTGCCCTTCCATCAACCACACAGCCTTCTGGGAGTACACTTGTGGTTAATAGGTGGTGTAAAAATACTTGGAGAGAAGATCTATGAAGAGATATCTTGTCTGCTTATTTATTTCGATACTTATATTCTCCACAGTGACACTGATGATTATGTTGTGTATTATATAAGTTTGCATGGAACTTCACAGAGAGGGCCCTTGCCTTTGGCATCTGGCAGTTCACCAGCATTGGTTCAAGCTTGCGTGGCTGCGAATGTGACACCATATGGCTAATCTATTCAACTACACAATTTTAATTTTATTTTAGCAGGTAAGTCCCACTGTGATATACAGCTCTTTTCATAAGCGACCTGGCCACAAACGGAAGCTCAACGAAGTGACTCATCACGTGGACATTTTTATCAGCCAAATACTCTAAACAGCACACATACGATCTGTCCAGAGTGTGCTTTAATGAATGAATGCTGATGTAAATATATATTCCCAGAAGGGATTGTAGTTGACAGGAAGTGTAACAATTCTGTTATTTTTGTTATGTGTACAGACAGATATAGGATATACATTGTATTCCAATCTCCATTCGGCTATCTAGATAGCTTACTATCTTAAGTTAGCCTCGAAGACAACACACAAGGGCTTATTCTAGTGAAAACTCTCACAGGATCTTGAATATCTTCTAACGTCCACACTCAGTTTCATGTCTGAAGGACAATTGTATTGCGGTATGCATTGAGTTAACACCGCATACGCATGAATCAGCAGATGAAGAGCATACATTCCTCATGCTAACTCAAACATGCACATGACGATAAAATCCATTGCTAAATAATTAGTGCAGGGCAGGATATACAAAGTGTCAACAGCAATTTATAGATTGAAAACTAATTTCTTTAGAACTGCTTTTTTGTGTTTAGTTTGTTGTCCTTCCCTCTCACCTCCAACTAGCACAGTTGCCTACGTACATACATACAACACACAACAATGTATTGTGTATTCTTGGTTCTTTCGGTAAAGTCACGTAGAAGGGAAACAATAAAATAATACAAATACAAACCAATATATTTTGGAACTGGCAAAGGAGGTCTAATGATGTAAACAATACAATTCTCACGACGTTTCGACTGCAACACATGATGATTGCTTAATCATCATCAGTTGTGAAAAACACAGCAATATCTTTTTTGCTGTGTTATGAATCCCTGCAGTCACGAAAGATTTAAATCAAAATGTGTTGTGTATTGTTGAATTCAGTGATGGTGACTTAAGATGACAACAGTGCAGTTCTTCAGGAACTGGTGGCGTTGCAAAGTGCTTAAGGCTGAGAGCTTGTTTTACACACACAGTACACGCTACTGTGTGTTGTTGAAACCTTCTGCATGTTGACGGAACGTGTGGGCCAAGTTTTTAGTCTAATCAACAACAATACCCTCATACTTAGAGCATTCCAGTGCTCATTTGTGTTGGTGAATCAGTGAGTCATTGGTGTCCATTGCACATTCCTATGGCAGGGATCAGTTTATCCACAGTACAGCCACTACTGACTTCCCACAGAGCGAGGGGTGATGGTTCGAGTTGATCCCCGATTGGGGATCAGAACTCTGAACCTTACAATTGCGAGCCGAGTATTCTTGCCACTGCACCACCCAGCCTGACGTGCCAGAAACATCCTCATACAGGCCCATTCGCGATAGAGGGGGGAAATATATCCGTTATTCATTTCCCTTTCCCAGAATGATTTCAATTCCATGAAAGAAATGGGATATGTAACCAGTACATCTCATGGCCTTTCTGGGAATTCCCCAGGTCGCACAGTCACAACTATTCCCGGCTAGTTAAAGGCAGCACATAAAAATAGAACAAGTATATATATTTTTTCAATCTCAGTTATGATCGGTAACTCTGGAACACGATGGAGTGCTATGTACTCTGTAATTACGTGAATTCTTGTGGATATTTTCAGAACAAAAACGTCACGATCATCACCCCACCCTATAATCACCATATATCTCCATATATATAAAAGGCAAAGTTGTGAATATGTGTCTGTTCAAAATATTTAGTGTACTTCCCGACATGCAACAAATTTGAAATTTGCCATGTGGGTACTTTCCAGACTGTACACCATGCACAAATTATAAAAATACATTTGTTTATATTTTTTGTGGGGGGGGGGAGCTCAATTATGCTTATATTTTTTGCACGGCAAGTGAGCTGTGACGTCAAATCTGTCACGTGACCCGCGCATGTGGAAGCGTAACGCATTGTAGTGTCGACTCAGCCTTAAACGAGTAACTGGTGTGGTGTGTGAATATCGCCACTGGGGAGACAAAGGCGGCCGGGCGTGGTGAATCCAAGTCCCCGGCGAAGCCGGGTAGTAAAGCTAGTATATGTATACAGTACGCTGACCAGCAGGTTTATTCTTGACGATGCTTATTGGTGCTCTACCTTGTCAAGAATCATTTACAAAAAACGAATGGGAGGAATGCACATCAACGATGGTTAGTTCCTCTGAAAGAATCTTCCACATACGTTAATCACGTCCTTAAAATTTTCCAGAATACATTTCCCTCCCAAATTGTTTTTTTTATCTCCCCACCTTAAATCTAAATGAAGACCAAAAGTCATATATTTTTTAAAAACTAAAAAAAAAAACACGCTTTCATGAAATGTACCGTACTCGTAATGGCAGGACTCCACTACTCCCGGAAGTGGCCCCGAATCTTGCCATAACGTGAGGGGCCGTGGTCATTTACAGCCAACGTGAGTTGAGCGTGGACAATTAGAGCCAAGCCGAAACATAACATATAAAAAAGACTGTTTATTTTTTTATTTTTAATGATAGAATATAGTATTGTCGTCAGGATAAGTATACCAAGTTTGCAGTCGATACCACATTGGGAAGTGGGTTAACAACAACAGACAGAGTTAATAGAAAGCGTGTAAAAATATTGTTTAAAATATATATTACTTTTTATGATAGAATATAGTATTGTCATCAGTACGACATAAGTATGCGAAGTTGCAGTCGATACCACATTGGGAAGTGGGTTAAAACTGAGTGACAAGATTTCAGGATACGACAGCAACAGACAGTGAGTTAAATGAAAGCGTGCAAAAAAAGGTATTTAATCAGACAACATTGCTAGAGGAAGGTTTATACTGGAAGTCTATTCTACACATTGTATCGATCCACCTCACGCCTTTCAGACGAGCTCTGCCCATCAGTAACTGCATTTTCCAGCCAAAAATCTTCTATAGGAACTTTCTCCACAGAGTGCATTCATGTTTACGTTTACATCACTTAAAAACAAAAAAATCGATAGATGCTTGCACTCTGCGAGAAAGAAGGGTGACATGGGGAGAGGGGGAGATATTGTAAATGTTAAACTCTTGCCCACTGTGTTAAACTAAAGAGAACAAATATTATTTTGAAAGAAAACTTATGGAGTGCACCACTGTTAATCCCCTGACTGTTTCTGTTATTTTCGTGACCCGATGATGAATTACGTAAATGTTGACCTAAATTACAATCCTCCACACCACGTTGAGACAAGCAGTGATGGTGGCTTACATCTGGACGGCTGACTGCAACCACACGCTTATGACCACCTGCGCACATCACAGATTCTAACATAGCCTTTTTAGTATTATCTTTCATCCAGTGAACAAGGTGTAAAATATGTTTGCATTTACAGTTCCAAAAGTTAATTGTGAGATTGATTCCCTCGAGACTGTTGAGTGAATTAAATGTACCTTTGTGGATTTCAGATAAATTGTTGCTTGACAAGTTTAAAAACCTGAGCTTCTTCAACGAATTAAATGCACTCTGGTGAAGACATCTCAGCTGGTTATTGTTCAGATGCAGCTGTTCTAAACCAGTCAAGGGAAGGAGTAAACTTCTGTCAAGGATTTTCAGTTTATTGAAGCTGATAAAAAGTTTCCGTAAATTTGTGAGGCCGTAGAATGTCTCATTGGAGAGTGATGATATCTCATTATGACTAAGATCTAATAGTTGTAATTCTTGCATTGTATAAAAGGCTTTGGCATTAATGAATTGTATATTGTTGTGTTTCATGTTGAGGATTCTTGTGGTTTGTGGTACACCTGGAGGTATTGAGCAGTACTTTTTATTAGTGCAATCAACGGTTTCATTTCTACAATGACAACCATAAAAAGGGCACCTAAAATCGTCTGCAGGAGAAGCAATACTTGTTTTGATTGCCGGGATTGTAGGAAATGTCTTACTGTCATTGGTCATTACCTCAAAGTCAAGATCCTTAACATCTTTAACATACATAAGGCCTGTAGAACAACTCACATCGTCGTATTCATCAAACAGGTCTTTGTGGGTTTTGATCCAGTGACTCAAGTACAGAACATCTATTTGCTGGCAGTTCCACGGGTTATTGTACAATCGAATCATGATAAGATTGGAGAGCCGATCGAATCCACCCCATGGGATGCTCTGCAGGAGGTTGCCGTGAAGTGAGAGCATCTGAAGTCGTGGGAAGTGGTCAAAGGTGCCTCGGCTGACATTCCGTATGCTGTTGTCGTTTAGGCACAGACGCGCGATGCTGTCGCTGTTGGGGAAGTCGGTGTGTGAAAGGTAGGTCAACTGATTGTAGTCCAGCCTCAACCACTCCGCATCGGCAGGCAGGCCTCTTGGGACAGATGCCAGCATCCTGAAAGAGCAGTCGATGGTGGACCCGTAGCAAGCGCATTCGCCCGGGCACCCGGACGTCATGTGGGGGATGAACAGCAGCAGGGCGAGGCCCAAGAATGCCATGTCTCCTGACGACCCTGAAAAACAAACAAGGGCAATGTATTGCAATGTGTTACAAAGCCTTGTGTTATAATTCAATGTGTTACAATGTTACATGTTACAATACGTGTTATAATGCAGTGTTAAAATACAAAGTGTTATAATGCAATGTGTTACAATACAATGTGTTAAAATACAAAGTGTAACAATCTAAACTAAACGAATCTATTTTTATTTTACGAGGTAAGGCATACTGAGCTATACAGCTCTTTTTTCAGAAGCGAGCTGGCCACAAATGATAGCTCAATAAAGTGGCTTATTATGTGGAAATGTATAGCAGCCAAATACTCTAAACGCATGTTGATTCTAAATATGGAGTGAAAAACCAGTGGACTTGGGAAAATGTCCACACGACCACGGGGAGAACATGCAAACTCCTAATATACAGGCATCAGGGTCGGGATTGAACCCACGACCTCCTGTATACCAGGCGAGGTAGTGAAAACATCGCCATCACGGCGCCCATACAAAGCGTCACAGTGCAATGTGTTACAATGCAATGTGTTACATACAATTGGTTGCTATACAATGCGTTACAATACAATGTGTTGCAATGCATTGTGTTAAAATACAAAGTCGCCTGATGAGACTGTCACCTGATGAGGCTGGTTGTAATTACTGGCGAAACGTCGTACTCGAACTATAAATGTTGTGGGTTCACTCCAATACACCGGTGGCGAACCTTACTAATTAGTTGTGTCGGGTGGTGGCGTGTTTAACGACACATTTATAATTACGACATCTAGCCGAAAACCTCTATAATGGAAAATACAAAATGTTACAATGCAAAGTGTTACAACACAATACATTGTACTGTATTACAATCCAATGTATTACAATGCAATGTCTGCCTTCTCTCTTATCACTTACATATCCTTGCTCTTCGGGGTTCCTCTTATCTCAGTTATTCGGTGTCTCTGTGTGGATCTTTATTTAATTATGTCAATATATTGTTTAAGCAGGAGAGAACTAAAACGACCAGAATGAGTCTAATTTGCAACAGTGGTCACCAATATTACAAACCCAAGCAATGAACCACAACAATAACCCAAATAGAAATCACAACAAAAACAACCAAACAGGAATTAGAACAAAGACAACCGCGTTTAGGAAGATACAACATTAAGTAAAATATTTCACCTGGAAAGTCCCGTTGATCTCAGTTCCTCTTCTCCGTGTCCGTCTGCGTCTCTGTGTTTCTCTCCGTGAGCCGTCGTGGCGGTTAAACCTGCTCAAGTTATTCGAGTCAAATGATTGTTTCGAATAATCTCGAGCTGCAACACGAATTAACCTCTTTCGCGTCTGCTGCACCTTCTCTTGCTGTGACTGCCGTCACGAAACCCGGGAAAGTCGCCGGCTGTGTGTACAGCAGTGACGAACGTTAAGCAACGACTTCCCTCTTTCAGTTTAACACGGAACAAACGTAGCAGTAAATTCCCACTTAATTGTAGAGCACAATGTCATAAGATAATTCACACAAAATATTAAACGTGCGTTTTGGGAATTTAGGAGCTTCTGACTACAGTTGTCTCCCTGCGCCAGGTGAGTGGCTTGAGCTCCAACTGGTGTCCACCACAAGCGACTCAACTCCACTACAAAGCGACTCAATTGTGACACTTGCCACACAAGTTGGGTTTGTGCTGCGGTACAAATGCGACCGCGCACCCCGGGTCTCCGGAGGTTGGATGCAATCGCGCTAAGTGTCTGTCGCTGCTGATGCTGCTGCTTGGTCAACCGCAGCCTGCAAGTGTGGTGGTTGAGTGCGTGAGTGGTGGAGTTGTTGTGACCTGCATTGTGGTGGTTGAGTGGATGAGTGGTTGAGTGGGCGTATTGTTGTGACCTGCAGTGTGGTGGTTGAGTGGGTGAGTGGTTGAGTGTGTTGTTGTGACCTGCAGTGTGGTTGAGTGGGTGAGTGTGTTGTTGTGACCTGCAGTGTGGTGGTTGAGTGGATGAGTGGTTGAGTGGGCGTGTTGTTGTGACCTCAGTGTGGTGGTTGAGTGGGTGAGTGGTTGACTGAGGTGTTGTCACCTGCAGTGTGGTGGTTAAACACAGTGGATGGAGATGACAGTCTGCTTTGAGCAAGCTATTCAGTGGCGTTGTTGCGCATTAACCTACCCGCAGTGTAGCGAGATGGCTCAACTCAGCTGCTGCTGATGAAGCTGCCGCTGTTGCCGGTGACGGAAGTAACACTGACGGCTGCTGGCCGTAGTGCTGATGACGTGCGGTTCCGTGTCCTCCTCCTTCGGCAGGGCAGGTTGCAACACCATAGCAGGTGTCATACTCATAATTATTCAATCTAAACTATTAATTATTCAATCTAAACTAAACTATATATGTTTAAATCAGGTGAGGACCACTGAAATATACAGCTCTTTATTCAAAAGTGACCAGGCTATCACAAATGATAGCTCAACGAAGTGGCTTATCGTGTGGACATTTAAATGACGTCACGCACCTGGGGGGGGGGGGGGGTCAGATATTTGTGACGATGTGTGACGAGGGCGGGGGGTTTGATAAATGTGACGTCAGATCAAAATGCACAACTTTAAATAAATATAGACAACACGTTCTACTTAAATTTTGATTTACAGCTTTCGTGACTGCAGGGATTCATATTCTTGGTTCTTTCGGTAAAGTCCCTTCTACGTGACTTTACCGAAAGAACCAATAATACGTTCTACTTAATTAAATAGACTTTTTAATAAATGTTTTCTCCTTCAACATCAGAATGCAGCGGCACATTAAATACGCACTACAATGACAATAGTTTAAAGTGATTTGAAGCATGCTTTATTTTCAAAATGGAAATATGGTTTGGGGGGGGGCAGAGCTTTGTGACGTCATATTTGAGGGGGGTCTGACTTTTTATGACGCCGTGTGACGAGGGGGGGGGGGTCATTTATGGATGGCCCCTTATAGCAGCCAAATACCGTATTTTCCCGCATATAACCCGCGGGGTATACCACTTTTTACAATTAAAACAAGACCCTGCGGGGTATACAGTGAGGCAAAAAGTATTTGAACCCCTGCTGATTTTGTACGTTTGCCCATTGACAAAGAAATGATCAGTCTATAATTTTAATGGTAGGTTTATTTGAACAGTGAGAGACAGAATAACAACAAAAAACAATCCAGAAAAACGCATGTCAAAAATGTTATAAATTGATTTGCATTTTAATGAGGGAAATAAGTATTTGACCCCCTCTCAATCAAAAAGATATCTGGCTCCCAGTTGTCTTTTATACAGGTAACGAGCTGAGATTAGGAGCACACTCTTAAAGGGAGTGCTCCTAATCCAGCTTGATTAGGAGCACACTCTTAAAGGGAGTGCTCCTAATCTCAGCTCGTTACCTGTATAAAAGACACCTGTCCACAGAAACAATCAATCAATCAGATTCCAAACTCTCCACCATGGCCAAGACCAAAGAGCTCTCCAAGGATGTCAGGGACAAGATTGTAGACCTACACAAGGCTGGAATGGGCTACAAGACCATTGCCAAGCAGCTTGGTGAGAAGGTGACAACAGTTGGTGCGATTATTCGCAAATGGAAGAAACACAAAAGAACTGTCAATCTCCCTCGGCCTGGGGTTCCATGCAAGATCTCACCTCGTGGAGTTGCAATGATCATGAGAACGGTGAGGAATCAGCCCAGAACTACATGGGAGGATCTTGTCAATGATCTCAAGGCAGCTGGGACCATAGTCACCAATAAAACAATTGGCAACACACTACGCCGTGAAGGACTGAAATCCTGCAGCGCCTGCAAGGTCCCCCTGCTCAAGAAAGCACATACATGCCCGTCTGAAGTTTACCAATGAACATCTGAATGATTCAGAGGACAACTGGGTGAAAGTGTTGTGGTCAGATGAGATCAAAATGGAGCTCTTTGGCATCAACTCAACTCGCCGTGTTTGGAGGAGGAGGAATGCTGCCTATGACCCCAAGAACACCATCCCCACCGTCAAACATGGAGGTGGAAACATTATGCTTTGGGGGTGTTTTTCTGCTAAGGGGACAGGACAACTTCACCGCATCAAAGGGACGATGGACGGGGCCATGTACCGTCAAATCTTGGGTGAGAACCTCCTTCCCTCAGCCAGGGCATTGAAAATGGGTCGTGGATGGGTATTCCAGCATGACAATGACCCAAAACACACGGCCAAGGCAACAAATTAGTGGCTCTAGAGGAAGCACATTAAGGTTCTAGATTTGAAGCTTTCGTGACTGCAAGGATCCATACTCTTTGGTTCTATTCGGTAAAGTCACGTAGGTAAAAATAAAATAACAAAAATCACGACGTTTCGGCCACAACACAGAGGTCAGACGTTTCGGCCACAACACACCTGATGAAGGCCACTTGTGTTGTGGCCGAAACGTCGTGATTTTTGTTATTTTATTTTTTACCTACGTGACTTTACCGAATAGAACCAAAGAGTAAGCACATTAAGGTCCTGGAGTGGCCTCGCCAGTCTCCAGACCTTAATCCCATAGAAAATCTGTGGAGGGAGCTGAAGGTTTGAGTTGCCAAACGTCAGCCTCGAAACATTGACTTGGAGAAGATCTGCAAAGAGGAGTGGGACAAAATCCCTCCTGAGATGTGTGCAAACCTGGTGGCCAACTACAAGAAACGTCTGACCTCTGTCATTGCCAACAAGGGGTTTGCCACCAAGTACTAAGTCATGTTTTGCAGAGGGGTCAAATACTTATTTCCCTCATTAAAATGCAAATCAATTTATAACATTTTTGACATGCGTTTTTTCTGGATTTTTTTGTTATTCTGTCTCTCACTGTTCAAATAAACCTACCATTAAAATTATAGACTGATAATTTCTTTGTCAGTGGGCAAACGTACAAAATCAGCAGGGGATCAAATACTTTTTTCCCTCACTGTATGGAGGTGCGGGCTATCCCAAAAATATTTTAAACGTGTCACGTCATAACGCGTTGCATTTTTTCATGGTAGGACTATCCACTATGCAACACTTACCTTTGACTAAAGCACTGCTGAATAAACCACTCACACTAAAATTGCACGTTATCACGTTTTAAATGAATTGTTTGTACAATTAAACGACAATGTTTGAAGTGCGCGCACTGTTTACCGCCGACGGGAGAGCTGGGGGGAGAGGTGGGGGTTGGGGGGTGGGGCAGCTGGGGGGGAGAGAGGTGGGGGTTGGGGGGTGGGGCAGCTGGGGGGAGAGAGGTGGGGGTTGGGGGGTGGGGCAGCTGGGGGGAGAGAGAGGTGGGGGTTGGGGCAGCTGGGGGGAGAGAGAGGTGGGGGTTGAGGGTGGGGCAGCTGGGGGGAGAGAGGTGGGGGTTGGGGTTGGGGCAGCTGCGGGGAGAGAGGTGGGGGTTGGGGGGTGGGGCAGCTGGGGGGAGAGAGAGGTGGGGGGGGGGGGGTTGGGGGGTGGGGCAGCTGGGGGGAGAGAGGTGGGGGTTGGGGCAGCTGGGGGGAAAGAGGTGGGGGTTGGGGGGTGGGGCAGCTGGGGGGAGAGAGAGGTGGGGGTTGGGGCAGCTGGGGGGAGAGAGGTGGGGGTTGGGGGGTGGGGCAGCTGGGGAGAGAGAGGTGGGGGTTGGGGGGTGGGGCAGCTGGGGGGAGAGAGAGGTGGGGGTTGGGGGTTGGGGCAGCTGCGGGGAGAGAGAGGTGGGGGTTGGGGCAGCTGGGGGGAAAGAGGTGGGGGTTGGGGGGTGGGGCAGCTGGGGGGAGAGAGAGGTGGGGGTTGGGGCAGCTGGGGGGAGAGAGAGATGGGGGTTGGGGGTTGGGGCAGCTGGGGGAGAGAGAGGTGGGGGTTGGGGGGTGGGGCAGCTGGGGAGAGAGAGGTGGGGGTTGGGGTTGGGGCAGCTGGGGGGAGAGAGAGGTGGGGGTTGGGGTTGGGGCAGCTGGGGGGAGAGAGAGGTGGGGGGGGGCGAGGCGACGGCGTCACCGTAGTGCCGCTATTGTCTGCGCAGTGCGCAATCTACCAGTGCTAAAACTGTACTTACTTATCTACCAGTTTTGTGATACTTATTTACTGTTTTAAGTTCACTCGTTTCCGGTTAGTTTGTTTTCTTTGTGCACGTTATGATTTTAATGTTAACAATTGATAGTGGAATGTAGTACAAATGTAAACTTCGTATTAATATTATGGAATTAAGTTGCGGTAACGACGTTAAATATATGAATGCATGCGGGGTATATGGAGGTGCGGACTATCTGAAATTTGTTTTACACAAAACGCTATTTTTGCGGGGTATATGCGTCTGCGGGTTATATGCAGGAAAATACGGTACTCTAAAACGCACGCCGATTCTAAATATGGCGGGAAAAAACCGGAGAAAAATCCACGCGACCACGGGGAAAGAGAGAACATGCAGACTCCAAATATACAGCAGCAGGCGCCAGGGTCGGGATTGAATCCAGCGACCTCTTGTACACCTGGCGAGGTAGTTAACATCTCCTGGCCACCGCGGCGCCCGGGAGAGCCGCACCAAGTCTGAAGATTACTTTTCAGGAGGGTCCTGCCACATTGGAATGTTAAGGCCGAAGCACGAATGTCATTGCATGCGTTTGGCTGTGGGAGGAAACCGGAGAACCCGGAGGAAGTCCATGCAGATCTTGGGGGAGAAAGTCGAAACTCCTTCGCGATCAAGGCACCACCCGTGTGAACACAGCGCCACCCAATGGCGATGTCGGTCAACAACAAGGCACCAAAGGGGGCGGTTGAGGGGGTGATCTCCATCTTCCGTTTACAGCCCTGGGCAGACAGTGGCGGATATTCCACGTCCCGATGGCAAAGGGGCTTCTACCATAGGACGGCGCCTGTTAAATTCACCACAAAGTGGGGCTCACACGGCAGTGAGCGGGTGGGTGAATCCCTCTCAGCAGCGTGGAGTCAATACATGAGCCGAATACAACACCGCGCTGTGCTCCAGTACAGGACTTGTGTATTCGAGTTCCATTGGCTGCTATAACGACCGCGCCGCCGGCAAATGAAACGTCTAAATCGCCTCCAACATTAATGTTCGTGCGCTTATTTCTCCAACTGTCTACAATAAATGATGCTCTAATCCAGTGGTTTTGTCTTTGTTGGCTACTTATTGACATTTATTTAAACCGAGTACCCCCCCTCTTGTACTGACCCAACATGGTTCTGAGAAAAAAAATGTATGAATAATGAACGTGAATATTTTTACCAATTGTCTATTATGTGATGTATCCTAAGTAGCTCAGAACTGCAAGCGAATTAAATAAAATCAACAGACGCTCTGCATGCGTTACGTAGATGGTTCATGCTTGCTGGTTACTCTCTGAAACCACATTGCTGACGATGAATGAGTGTAGAAAGGTATTTAATATCGTTATAGGTTACCATATGGATTTAAATTGTATCGTAGTTATTTTATATTGGCAGCGAGCATGCAGAGATCTGATTTGGTGGTGTCCGAGGATCTTGGGTGCCGCGGTCGGCGAGATGTTGACTCTTCCTTGCCTGGTATGGCAAGGAGGTCGTGGGTTCGATCCCGACCCTGACGCCTGCTGCTGTATATTTGGAGTTTGCGTGTCTCTCTCATCATCACGGTGGCTAGGAGATGTTAACTACCTCGCCTGGTCTACAGGAGGTTGTGGGTTCGATCACGACCCTGACGCCTGCTGCTGTATATTTGGAGTTTGCGTGTCTCTCTCTCTCATCATCATCACGGTGGCTAGGAGATGTTAACTACCTCGCCTGGTCTACAGGAGTGCGTGGGTTCGATCTCGACCCTGACGCCTGCTGCTGTATATTTGGAGTTTGCGTGTCTCTATCACCGTGGTTACGTGGATTTTTCTCCGGGTCCTCCGGATTTCCCCTCCACATTTATAAACACGAGTTTAGAGTATTTGGTTGCTATAAATTTCCACATGATCATAAGTCACTTCGTTGAGATATCATTTGTGGACAGGTCGCTTCTGAAAAAGATCTGCATAGTTCAAAGGGCCTTACCTCGTAAAATAAAAATTGTAGTTTTGACTTTAAGTTTGTATACTACGTGTGGATTCACTGCGCAATGTTGTGCCCTGTGTGCAGCGAGCGGTGGAGAGTCGACGACTCAGGTGGTGAGTCGGCGAGGTCGACTCAGCCTCAAATGAGTACCTGGTGAGGTGTGTAAACATCGCCACAAATGAGACAAAGGTGGCCGGGCGCGGTACTGGTCACCCACCTCCATCGCGTACCGTGCCAACCTTCATAGGTGCTCGCTAACAGCACTTGGCCCAACAGTCTGTTAAAGTTATACGGGGGATCTTTGTGGTGGTGAGTGGCGACTCCTGAGTGTCTCGTGTGAAGTCAGTGGTTTGTTTGACTGGTGTCGGGTGAGTGATTGACAAGTGTCTTGTTGATGAGTGGTAAGTGTTAGGTGAGTGACTGCTGTTAGGTGATGGGTATCTGATAAGTACGAGTGGTGATTGATAACTGCGAGTGGTGAGTGTGATTGCGAGGGTCGTATGTGTTCGTGTTGCGGCAGATGAGTGGCGTCAGGTGAGTATCTGGTTAGTCGTGTGTCCGGTGAGTGGTCGGTATCAGGTGTGGTATTTGCTGCCCTCCTGGTCCACGTGATCGGTGCTGCCCTCCTGCATTGGAATAGGTGACAAAGGCTTTGTCGTTGCAGCACCAACGTTTTGGAACAACCTTGTTTCCTCACCTAACATCATAAATCTTCCTTCAGAAATATTATGAAGCAGAAGATTAGTGCTGGATGCAGCCAAATTTGTCAATGGGATTTGATAATTTGATTATCAACAATGTAACTATTTTATTGTGCTATTTTATTGAGGGACTGTGTCTTGGTGTAGTCTGGGATTATTTTTGCTGTTGTTTTACTGCCTTTTTACCTTCTACATATTTTAGTTATTTCAGGGGTGCCACAGTGTTGAGATGTTTTCTTCCTCGCATGGTATGCAGGAAGTCTGTGGTTTCATCCCGATCCTAGGAAGGGATGTTCTCCCAGTGGTCGTATGGATTCCCCCCCCGCGTCCTTTGGTTCTTCCTTCCATTTATTATATATTATTTAGATTATTTTGCTGCTGTACATTTCCACGTGATAAGCCACTTCGTTGAGCTATCGTTTGTGGCCAGGTCGCTTCTAAAATGGCTCACCTGATGAAGGCCGCTTGTGTTGTGGCCGAAACGTCGTGAGAATATTATTGTGTTATTTTATTTTATCAATTTATTATTTTATTCTCATTCTACGTGACTTTACCGAAAGAACCAAAGAAGAAGAACAACACATTTTAGTTTCATGTGTTTCTTTTCTTAAAGTGATTTATTTACTTTTGCTATAGTTTGTATTGCTACGGAAGGATACTGCATCTAAGCTGGACCCAAAGAGTTGACCAACGTAGAAGTAAAATGTTGCACAAAGAAGAAGACCTGATTACAGGCAGTTATGAGAAGGAAACTGGCACTATTTGAATACATATGTAGGATGAATACAACATTAAAAGTGTGTTAGTAAAAATGGAAGGAACCGGAAAGAGAGGAATACCTAACAGAGAATGGCTTCACGACGACATAAGAGATTGGTGCCAGAAATATGTGGCCACAACTTGAGCATATCGGGCACAAGACAGAGGAAAGTGGAAACATGACGAAATGTGCAGCGGACACCTTACGGGCCATCTACCCATGGCTCGTAATGATGATGATAGTTTTCACTCCTATCGTGTTTCTGTATTGTTTGTTGTTGTAACGTTCTGATCTGCCCCAACTGGACATTGTAAAGACGAGCTTTACAGCTCATCGGATTCCTCCTCCAGTCTAAATATAAAAGATTCTGCTGGGTGCTGCCCCCTGTGGGTGATGCGTCGCTCTGCCGCGCCTGGGTGACGCAGCTCGGCGCGCCGCTGCTGCTCGCACGGAGCGCAGGCCTCCATCATCATCATCGGGCAGAGACGAGGAGAGAGACGAGAGGAGACGAGGGGAGAGACGAGGAGAGAAGACGGGGAGAGGGGAGAGACGAGGAAGAGCATAGACGAGAGGAGAGAAGGGAGACGAGACGAGGACAGAGTGAAGCAGAGACACAGCGGTGAGTAGAGCGGAGAGGCGTGTGGCCTCACAGCCCGGGTACTCCTACAGCCCGGGTACTCCTACAGCACGGGTACTCCTACAGCCCGGGTACTCCTACAGCACAGGCACTCCTACAGCACGGGTACTCCTACAGCCCGGGTACTCCTACAGCCCGGGTACTCTCACAGCACGGGTACTCCTACAGCCCGGGTACTCCTACAGCACGGGTACTCCTACAGCACGGGTACTGTCACAGCACGGGTACTCTCACAGCACGGGTACTCTCACAGCACGGGTACTCCTACAGCACGGGTACTCCTACAGCACGGGTACTGTCACAGCACGGGTACTCTCACAGCACGGGTACTCCTACAGCACGGGTACTCCTACAGCACGGGTACTGTCACAGCACGGGTACTCTCACAGCACGGGTACTCTCACAGCACGGGTACTCCTACAGCACGGGTACTCTCACAGCACGGGTACTCTCACTGCCCGGGTACTCCTACAGCCCGGGTACTCCTACAGCCCGGGTACTCCTACAGCACGGGTACTGTCACAGCACGGGTACTCTCACAGCACGGGTACTGTCACAGCCCGGGTACTCCTACAGCACGGGTACTCTCACAGCACGGGTACTCTCACAGCCCGGGTACTCCTACAGCCCGGGTACTCCTACAGCACGGGTACTGTCAAAGCACGGGTACTCTCACAGCACGGGTACTCTCACAGCACGGGTACTGTCACAGCACGGGTACTCTCACAGCACGGGTACTGTCACAGCACGGGTACTCTCACAGCACGGGTACTCCTACAGCCCGGGTACTCCTACAGCACGGGTACTGTCACAGCACGGGTACTGTCACAGCACGGGTACTCTCAAGCACGGGTACTCTCACAGCACGGGTACTCCTACAGCCCGGGTACTCCTACAGCACGGGTACTGTCACAGCACGGGTACTGTCACAGCACGGGTACTCTCACAGCACGGGTACTCTCACAGCACGGGTACTCCTACAGCCCGGGTACTCCTACAGCACGGGTACTGTCACAGCACGGGTACTCTCACAGCACGGGTACTGTCACAGCACGGGTACTGTCACAGCACGGGTACTCTCACAGCACGGGTACTCTCACAGCCCGGGTACTCTCACAGCACGGGTACTCTCACAGCACGGGTACTCTCACAGCACGGGTACTGTCACAGCACGGGTACTGTCACAGCCCGGGTACTCTCACAGCCCGGGTACTCTCACAGCATGGGTACTGTCACAGCCCGGGTACTGTCACAGCACGGGTACTGTCACAGCACGGGTACTCTCACAGCCCGGGTACTCTAACAGCCCGGGTACTCTCACAGCCCGGGTACTCTCACAGCACGGGTACTGTCACAGCACGGGTACTCCTACAGCACGGGTACTCCTACAGCACGGGTACTCTCACAGCACGGGTACTGTCACAGCACGGGTACTGTCACAGCACGGGTACTGTCACAGCACGGGTACTGTCACAGCACGGGTACTCTCACAGCCCGGGTACTGTCACAGCACGGGTACTGTCACAGCACGGGTACTGTCACAGCCCGGGTACTGTCACAGCACGGGTACTGTCACAGCACGGGTACTCCTACAGCCCGGGTACTGTCACAGCCCGGGTACTCCTACAGCGCGGGTACTCCTACAGCACGGGTATTGTCACAGCACGGGTACTGTCACAGCCCGGGTACTGTCACAGCCCGGGTACTGTCACAGCACGGGTACTGTCACAGCACGGGTACTGTCACAGCACGGGTTCTCTATTCTATTCTTGCGTATGGCAATACGTTCAGGAGCTTTTGCTGAGCCACAGCTGTGCAGGCTGCACTGGTTGTTACCGCTGCTGTCTCTGTGGAGTGAGATCAACTGAGTCGCAGACGTACTCTTGGAGGCAACACATTTATTTAACACCAACAGACGGGGTCACTGCCCCCTAACAGAATAACAACCTATGGTGGTGACCACCAGGCTAACCGCACTAATTACAACGTAACTGCTACTACGGACCGGGACCACAGCTCGGGTCCAGGTCCACGTGTTGGTGACTCTGTAGGACGTAGAACATAGACGAAGGTTTCTTTAGGATGAACAACAATGCCGGCCCCTCTGGGGGACCCAGCTTATATCCTGTGCGGCGTGGCCGACTCCGCCCTTGGCCATGACCACCTTCCAGAATCGCTGAGCAGGATCTGGACCCCGACCACGTGACCACCCCTAGCCCGCACCTGGTGCCCCTTTGTAGAAATAACCGGTCACGTGTCCTCTCGGGTCAACCAGAGTGCCATGGCCTTTCGTAACCTCATTTCTACGGCCGGTTCTCACACACGCTATCCTGTAGGGCTGGCACTGCACACCAAATGTGATGCCATCCAGCGCTATCAACCAGCACTCACCGAGCCCCTCTAGGGCCGGTACTACACCCACATCATAGTGGTGTCCGCGATATCGTTACATCGCACACCGTGCCTGTCTAGGGCCGGCACTGTATAGTGACATCCCGCGATGTCACTACATCTGCACGGAGGTCACCGGTTCTAATCAGCCCCGGCTCGGCGTTTACCACGTGTAACCACGTGTGACAACGTGTGAGTGAGACACCGTACTGTGTGCTGCAGGACAACATCCTGCTGATTCCTCGAGCGGGCCTTTGTGTGGTGTATTCAAGGATAATGGTGGGCCCTTTACTCTGACAATGTTTTCTTGTTGCTAACCGTTGGGAGTCATTGAGTGGAAATGGTTCCACTTTGGTACAAGCAAAACATACAATTGTGACTGTTATGCATTGTGGCTATCCATTTGGCATCACACCACCGTTTTGCGTGCCTGGCTATGTGACTAACCACATAACTTGCCTGTGTCATTAGCTAGATGATTATAACTGGCTTTGTGACTGGATGTGTGACCGGCCACGTTGTGATTGGCTGCGTGATTGGCGGATCATTGCTGGTTGTAATTGGCTTATTGTTGGGCCCAGATAATTCAGACGGGAGCAATCAAGGCAATGCATGTGGGGAGGTGTAATGACGGCACTGCTCTCGCTAAAAGAAAACAACGAGATTTTTGGGCTGGGGGAATTTGCAGGTTGGTGACCTGAGCCAGCGGTGAAGAATTCTACATTCGCTTGGGGGGAAATTTCTCCGTAAGATCATTATAAATTTTCTACACTGTCACGCAAGATCGTGAGTTGATGTTGTACAGGTGACATTTGGTAGGTGTGAGTAATTTTATATTTGGGTATTCAGCTATGGAATAACCACAAAGTACCTGCACCTACATCATAGGGTCTTTAACGCCCACTGCATAGCAGAGAGTGAATTCAGAAAAAAACCCTTCAGATATTTTTAGGTACCGCTGAGGACTGTTCATATAACTCCGTACCAACTGGCTCAGTGCTGCATGTGCTCACTGTGTTACCTGCCCATCAACGACACCCCCAAATGCAAGCGTCTCATGATGGTGTCGACGTGCAATGATATTCTGGTGGAATGCCTGAGCCTGCATAGTTTCATCGGTGCCCGTCGTGTGATATTTTCCATTTGAATTGCAGATGTGTGAAGGAGCAGTCTTGTCCCGTTAAGCCGTGGCCACGTTTAGTTCCGGCTACAGAGGGAGGTGAAGTGAACGTGAGGCTGCAGACATGCCCAGCAAACATTTTGTGCTGAAGCCCCAAGCTCGCTGCGACACCAAATGGCTGGAGACAGAGCTGCAGGTGAGAACGTGTGGCTGATTACCACGGCGTCGCGGTTGCCGCTGTGGCGAGAGATTAGTGCTCTCTAACAGGACTTTGCTCTACGGTGCGCCTCAGTGTGTTTGCCCCCCGAGATCTCGTTATGCTTGGGTGTACAGTCTATCCGAATACGACGTAAAAACCACAGGTCAGGTGTCAAGTTTATTTTTTGTTGAACCAGGGGGGAGAACTCTTAAGAGGCAAGGATAAGTCTCATTTGCATGATGGATCTGGGTCCGTAAAATGACACAAATATAAAATATAAAGACCAAGTAAATATGCAATAATGATTGTAATAATAAGATGTTTTATTCATTCTAAGCAAATGCAAGTCGAGAGATAACTATATAGAAATCAGAGCAAAACAACCAGGTTCCATAACAAATAGTGGTGGGCAAACATAATGTTGAATCAAAATATTTTTAAGTAAGATCCATATATATAAAAGGCAAAGTTGTGATTGTGTGTCTGTTCAAAATGTTGAGCGTACTTTCCGACATGCAACACATTTGAAATTTGCCATGTGGGTACTTTCCAGACTGTACACCATGCAAAAATTATAAAAATCTTTTTTTTTTGGGGGGGGGGAGCTCAATAATGCATTTATTTTTTGCACGGCAAGCGAGCTGTGACGTCAAATTTGTCACGTGACCCGCGCATGTGGAAGCGTAACGCATTGTAGTGTAGTGGTTAGCACGCTTCGCTACGAACCCGGCGACCCGAATTCGATTCCCGCTCACGGCCACCACCGGTGACGATTATTTTTACCGGTCCTGGGCCTCCCCTAGGTCGACTCAGCCTCAAACGAGCAACTGTTGTGGTGTGAACATCGCCACTGGGGAGACAAAGCCGGCGGGCGTGGTGAATCCAAGTCCCGGGCGAAGCCGGGTAGTACAGATAGTTAGTTATAAATACCATTCATATTGAAATAAGCATCCAAATTGATTGAGGTTGATTATTGCACCCGTGTGGAAACAGAGGAGGACGCGTGTCCAACACAGCAAGTTCGCGCGGTATGCTAATGCCGCAAGCCTGCTTATGATGCCCAGTGCAACGTGCCTGTCCCTGACGCGCGGCCGCATTGTCATGTGCAGCGTGCAGCTCGATGGCAACACGCGTGTCGTGTAAAGGTGCAGCATCCCTTTAGAACTGCTTTTTGTGTTTAGTTTGTTGTCCTTCCCCGCCCTGGACCGTGGCTACGTACGGTGTGAAAGAAGTTCAACATACACACATACATACACCCCAATGCGGTGCCTGTTCGTGAGTGCAGATCCGAGTGCTGCGCAAGCTGTGTACACTGCGCATGCTGTGTACATTGCGCATGCTGTGTACACTGCGCATGCTGTGTACACTGCGCATGCTGTGTACACTGCGCATGCTGTGTACACTGCGCATGCTGTGTACATTGCTCGGAGGAGTATGGCGCACGTGCATTTGGGCAGCGCAGGCACTGCGCTAATGACCCAGAGGTGCAGCCGAATGCAGCATCAGAGTACATCGCGTATAAACGCTTGTTACTCGGTTTAAAACATCTGAATATGTAGAGGGCTGCAGAGCTTGGGGATTGTTGGCACCGGCTCACTGTTTGACTGCCTTCTGGCTTGACTGTGGTTCCTCCGGGATTATGAGATGCAATTTGCATGAATGACGCTATATACAGAAAATAAAACTTACTATTGTTATTAATATTATATGAAGCAACTCGCACACGAGTATCCTAATGTAGTCTGCTTAGGGGTGCAGGTTTTACAGCATGTGTGCACGTGCAACTGAGTACGTTAATGTTTCACGTATCAGATGCACAGCTTGACGCGAACCTCGGCAACCTCGGCGAACGCGCTGCCGCCCTTCGTATCTTAGTCTACTTCTGTACACAAAACTGCGCAGCCCTAGTGTATTGCACATAGTTGCACAATGTACCGAGCTGTGTAGCCTATTGCACAATACACAGACGTACACAAGCGAGCCGCCTGTTGTAGTGGCACGTGCTCGCTGCACACGCTGCCCAGTACCCGGCGTGGTGAGCTGTGGGTTTGCCGTGCAGCACGATGTTGATGTGATTTGCTGTCCGCTGGCAGTGCATGTCACCCTCCCACAACACGATTTCAGTTTAGCGATGCGGCCTGTCTTTTACGGGTACCGGGTGTGAGATTACATCCAGTGACGTTTTCCTTCCCAAGCCCCCCTTTTCTGCATAAGTAAACGTGATGTCTCGAACCTGCGTACGTCTCTTATCTATGCTTTCCGCTTGCTGTATCTCGGTGTAATTCCAAAAAGTTGCACGTGCAGAACCAAGGCTTGACCTTGGTTAAATTTTGTCCGTGAAAATAATCGAACATCGCCATGCTTATTATCTCTAAGACATGCGTCTAGCTTATCGTACACATCGATTGGAAACTTTAATCTTTATGCACAGTGGTGTGGTGCCTTTGGTTATCAAGTTCCGTCCAACTTGCGCTTGCTCTCTTTATTCATAGCAAGGTCTCAGTAGCAAAGAGATAATCTTGGCGTGCTCCACTTCGGTTAAATGCAGGTCATTGAAACGTATTGAATGTTGCCATTCTGCAACATTGCTCATTTTGACATAATGGAGGATATTACAATGAAAGTCTGTCGATATGCAGCATTTAAAAATGTATCTGTAATTTGAATAATTATAACCTTTGGCAACATTGTTTTCACAGGTCATACAATTGTATCGTGTACATTGTTGTTTGCCACCAGACAATGGTCCATTGTAGATCAATAACCCGAACTAAACCATAATTCCCATGGGTCGCACCAGCATGAGGGGTACCACTGTGTGCACCAGTTGTTTATAAGGAATGCTTTGCAACAGTTAAAGTGCAGTCGATGTTTGTTTACTATTACCATCAGAGGCCACACACTGCTTGCGGTGCAAAGCTAATCTAGAAACTTTTCTTCAGCAACTGCGGCGTTTGGTTGTGTGGCAGCACAGGTCGCATGATGCTTCCGTTCTCGGGACCGAGGGCAGAATTTGTGATTTGAGAGTGACCGAAGGAAAGTTGTCGGCCTTGCCGGCCGCTTGGGCTGTAAACGCATATTGGCGTGCGTCTTACGAAACCTAGGGTTAGATGGAAGGCTGTCATTCCAGGAAATCTGTGGTTAAATTGGCCCCGTGGCTGCTATATGTAAGCGATGTTTAGCAATAACTATTTATATTTAACCCATTGTACAGATTATGTTGAATTTTCACTGCTTAAATCCTCATCCGTGCCTGTATTGTACACATTCCACCATGATCTCATGAACGCTGTTTTCACAGGCTCCATAAAGCACCATTTTCCCAACTTCAGGAGTTGACAGAATACTGTGGCTTGGTTTTATGTCGGTCATTTTAACGCACTCAAAAGGCTCGACATTCGACCTTATTCATCATGCGTTGAATGGAGCTCCATGTTTTGTTTGGAGTGTTCATGCCAAACAGGTCCCTGCAGGGTGGGCTGGTAGGACAAGTCTCTGCACTGTCTATTGCTGATTTTACACCCAACAGCACGAGATTTCACTTCGTTAAAGTATTGAAAGGGGACGGACGGACGCATTAATCTATTGCAGGCTGGTACACTCAGTTTACAACTTCGTTCCTACCAGTATAACATCTCATAACCCAGCAGCCAGGGGCGCAATGACCTATTTGAACAGGGGGGCCATGCAAGATACGACTGTGGGCCCCCCTCCTTTCTCCCGACTGACTTTTACTGAAATAGTTACGGATGTTTTTAACCCGTAAACAAAAATATGTCGGCTATAACTATATATATTATTTTAGTTGCACCGTGTATTGGATTTAGAGCAGTAGTTCTTAACCTTTATTGCAGTCTGCACCCGTTTGGTTCTCAATCGTAAATGTTTTTATAATGTTAATAAACACACAGAGGGTTTGATGAAACAAAGTATTTGTACTTCCGTGCCCGTGCTTAATTTATGTTTTTGATTATTTACCTTCTAAAAAAACCTGGCATTTCTCGCACCCCCAGAAAGGGCATCGCGCACCCCCAGGGGGTGCGCGATGCCCTTTCTCGCACCCCCAGGGGGTGCGTGCACCGCTGGTTTAGAGGAAGACAGTCTCTCGGTGACAGTATTAATAAAAATATTGAAAGATACAATACTCAGAATTAAGTTTTCACACATCTTGCTTTCATGCTGGCCCCATCGGTCTAGGATTTTCTCAAAGGGGGTGGGTCGTGCAACTCTATTCTTCTCTGTTGATATGATAGCCGGATGAGTTATTCAGGTTTGGTCCATGATAGACTGCAGGTACATTTTTACGAATACTTTTCCTTATTTTTTCACTTATTTATAGTCCATGGAGATTCACAAACCTGTTTATTTGGAATAAAAATAAATAAACAGACAATGCTCCTTCACATATCTGTCCATCCAGGTGCATTTTGCCACACGGCCTTCTGAGTGCTGAATGTCAGCAGCATTGGTTCAACACAAGCAAAGTCTGGATCGATTTTAACATTCAATGTCTCATCAGCAGTCTGGTTTGCTAGAACCGATGCTGGTGAACTGCCAGATGTTTATAGGCCAAGATCCTCTGTTAAATATGGGTCCGAGTTGGTGAAAAACTGCGTAATACTCAGCATAGAATAATTCATTGGGGTTGTTGTGGAGAGTACAGTGAGGGAAAAAAGTATTTGTTCCCCTGATGATTTTGTACGTTTGCCCACTGACAAATAAATTATCAGTCTATCATTTTAATGGTAGGTTTATTTGAACAGTGAGAGACAGACTAACAATAAAAAAAATCCAGAAAAACGCATGTAAAAAATGTTATAAATTGATTTACATTTCAATGAGGGAAATAAGTATTTGACCCCTCTGCAAAACATGACTTAGTACTTGGCAAAACACTTGTTGGCAATCACAGAGGTCAGACGTTTTTTGTAATTGGCCACCAGGTTTGCACACATCTCAGGATTGATTTTGTCCCACTCCTCTTTGCAGATCTTCTCCAAGTCATTAAGGTTTCGAGGCTGACGTTTGGCAACTCGAACCCTCAGCTCCCTCAAATAATTTTCGATGGGATTAAGGTCTGGAGACTGGCTAGGTCACTCCAGGACCTTAATGTGCTTCTTCTTGAGCCACTCCTTTGTTGCCTTGGCCGTGTGTTTTGGGTCATTGTCATGCTGGAATACCCATCCACGACCCATTTTCAATGCCCTGGTTGAGGGAAGGAGATTCTCGCCCAAGATTTGATGGTACATGGCCCTGTCCATCGTCCCTTTGATGCGGTGAAGTTGTCCTGTCCCCTTAGAAGAAAACACCCCCAAAGCATAATGTTTCCATTTTCATGTTTGACAGTGGGGATGGTGTTCTTGGGGTCATAGGCAGCATTCCTCCTCCTCCAAACACGGCGAGTTGAGTTGATGCCAAAGAGCTCCATTTTGGTCTCATCTGACCACAACACTTTTACCCAGTTGTCCTCTGAATCATTCAGATGTTCATTGGCAAACTTCAGACGGGCATGTATATGTGCTTTCTTGAGCAAGGGGACCTTGCGGGCGCTGCAAGATTTCAGTCCTTCACGGCGTAGTGTGTTACCAATTGTTTTCTTGGTGACTCTGGTCCCAGCTGCCTTGAGATCATTGACAAGATCCTCCCGTGTAGTTCTGGGCTGATTCCTCACCCTTCTCATGATCATTGCAACTCCACGAGTTGAGATCTTGCATGGAGCCCCAGGCCGAAGGAGATTGATAGTTATTTTGTGTTTCTTCCATTTGCGAATGATTGCACCAACTGTTATCACCTTCTTACCAAGCTGCTTGGCAATGGTCTTGTAGCCCATTCCAGCCTTGTGTAGGTCTAAAATCTTGTCCCTGACATTCTTGGAGAGCTCTTTGGTCTTGGCCTTGGTGGAGAGTTTGGAATCTGATTGATTGCTTCTGTGGACAGGAATCTTTTATACAGGTAACGAGCTGAGATTAGGCGCACTCTTAAAGGGAGTGCTCCTAATCTCAGCTCGTTACCTGTATAAAAGACACCTGGGAGCCAGATATATTTCTGATTGAGAGGGGGTCAAATACTTATTTCCCTCATTAAAATGCAAATCAATTTATAACATTTTTGACATGCGTTTTTCTGATTTTGAAGTTATTCTGTCTCTCACTGTTCAAATAAACCTAACATTAAAATTATAGACTGATAATTTCTTTGTCAGTGGGAAAACGTACAAAATCTGCAGGGGATCAAATACTTTTTTCCCTCACTGTATAAGCAAACAGTATCTGGATGTTTAATTCTAGATTTGAAGCTTTCGTGACCGCAAGGATCCATACTCTTTGGTTCTATTCGGTAAAGTCACGTAGGTAAAAAATAAAACAGCAAAAATCACGACGTTTCGGCCACAACACAAGTGGCCTTCATCAGGTGAAGGGACTGTGCTGTCACGAAGACAGCGTTGGAATTAAGAAAGTCAAGCCAGGTCGCGTCTTTTAAGCTGTGTGGGAGGAAACCAAACGCTTTGACAAAGGAATTCGTATAAAGTGCTGATAGAGCACCTAACACGGGGGGGGGGAGGGGGAGGGGGGTTTACAAACGTTGTTTTGAAGGGAAATAAGCTGCTGTGAAAGTTTGGTATATCACTACTTGGATAAATATACTGTACCATTGAAAATTAGTTTAATGTTTGGTATGATTTAGAACATCTTTTCAATGATTGCTTAATTTGAAATCATCTTCTCGGTTGAAATTGTGTTTGTGTTTGTAAATCTGAATTGCCTCATCGACAAATATCTGATGATAACCTATAGGTTTGCAAAGGACCTTGGTATCGGAGAACACTATATCGTGATCTGGATGCATTGTATGTTTGTCCAGCCAAATAATACATACCATATGAATACATGTTTGGATTTAAGTATGTACTATCTTTGAAATGCGTAACAAGGTATACATACCTAAATTTACACTTGCATAATAACATATGCCTTCGTGCAACTATAATGTTACGTCCTTGACATAGACAGTGGATGAGCAATCACGTCTCTTCGCTGGTTGCTGTTTGTGTGGTTGCTAAGGCAATTGGCTGATAAGCCCATACTGCAGGCCCGACCAGAAACCCAAACAAACGCACTTCAACACAGCCCTATGTCTCATGCAGATAGGTAGTATAGTACTCTAATAGTGTTTGCAGGAAGCTACTTCTCATCTGATGTAGGCATTTTTAGTCGGCATCTTGCGATTCACCCCTCACTGTCGGTGTTGTGATTTGACTCAAACAGAATTAATATTTGTCTCGAGTTTGCCATCTCGCTTGTGTCGTTTGCGGTTTATTCTGCGTTGTGTTTGCAGTATTATTCACTCCATTAGCCTGGATGTAGCATGAGCATAGCATTTGCATAAATTGTTTTCAGTGAAATAATTGGCATGGTCTATCTCATAATAGAGTTCTGCAGTAACATGTTATTATTTTAATACACGTAAATATTTTGTACCCATGTTTAGGTTTGCAGGGTTTGTTTTGTACACGTGGAAACTTTCTCAATGATTTGGCTTGTCTCTAAAATGACAAAATGGCCACACATGCAGTTGTTTTGAGCTGGTGGTGTGCATAATGCTGAGAGCACATATTTGTGTGTCGTTAAATCTAATGGCAAACTGCTTGCGAGTCAATTTTAAAACCTAAGTTTTCAAGTTTACGAAACTATCCAAGTTTTCTCCAGGCCCCAGTGTACAAACTCCCACACATAAGACAATCATCTCCCCTAGCCCATTCTGCTACTCCCTGCCCCGGCCTCCCAGCGACGATGAGGTCTACCCCAAGCCCTATCGCTACCCCAACCCCTATCCCTAGCCCTATCACTACCACTCCCACCTGGCCTCCTGTCACCATAGCTACACCACCACTTTTAATAACCCCACTCTTTATGTTAACCACTATAATCTCATGTACAATTGTGCAATTATTGTAAAGCGACTTGGCTAAGGCGCTATCTATATCAGAGCACAAAGTCGATATGTCGGTCTCTACTCTCGTAATTCCTCGCATCCCTAATTGCCCGGAGCATCGGCCTGTAGTAAGATATATAAATATTGTTGTATAACAAGGCAGGGTTAACTAAATTATGGCCACGCACATTTTGCAACTGGTTTAAATAGCGTGTTTAGGGTCGGTTGTAAATAAATAAGAGCTGTTGTGTTCACTGTGATTGCTTTAACAAGACCGGACTCCTCCCACTGTCAGCAACAAAACATCTGCAGTCGTCGAATTGTGTCATCAGTGCTGCTTGCAAATAAATCGCCACCGTGTTAATTTTGTTTACGTGCCGTGCAAGCCTCGTGAGGCAAGGCGTGCTTCTGCATTCGTAAGCTTTCTTTCGAGAAAGGTCGCTAAATGTGGAGGCTGTGTGATGCGTTGTGCTCGTGGAATAATATTGAATCCTCTTGGCATTTACAAACCGTTCACTTATGGAATTAATGTAAATACTTGTTTTGAATTCGCATTCTAAATATAACTGCACTTAAATTCTAATCTTGTTAGCTTGGTTTCGGCTATTTTTCCATCTCTGCATTTGGATGTATTGGTAGTACACCGGTGCAGCATTACACACCGGTTCTCATAAAACATTCTGACGATGTCCCTGTTGCCTTTGAGTGAGTTGCATACTCTCAATCTGAAATTACCTTTGATTCAGCAGCTGCTTTCCCATTTGAACGTGTGGCGACACCATTAGTTGTAATATTTTGATGCCACCGTCTGCCAATAAATTATTCTGGAAATGAATCGAGGAACCATCCGACCAGGTCTAGGGCACAAGGAGTCAAATCTGCCTTTGGAACAGGGAGCAGCCAATCGTCATCAGGCTGGGTGCTGCTATACCGCAACAGACTGTGAAACTTCGTGTGCAGCTGCATCTCGTGATGTCGAAGCAGTCGACATTGCGAGAACTGATTTTGAAGCACCCTGCAATATTTTTTGACCGGGGTTGCGAATCATGGGAAAATAAATATTTAGAAAGATGTGATTTTTTTTTTAATATACCAAAAGTAAAATTTTATCTTAAAACTTTCGTGACTGCAGGAATTCATATTTTTTGGTTCTTTCGGTAAAGTCACGTAGATAGAAAAATTATAATAAAATGTTAAAAGAATAAAAATAAAAATTTATAAAGAATAAAATAAAAAAAACACTAATCTAGACTGTAGCCTGGTTCTTAATTGGAGTGAGTGTACTCATAATGTAGTCTACATTATTGACTACCAGTACACTCACCAAACTTAATAACCAGGCTACAGTCTACATTATAGGCTGCCAGTACACTCACTCCAATTAAGAACCAGGCTACAGTCTACGTTAGTTTTTTTCACTTTTTTGTATTATTATTTTTATTATTCTATCAATGTGACTTTACCAAAAGAACCAAAGAATATGTACACCAAAGGTGTACCGCCAATACGTTCACTTGGTGATTCTGCTTTGCTTGATCTTGTCCTACATTGACTGCGCTCTCTGGATATTTAGATGCTGCAGACAGTGAGGCGAACACCCCAAACTTTGGAGTCATTTTCACAAAACAAACACATTTCTTGGTTGCAGCTGATCTTCAGCCGAGATGGGCTGTGCACTCTGTGGAACGAGATGGTGAAGGATGGTGAGGTGTCGTTTGTTTACTGCGATGGACCCCAGAATTCCAACGAAGCGGCGAGTCCCAAAGGTATCGTGCGTAATACGTTCACGCAGCTCTATACTGTACTATTTTCTTTTACCAGGTAATGGCCATAGAGCTATATAGCTCTTTTCAGATGTGACCTGGCCATCACAAATTATACTTCAACGAAATGACTTATCACGTGGCAATTTATAGCAGCTAAAGTCTTTAAACCCCTGTTTCTAAACGTGGAGGGAAAAATCGGAAGACCCGAAGAAAAATCGACGGGACCATGGGGAGAATATGCACATTCCAAATATACAGGCTTCAGGGTCTGGATCGAACTCATGACCTCATGTATACCAGGTGAGGTAGTTAACTTCTCGCAACCATGGCACCCAATCTCTATTTCTTCTTGCTGATGGTTTCTCTGCACAACCTCTCATCGTGATTGTTGCACCTTGACACAGGAGTCGCCCAGCGGTAGCGCGTTCACGGCTTCTTCCAGAGCCCTGCCGTTCAAATCCTGCAGGCCACCCTTGTTAATACTGCGGGTGTAATAACCATAAACTACGTGCCATCTGCCTTACAGTGGATGGTAAAGATCCTGTGATGTCCTTCAAAATGAGAAGTCCATTGTGTGGCCTGCATCATGTCCAAAATATTTTGTTCCTTACATACCGTATTTATGGCAACAATTTTTACACAAGATTACAATTGTTTTGAATGATAAACAATTAATAATACATATAGTATAATAGATATCTTAAAATATCAATAATATACACTTTTTACACCGATTGTTGCACAGTACAGATGTGCAATGGGTTACTGAGCATCCTCTATTTATGTACTGTACCACGTTACAATCCATCGACCAATCTCTTTGCTTCGATTTAAGTCCTTTCGATTTACGTTCTGATTTTCAGGAATGCATCCTTTGCGTAAACCAGGGCATGGTTTTACCCACAAATTTTTCAATTGGGATTGTATACAGCAACATCACCATGTACTGGCAGATTAATGCCTGGATTGCAGGACAGGTGGTGAGTCACCATGTGCCCAAAGGGATGGTTACCCTTGGGGGTCGCCCTTTCAAATACTTGGAATGAGATGCCACGCAAGTCCCTGTATAAAGTGCTCCGAGGCGCCCGGCGTAGAGGAGGGCGGCTCTGTCAAAAACAAAATAATTCTCGTTATGATGATCATCGTCGCTGTCGTCATCGCCATCATGATGAGAGTGTGCACGTGGGCAGATGAAAGCCGGGAGTTGCAGTCGAGCTCCAGAAAGGAGGAGGCCAACGAGCGCGAGAAGGAGGAGGACGAGCTGCAGGCCCCGCCGCGCCAGGCTCGCGCCATCATGGACTCGTGGGTGTGGGGCAAGCAACCCGGTGGGTTCCCGGCCCCCATCCTCCTTGCTCGTAAAGCGACCGATGGGCACGGTACACATAGTGTCCCCGGATTGAAACCACAGTCCCTCATAAGAATTGTAGGTGCACACGAGGCAGACTGCGTTATGCATTTTCGTGGAGCATTGTGGGTAAATTTCATATATGAGGATAATGTTAAGTTTCTCCACGTACAAATACAAATAATTTTTATCCATCAGCCTATTGGCTTCAACAAACCTCACTGCCTGATGAGACCCAGAAGGTTAATACTGGTACAGACTTGATTTGTTTACACAAATCCTGTTTGATAATATTAGTCTGCAAAAGAAAGAGGCTGATGAACTGAAACTAAATTAAGACAGAATGGAGTTCTGCTTGTATATAAAAATATAATGTGCTAATCATATGCAACTATATAATGAGCTTGCATTCTTACAGAGATAAGGGCAGAGGGTCCTCCATTTTGTATTTGTGCCCTCTGATGGCTGCTGCTCCTTCGTTAGTATCGACCGCCAGCTTTCGAGCCTTCGAGCGACGGCCGGCCAGACGAGTGGTCCGTGCGTCTCTCTTCCCCCTTCCACCCCCCCTGCTGCAGACATGAGCGAGCTGCGCGAGTGCCTGCAAGTGCTCGTGAGCGAGCAGCAGGATATGGCGGCACAGGCGGCCTCCAGCACGCTATCGGCTGCCCGTCTCCGCCAGCGGCTGCTCATTCTGGAGCGCTACCTGCTGGCGTTGGGCCGCAGCCTGCCGCCGTCGGCCGCCTCGCCCGCCGACGGCAAGGGCCCGCCCGCGGGCACGCCCAGCGCCACCGCGCCCTCCGCCATCACCCAGAACGGCGGCGGCACGGTCTCTGTTGCGGCCGCTGCCGCTGTTACCGCCGCAGTGACCGACAAGTGCGGGTGAGGCCCTCGGTCAACTTGCGGCCTTCGCACAGGCTCTCCTGCGTAGAGATCAGTTCGTACGATCCGCTTGAGATGTTGACGTTGCCTACATGCGTTTTGACACGTAGGCTTTCGCTGACCAATATTATCCATAATGGAGGTTTTTGTTGGGTTAAATCGCGTGACTATAAATGTGTCATTAAACCCCCCACCATCTGACACAGCCAATTAATAAGGTTTGTCACGTAAACATAACGTGCCAATTAGTTACTACTTCAGCAGACCGGTGTGTTGGAGAGTAAACCCACAACATTTACAATTCGAGTACCGTGACGTTTTGTTGGTGATTACAACCAGCTTCATCGGGCGATTAGCCAGAATTGCCAACAATGTACAATTACATCTCCCCAGGGTCTGTACAAAAGGGGAAAGGGTGAAGGACACGAGGCGATATGGGGGAGCTTTGTCCCTTGTTTTTGTTGTTGTTTTTCAGCATGCGGGCAGTGGGGAAGGGCGTCGAAGGGCTGGCTCGCGTGGGCTCCAGAGCTGCCCTCTCATTCGCCTTTGCCTTCCTGCGCAGAGCCTGGCGTTCGGGTTCGTAACCTCCCCTCCGTGTCCGTGCGTGAACGTGCACATGCCAGGTGTTTGTCTGTCATTGGTTGTTTGTTTTAGTTATTTGTGTACGATCAAGTCTAGCTTGATTTTGTTGTCACTGCCAGATACGGCTTTGATTATATTTAAAGGCAGGTCAGCGTTGATCAAAATAAATTGTCTCAGTCCTTGCTTTCGTTTCCCCAAAGAACTGCATTCAATAGTTTATTCCTTCTGTGAGGAAATATTTACCATTTCCAGGAGCGGCCACACACTGCTCGCGGTGCAAAGCTAATCCAGAAACGTTGCTTCAGCGCCAGTGGCATTTGACTGTGTGGCAGTGCCTCCATTATCAGGACCGAAGGCAGAATTTGTGAATTGAGAGTGAACGAAGGAAAGTTGTTGGCCTTGTCTGCCGCTTGGGATGTAAACGCAGGTGGGTGTCCATCTTACGAAACCTTGGGTTAGATGGAAGGCTGTCATATGTCAGGAAATCTGTGGTCAATTTTGCCCCGTGGCTGCTATATTTAAGCGGTGTTTAGCAATAACAATTTATTATTAACCCATTTTAGATATTATTTTGACTTTCCACTGCTGAAATCCTTATCTGTGCCCATATTGTACACATTCCACCATGACCTCATGAACTCTGTGTGCACAGGCTCCATAAACCATGATGTTCTCAACTTCAGGAGTTGACAGAATACTGTGGCATGGTTTTACGTCGGTTATTTGAACTTGCTCAAAAAGCTCGATGTTAGACCTGTATTCTTGCGTTGAATGGAGCTCTATGTTTTGTTTGGAGTGCTTATGCCAATAACATCTTGTAACCCAGCAGCCAACGACCTATTTCAACAGGGGGGCTATGCAATGTACGACTGTGGGCCCCCCTCCTTTCTCCCAACTGACTTTTACTGAAATAGCTACAGATGTTTTTAACCCATATCGAAGAAGACGTAGGATATAACTATATATTATTTTAGTTGCACTGTGTATTGGTTTTAGAGTAAGACAGTCTTACAGGCACAGTATTAATACAAATATTTAAGTACAATTTTCAATGCCGGCCCATCGGTCGAGGATTTCCTATCTCATGCTCACGGCCACCAGTACCAGTGACGATTACCTGAACCAGTCTTGGGCCTCCCTTGGGTCGATTTAAACTTCAAATGAGAACCTCGTGAGATGTGTAAACATAGTCACTCGGGAGACAAAGGTGGTCGGGCATGGTGCTGGCCACCCTCCACCTTGAGTGCCGTACTGGCCTTCATTGCTAGCTGCTCTCTAACAGCACTTGCCCCAACAAGTCTGTTGTCTTTGCGAGTGCAGGCGAAGATGCGGACCTGTGCAGCGAGCTGCTGCAGGAGTCGCTGGATGCACTGCAGGCCTTGCCCGAGGGCACGCTCTTCGACGAGACCAGCGTCTCCGCCGTGTGGCTGGAGGTGGTGGAGCGAGCCACCAAGTTTCTGCGCTCCGTCGTCACTGGGTGCGTGCCGGGGGGTCCCCCACCCCGCCACCCACACTCCCACCTCACTTCACGTTCTCCTCACCAGTCCTGGTGGCCGTGCTGCACGTGGCCCGTCATCTGGCACCGTGGAGGCGTCGGGGATTGGTGGATCGCACAACTGTTGTGAACTTCCCTACCTGCCGCAAGCGTCGAGGCTGCCATACCCTGGCTTGCTGGAGGAGGGCAGGAGAGAAAGTGGATGAATCTCTTTCCATCCGGATGTTCTCCGGGTGCTCTGGTTTTCTCCCACGTGTATAAAGGCTCGTGTGATTTCACTGGAAATGTCTTGGGCGACGTTGGTGCCGGCTCACCGCCTGGTTGCACTCATCTGCATTTTCCCGTGCCTCTTAATTATAACGAAAAACTGCGCTTTACAAATTTTGGCTTTTGTTTTAGAGTTTGTTTCACGTTATGTATTTTGTGTTCTTTTCCCAATTTTTTTTATTTATCTGATTTACACAGGCTGTCTTGTAAAAAAAAAACACAATTCCAATATGCATGGTGAGGTGTGATTGAGAACTTTTCTTATACCACGCTTTGACTACTTACAGTTGTAACTTAACTGCAAAACTTCACAGCCTTCTGTGCGGTATCCTGTGATATAGGGGTGTCACGGTGGCGAGATGTTAACTACCTCATCTGGTATAGAGGAGGTCGGGGGTTCGATCCCGACCCTGACACCTGTATATTTGGAGTTTGCATGTTCTCCCCGTGGTCGTGTTTAGAGTATTTGGCTGTTATAAATGTCCACTTGGTAAGCCACTCCGTTGGACTATCGTTTATGGCCAGGATGCTTCTGAAAAAGAGCTATATAGCTTAGTGGGGCTTACCTGGTAAAATAAAAATAGTTTAGTTTTTTTAGTATAGTTCAACACGATACTACCAGTTCTCGAAACTAAGAAATGCCTGCCACTTGAGCAAAGATGCCGATTCCCAGACTTTCTGGGTCACATAGGGTTGCCACCAGGAACCGTGAGAGTTGCAGGCCAGTTGACCGCGTCCATCTGCTCCGATCGGAGAGCTTCCACCTCTCTCAGCCCTATGCAATACCAATGTTGGTTGTCCTCCTCCGATTAACACGGTTTGCTACGTAAGGTGCAAAAGAAGTTCAACACATACATATGTCCGTCCAGCTTTGTCTGTGTCGACTCCAAAGTTTATGCCGGTCTTGTTCGCCAGTCTGCATCCCTTCGCCGAGTGGGTGTGTGTTTTGCCGGCGCGAGAGTGACTCGGAGTTTGGTGACATGCATGTGCCCCCTGTCGTGCAGTGACGTGCATGGAGCCGCCAAGGGCCCTGGCGGGATCCCCCCTCAGGACCAGCACCTGGCCCTGGCGTTGCTGCTCGAGCTTGCGGTGCAGAGAGGAACGCTCAGGTACTGCCCGGCCAACGAGTTAACGCGTTTATTTTTATCGAGCTTGGTCATTGTAAGAACTTGGGGAAAAGAGTCGATGTGATGGAATTCATAACCCGAGTGGTGCGAGGAAAAAAGTGGAATGAGAAGTGTTGTGACCTGCAGTATGGTGAGTTGGTGAGTGGGTAGGTGGGCAGGTGTCTGGTAGACCAAGTCGCCAACATGGGTGGAGGAATCGGTGAGTTAAGTTCACGGGAACAGTGGCCATGGTAGTAGCGCTGGAGGTGCAATATAAATTTGACCGACCACCAGTGAGCGAGCGACTGGGGTGAATTCACAAGTGCTGTATCGTCATTCAACCTCGACCAATGATAGTTTACGAGTGGGTTGGAATGTTTGTTGGTCATGTATGTTTTGTTGGTCAGTGTCATCATAGCCATGATCAATCTGCTGCTGGATGAAGGCCTGCCTTCTTGTCGATCTAGGCAGGTTCTGTTTCTTTTGGGGATGGCTGTTACCTTTTGCCGCCCGTGACTTCAGGTTTTTTTTGTCGGGTTTTCCCCCTCTGTGCGCTGACGGCCCGGCTTTCCGCTCCTCCACTCGGTTTGTGCAGCCAGATGCTGTCGGCCGTGCAGCTGCTGCTGCAGCTTTGGGACAGTGGCACGAGGGAGGCGGATAATGAGCGCTCGTCTGAGGGCACCAGCGCGCCCTTGCTGCCTCTGCTGCGCCGGCTGCACCACATCCAGGCTGGCAAGGAGCCTACCGCCTCCAAGCAGGACGAGCCACAGGCAAGCGCCCTCCTCCCGTACCGGCAGGTTGCAAAAGGGAGCACAGCGATTTCTGGAGCGGGGTAACCAGCCGGTGTCTCTTGCGCCTTTACGGTTTCCACCTGTCCTGGTTTGGCCCGGGGAGTCTGGAAGTTGGCATCCGTTTTCATTCACCTTGGATAGGAATTTAATTAAGGAACAACTTTAAATCAACGTCTGAGTTGTAAGTCTATCTGCTGGCTTCAGCAGACAATGCGTGTATCACACGCGTGCCCTCGGAGAACACTGTCAGTTGACATGAGTTGGCACAGGGACCCACAGACTTACATAGACATCCATACAAAGACCTATACAGAGACCCATAGACTCGCAGCGAGACCCAAAAATTAACATAGACCCACATACTCACACAGAGACCCATACAGAGACCCATAAACTCAAGTAGAGACTCATAGGCTTACATAGAAACCCATAGACTCATGATGTGTTCCACTCTTGTGCCGTAGTCACATTTGGGTGATAGTTTGTTTGAAGGTAATTGCGTTTGCCGCGGCCAGGTCGAGTTCTATGCAAGGCAGCCCACCGCTTGCAAGGGAGCCGTGAGCCTCCCCGTGGCTGGATGGTGGTGGTGGAATCTGCGATGAGGGGATTATTCGGGATGATGGTTCCGCTTGTCTTGCGTGCTGCCCGGCGTGCGGTTGAGTCCTGCAATGTTTCGGAAAGGCTTTATTGGCTTCTGTGTTTGGGTGGCAAGGATCAATTTCTACTGAGACCTGGTACCGGTATTGTGTTGTTCAAGTTTATTGCAGCCTATTGCACAGTTTTGATAGACCTAGGCTGACTGAGAAATATGTCTGCATTTTGTTTTGTGGGAACGGTGGCAGCCCTGCCGACACGGCCACGTGACGGATTGCTCATTGGCAGTACGATTTTGTGGCTTGGAGAATCAGAGGGGGCAGGTCCATTCTCACTGCGGCTGTAAATCATGTGGCCTGGTGTCATGTGTGTGTACGGAAAGGAATGGTGGTATCGTGGTTAGCGTGCAACTCTACGAACCCTGCGATCCCAGTTCAATTCCTGCTCACGGCCAACACCAGTGACAATTATCTGGGCATCCCCTGCGTCATCTCAGCCTCAAATGTTTACCTGCTGCGTTGTGTAAAAACATCGCCTCTGGGGAGACAAAGATTGTTGGGCATGGTGCTGGCCACACATCCCCTCGTGTACTGTGCCGGCCTTCATCGGTGCTAGTTTTGAACAGCACTTGCTTCAAAAGTCTGTTAAGGCTATACGGGGGATCTTTGTCTTTGTGGGGCACAGGTGCTGGTGAGTCCGCTGGGCCCCAATGAGAGCTTCCTTCGCTACCTGGTGCTGCCCCAGGACAATGAGGTAGAGATCGACCTGCGACAGACCGCCGTGGTGATTATGGCTCACCTGGACCGACTGGCGGCGCCGTGCCTGCCGCCACCCTGCAACGCGCTGTCCTCACAACCGGTGCGACTCCTACTCGTTCGTCCTCCATGCCATGGCCGTGTACCATTTCGGTGGCGAGATGTTAGCTACCTCGCCTTGTATACAGGAGGTCGTGGGTTCGATCCCGACCCTGATGCCTGTATATTTGGAGTTTGCATGTTTCTCTGTGGTCACGTGGATTGTTTTCCGAGTCCTCCGGTTTTTCCTTCCGCATGTAGAATCATGCGTTGAAAGTATTTGGATACTGCAATACATTTTCACATAATAAGCCACTGCGTTGAGCTATCATGTGGCCAAGCCACTTCTGAAAAAGAGATATATAGTTCAGTGGGCCTTACCTGGTAAAATACAAATAGTTTAGTTTTTACTTTGAGATAACACACGCTTGGCCCTCCAGGATAAAATTGTACAAGTTTATTCGGGCAAACTGTGTAGTGTTGGAGCCATTGGCCCAGATTTCTTGAGAGATAAGAGGAGTAAAGTGCGGTTGTTTTGGGTCTGATTGCTATTTGGTTGTTTTGCTTCATTGTTGTACTTGTCATCCTATCTTTTAGTCATTTTTGGTGACCCCTCTCGCAAACAAGAGGCCCATCCTCGTCTCTTTAGTTCTCACCGTTAAACAACATCACCGTGAAACCTGAAACATGCAAGCTTAAGGCCTGACTCGTGTGCTTTAAAAGCGCCCTCTTGTTTATCTTCTGCACTGCTGTGGGGGTTTTTGCCAAGTGCTGCGTGCTGCTGGCGCACGCCGCGGGTTGTTCTGATCGCCCTCCCTCATGCGGTGCCCTGCAGGGGGGCGGCCGCTTTTCCCAGCTCGTCCAGGCCTGGGGTCTCCTGGATTGGGGCGGTCAGACGCTGCCCCTGGTTAACGGCCCCATGCAGGTGGAGGCTCTCTCAGAGCTGGGCCTGGAGCACATCGCTTGTTCCGAGAAGTGTCTCTTGGCACTCGCCAAGGACGGCAGGGTCTACGTGCAGCCCTACCACAGCGAGGTACTGCGCCCACTACCTCGCTGCGCCTTCTGCTGTCCTGCTTCGGTGCTCTGCCTTATCGACAGGTCCCCCCGGCTGCAACCCTCTTCATCCTCCGTTCTCCGCCCTCTTCACTTCCATAAATGGCCCTTTCTGCAGTACTTCCAACATCCAAATCCTCGGCTTGCTCTTGCTCTTTACTGCTGCGTTCTCCCCTCTTGAACGTCATTACTCGTAACATTACTCATAACATCGTGCCCACTCCAGTTCCTCTTTCTCCTTCTCATGACTTCTATTGTCATTCTTCTTTCATTGATGCCATTCAAGATGGCTTTATTGGTTATTTTCTTTGCCCAGCCCATTCTCTGCACCCTCCTCCACGTCTCGAAAACTTCGAACCGTCACCACCTTTCCGCCGTTCCATGCAAAGCTACGCTCCACACCATCGTCTTGGCTTGCTTTGCCATTTAAATCACCGTTCTTGTCAACAACTCTTTCATATTTTTCTGAATGCTTCTTTTGCCACCCACCCTCGATCTTATTTCTGACATGCTGTGTGACTGCTGGCTGTAAGAACGTCGGCGGGGCATTTCTACCACCTGTGGTGGCGATTCCTATGAAGCAGTTGGAATATGTTTGATGAATTAAAACAATGAAGTTGTCCTCACAGCTTTTAACCGATTCACAGCTGGTTCCGTCTGTTCCCGGGAACCGGCAATGATGCCCTCGTCATTGTGGCTGTGCCCCGATATGAGTTCACACGGGTGAATATCGCTGTTGTTTGTGGGCCACACCCACAACACACACAGGATGCGTCTACTGCCACCTTGTGGCAATAGCTTGAGATTAAAAACATTGCACGAGGAATAACCAAGGTCGGGCCCTATTCATTCTGCAGATTCTTCACCAAAAATCAAATATGACCACTCCCATATCATGAATGGCTAGCTGCAGGGTGACCTGCATTTGATTCACCCATGGCTGTAAAAGGGTGAAATGAGACCACTGTTTACGTAACTTTGCTGACCGAGTTTGACTTCATTCACCTGGCTCTAGTGGAGGCCACTCGTTTACCAAAGTCTGCCATGCCGTGAAGTCACTCCGTTTCTGGTGGTGCTGCTACCGCGACGCGTGTGCCGACTCGCCCGCGTGCGTTCACCCTCGGTGCCTCCTGCATGCGCGCATGCAGCAGCCGCCGCAGCTGCTGGTGGCGCTGGCGGAGCACGTGGTGGTGAAGGTGGCCACGCACCCACAGGGCAAGCACTTCCTGGCCCTTTCTGCCGACGGGGACGTCTGGTCGTGGGGCTGTGGAGAGAGCGGCTGCCTAGGCCACGGGGACTCTTGGTGAGCCCCTCGGTCCATGCAGCGGCACTACGGGAGGGAATTTTGTTTTTGTTGTGCCCACCGCAGCTGAGGCGGACTTCTCGCTGCCTCGCACCGGGGAGTGTCGCTCCTTGGTAGTGGGCGGAGAAGTGACTCGCAGTGACCGGTACATTAAGCAGCCAAAACTGTAGCAACTTGGAGCGGTGCCCAGCTCCATAGCTACAGCTCTCATCAACTACAGCTTTACGCGTGCTGTAGCCAAAAGGCCTTTACCACCCTTGCAGTGTGCGAAGCCTGGCGTCGGTGCTAGAATTATGTCGCCGCTACTTAATGCTGAGAGGCACCTGCCGTTGTTGATGTAAATAAATTACGTTAAATTCACAGGCATACGGGCCTTCAAAAGTCCTATTTTCTAGTATCATCTCAGAAAGCCAACCTTGGTCCGAATTGACACCGAGGAGTCCAGCAGTCATGAGGTTCTCTTTAGTTGAGTCGCAGGTCTCCCGTAGTTTGTGCTAAGGCCCGAGGCCTGGACGACCAGTGTCACTGAGCTCGATCTCAACGCAGAGTCGCATTCTTACTTGCACTGAGTATTATCAATTAATGATTTTTTTGTTTTTATTCTAATAGTTTACTTCTTTATCTAGGAGAGCCACACTCAGTCGTAGGACTCTTTTCAGAAGGGGTTCCCTATTGGGTTTTTATTTTAGGATATTTCATCCATTTGGTGATGAATTGACAACTTGGAGGAAACCGGAGCACCCTGAGAAACCCTCGCGCCTTTCGCGAGGGAGCAACACTCTATATTTGTGGAGATGAGAATAGATGGCTATTAGTCCACTTGCTGTACTACTGCCTTCTCCGGGCGATGATCCACCAACTCTCGCTGCTACCTCCACAGTTCTGGATGATCACCGGACATGTGCTGGTTAACCGGGTTGCGTTTGTGCTGGGTTGTGTGTGTGCGAGCGTGTGTGTAGGCTATATGGGGGAACTTTGTCTTTGTGTGTGGTGGAGAGCGGTTAGTGCAGTGGCTAGCGCACACTACGCTACGAACCTGGCGATCCGAGATATATTCGCACTCACGGCCAACACCAGTGATGATTATCTGAACCAATCATAGGCCTCCTCTAAGTCGACTCAGCCTCAAATGAGTGTGTAAACAATCACCACTCGGGAGACAAAGGCGGCCGGGCATGGTGCTGGCCACCCACCCCCTTGTGTACCATTTCCGGCCTTCATAGACGCTCCCTAACAGCACTTGCCCCAAAAGTCTGTTGAGGTTACACGAAGGGTCTTTGTCTTGTGTGTGCGGGTGCCACGGCAGTGCGGTGGACGAGCCCAAGCTGGTGGCGGCGCTGTCGGGCCGTCCGGCCGGCAAGCAAGTGGTGTCCGTGTTCTGCGGGAGCACATACAGCGCGGCCATCACCGCCGACGGGGAGCTCTACACGTGGGGGCGCGGCAACTACGGTCGCCTGGGCCATGGTGACCTTGCCGCTCTCTCCTCTCCCCTTCTTCCTTCGCACTGCGCCACTGCTGCCCCCTTTTCCAAGCGCGAACAACATCACTCGATCTGAGAACCGCGTTGTGCTTTCATCCGTCGCAACTTCGATGGTGCCGTTTGTTGCCGTCTTTGCCCGATGGTCTGTTAAAGATTACGTGGTATCTTTGTTGTCTTTGTGTGTGTGTGTGCAGGCACCAGCGAGGACCAGAGCACCCCCACACTGGTAGCTGCCCTGGCTGGGCTGAAGGTGATCGATGTGGCCTGTGGTACCAAAGACGCACAGACCCTTGCTGTTACGGATAACGGTGTGTGTTTTCTTGTTGTAAATTATTTGTATTGATCCAACCAACACGGACGTGTAGGACCTTAGCGTTATGGGGTACGTGCGTCAGATCCCTTTTCTTCGGGGAAGGAAAGGGGAAAGAGGAGGGGAGTCGGTCTCAACGGTGCGTGTTTGACAGACGTGTAGTGAGTCCAACTGAGTCGCAGACGTTATCTTGGGAGCAACACTATTTATTCACATAACCATACGTAACATAACACAACTTACGCTCAGGTCTCGAATGCCCATATAACCACACTACAGCAGAACGAGACCGGTTCGCTATCCCGGTCTGGACCACGAGCTGGGTCCCGGACCACGTGGCTAGAGGCTTCTTCTCCCCGACGTGGATATTCGAACACCAACACTCGAAGAACCCTGAGCTCCTCACAGAGCTCTCATTATATGCCACCGGGCTGGGGCTGGCTCCGCCCTTAGCCCCTCCCACCTTCCAGGTCTCTAGAGTTCCTTCTCGAATGTTCCCGAGAGCTCTTTGGGACCACATGACCGCCCCTCGGCCCCTGTCCACCGGTGGCCCCCCTCCAGTATCGTCCGGCCACGTGACAACAGGTCAGCCACAGGGTAACTCTGGCTGGCTGACGCTCGCTCTCGCTCCCTCACTGGGAGCCGGCACCGCACACCGCTCGTGGTGCCTCCGCGCTAACCAGCGCTCACCCAACCACCGCTAGAGTTGGTACTGCAGCCCATAACCCGGGCTTGCCCGTAATCACAACGTTACCGGCCGTGACTTCGCAAGTCCCGGCACCACACAGTGACAAGTACAGTCACTACAGATGCATTCATCGCTACGCTTGTTTATGCAGGGAAGCCCCACTGAGTCTCAAGGATCTTTTTTTTCAGGAGAATTCTGCTAAATATTAGCACTGTGAGGGTGATGATTGCTACCAAGTAAATATGTGAGCTTTTTTCAATGTGTGGCAAATGTGGGTCATGATGCCAGCGCTAAATGGCCTGCTCTGTTTTGCATGACGTCATGAAGGTTTTAATGTCAATTGAAGCAGACGGCATGCAGTATGCTGCAGTTAAAATACACCCATTGTCTTTAGTGAAGCGCTTAATGTGCCAAATTTAGGTAGGGTGGTGGAGGGCGACCTAAAAAAAAATTCCAAGGTCATTACATGGCCTTAAACAAAAATAGCTACGGGCAGTCCCCAACTTACGAACGGGTTCCTTTCCTGAGACATTTTTGTAAGTCGAACACAATAATATACTGCATTTAAATGGACATGTGGTCAGTGTTATAAATGTGTTATGGTGCAACAAAAAAGGGAAACATTGTTAAACTCATAAATAAGAAAAAACGTCCATTTGCCAAATCAAATAGTTCCGTGGTTCGGTTCGCAAATGCGAGTTCACCTTCGCAAGTCAGATGGTTCAAAATAATTATCTTATGGAATCACATTTCTTTAGAGCGAATGTTTGTAAGTCGGGTGTTCGTAAGTCCGGGGACTGCCTGTATTACAAATGGCACTGTCGTCTTCAAGAGCCGGGCATCGTGCCAGGTTAAACAAATGTGTTGAGTTTGGTCGTCGCTTTCGGCTCCCCCACCCGCCTGCAGGCCAAGTGTGGTCGTGGGGCGACGGAGACTACGGGAAGCTGGGGCGCGGCGGCAGCGACGGCTGCAAGACGCCCAAGGCCGTGGACAAGCTGCAGGGCGTGGGCGTGGCGCGCGTATGGTGCGGCTCCCAGTTCTCGGTGGCGCTGACGCGCGACGGCTGCGTCTACACGTGGGGCAAGGGCGAGCGCAAGCGGCTGGGCCATGGCACCGAGGAGCACGTGCGCTTCCCACGCCTGCTCGAGGTGCTGCAAGGTACGCGGGGGAGCGGGGCGTCGCGCCGTGCCCCTGGGCACCCTTAAGTTTGGAGGGGTGCTGACTGTAGGGATTATCCAGGTGAATTCTACGCATGCACATGTATGTTGAACTTCTTTCGCACCATACGTAGCCATCCACGCTAATTCGAGGTGCGGGGGAAGAGCAACAAACTAAACACGTTTATTATTTAGGCTAAGGTCTGAGGCCTGTTCGTCCCAGTTTCACTCAGCTCGATTTCAACATGCAGAGCCGCATGCTTACTTTCATGGGGTATTTTTTATTTATTAATTTAGATTGATTGTTATTTTTATTATAACATAATTTATTTACCCAGGAGGGTCCAGCATTTGATTTTTATTTTCAGATGTTTTCAGCCAATTGGTGATGAGTTGTGTTTATTATACAAGTTGGAGGGAACTGGATCACAGGCTTGTAAAGCCAACATCTCTAAAGCTGATTTAGTATTATCCACTGAACAATATGGGTGTGCGGACGATGGGTGTGGTGCGGATGATGCTGTGCGGATGATAATGTGTGGATGCTGCCGCCGGAGGAGATTGAGACAGAGATGAATTTAAGGATTGAGAGCTCGCTGTCTAGTCATCTGCTTGAAACGATGCGAAGGGTTTCCACTGTTGGCGCAGGTGAGAAGGTACTGGATGTGGCCGTGGGCAGCACGCACTGCTTGGCGCTCACGGAGGAGGGCCTCGTCTACAGCTGGGGCAGCAATGAGCAGTCGCAGCACTTCGACACGGCGCTCAGCAGCAAGCCGCTGCCGACGATGCTCGCGTTGCCCGACACGGATCGCCACCGCATCGTTGGCATCGCGTGCGGCCCAGCGCAGGTGGGGTGGAGAACGTTGGGGTGGAGGGATTGGTGGGGTGGGGGGATTGGTGGATGGTGGAATCGGTGGGGGGGGAGGGAATCGGTGGGGGGGAGGGTATCGGTGGGGGGGCAGGGTATCGGTGGGGGGAGGGTATTGGGGGGAGGGGATCGGCTCAGTTCCACACCTGCAAGTTCCACTCTCCCCCCTCTGTCCCCCTCTGCCCCCCTCTGCTCCCCATAAATGAGTCCCTGAAACGCTGTATATAAGCATTGCGGAGACATTCGGTTGGTGTGGTGATGGCCACACCACCCCCTCATGCTCCCTATTTGCCTTGATTGGTGCTTGCTTATAGCTAAACTAAACTTTTTATTTACCAGGTAAGGCGCACAGAGCTACATAGTACTTTTCAGAAGCGACCTGGCCACAAATGTTAGCTCAACAAAGTGGCTTATGTGTAAATTTATAGCAGCCAAATACTCTAACCACATTGATTCTAAATGTGGAGGGAAAAAAGGAAAATCCATGCGACCACAGGGAGAGAGACATACAAACTCCAAATATATACATGTAGCAGGCATCACAGTCGGGATCGAACCCACGACCTCCTACATACCAGGCGATGTAGTTAATATCTCGCCACCATGTCGCTATTGCATCGCAACACTTGCTCCAGTGGTCTGTACGGATGTAAGGGTGGTGTGGGGGGGGCACCTTTGTGTTTGTGTAACGTTGCTCTGCGTGGGCCGTGCTGGCAGAGCTTCGTGTGGAGCTCCTGCTCCGACTGGACCGTGGGCCTGCGGGCGCAGCTGGTGGTGGACGTGTGCCAGGCCACGTTCGAGCAGCTCGACCTGCTGCTGCACGGCGTGAGCGAGGGCATGGACGGCTCGGCCGACTGGCCACCCCCGCAGGAGAAGGAGTGCATGTGCGTGTCGACGCTGAACCTGCTGCGCCTGCAGGTGGGGGCCCGCGCCGCACACCGCTCCCAACAACGACAGCTGCCGTTCGCCGCTAAGTGGCGGCGACATCGCCACCGCGGAGTTTGTGCAAGGCTAGGTGCACTTCGAGGCCGTCACGTGAAGTGTCGAAGGCGCTTTCTAGCAGGAGGTCACTGGACAAACTCAGGTGCCATGGGTTGACTGGCAGGTGCACCAGCTGTGCTCCCCCACGTTGTCGAGCGCTCTGCTTGTTACAGTGAGGGAAAAAAGTATTTGATCCCCTGCTGATTTTGTACGTTTGCCCACTGACAAAGAAATGATCAGTCTATCATTTTAATGGTAGGTTTATTTGAACAGTGAGAGACAGAATAACAATAAAAAAATCCAGAAAAACGCATGTCAAAAATGTTATAAATTGATTTGCATTTTATTTAGGGAAACAAGTATTTGACCCCTCTGCAAAACATGACTTAGTACTTGGTGGCAAAACCCTTGTTGGCAATCACAGAGGTCAGACGTTTCTTGTAGTTGGCCACCAGGTTTGCACACATCTCAGGAGGGATTTTGTCCCACTCCTCTTTGCAGATCTTCTCCAAGTCATTAAGGTTTCGAGGCTGACGTTTGGCAACTCGAACCTTCAGCTCCCTCCACAGATTTTCCATGGGATTAAGGTCTGGAGACTGGCTAGGCCACTCCAGGACCTTAATGTGCTTCTTCTTGAGCCACTCCTTTGTTGCCTTGGCCGTGTGTTTTGGGTCATTGTCATGCTGGAATACCCATCCACGACCCATTTTCACTGCCCTGGCTGAGGGAAGGAGGTTCTCACCCAAGATTTGACAGTACATGGCCCCGTCCATCGTCCCTTTGATGCGGTGAAGTTGTCCTGTCCCCTTAGCAGAAAAACACCCCCAAAGCATGTTTCCACCTCCATGTTTGACGGTGGGGATGGTGTTCTTGGGGTCATAGGCAGCATTCCTCCTCCTCCAAACACGGCGAGTTGAGTTGATGCCAAAGAGCTCCATTTTGGTCTCATCTGACCACAACACTTTCACCCAGTTGTCCTCTGAATCATTCAGATGTTCATTGGCAAACTTCAGACCGGCATGTATATGTGCTTTCTTGTGCAGGGGGACCTTGCGGGCGCGGCAGGATTTCAGTCCTTCACGGCGTAGTGTGTTACCAATTGTTTTCTTGGTGACTATGGTCCCAGCTGCCTTGAGATCATTGACAAGATCCTCCCGTGTACTTCTGGGCTGATTCCTCACCATTCTCATGATCATTGCAACTCCACGAGTTGAGATCTTGCATGGAGCCCCAGGCCAAGGGAGATTGACAGTTCTTTTGTGTTTCTTCCATTTGCGAATAATCACACCAACTGTTGTCACCTTCTCACCAAGCTGCTTGGCAATGGTCTTGTAGCCCATTCCAGCCTTGTGTAGGTCTACAATCTTGTCCCTGACATCCTTGGAGAGCTCTTTGGTCTTGGCCATGGTGGAGAGTTTAGAATCTGATTGATTGATTGCTTCTGTGGACAGGTGTCTTTTATACAGGTAACAAGCTTAGATTAGGAGCACTCTCTTTAAGAGTGTGCTCCTAATCTCAGCTCATTACCTGTATAAAGGACACCTGGGAGCCAGAAATCTTTCTGATTGAGAGGGGGTCAAATACTTATTTCCCTCATTAAAATGCAAATCAATTTATAACATTTTTGACAGGCGTTTTTCTGGATTTTTTGTTGTTATTCTGTCTCTCACTGTTCAAATAAACCTACCATTAAAATGATAGACTGATCATTTATTTGTCAGTGGGAAAACGTACAAAATCAGCAGGGGATCAAAGACTTTTTTCCCTCACTGTATAAGCGTCACTCCTCGCCCTTAATTTTTCTTGAAGGGCGACTGCCTCAATATTCCAAGTCGCATCCTTCATGAGCCTCTGCCTCACTGCTCGGCCTTCACTCACACACCCACACACTTTACATTGACGCGCTTTACATTGACACGTTCATTCACAATAATTGTGTTCATGTTCATGGCACGTACCACTGGTGACCCATAGGTCAATGGTGAATTGATTGTCTACCCAGAGGAATTTGAAACGTGCACGGCTGTAACGTTCGTCACGGTCAGGTGACTAACGTTACAGCCGTGCACGTCTCGCCTACACATGGCCTCCTCTAACAGTGTTTCACGCTGCCATTCTAGGGCACTGCTGTTGTTACGCCAGTCGCGAGCGCCCGTTGCTCAGATTGCCGACGTCTCCCCCTTTTCCACCGTCGCCAGCTGCACGCGGCCATCAGCCACCGGGTGGACCCAGCGAGCCTCGGCCTGGGCATGGGCAGCCCGCTGCTCAGCAGCCTCAAGCAGACGGTGGTGACGCTGGCCAGTAACACTGGCGTGCTGCCCTCCGTGCAGTCGGCCGCCCAGGCCGTGCTGCAGAACGGCTGGTCGGTGCTGCTGCCCACAGCCGAGGAACGAGCCCGGGCCCTCTCTGCCCTGCTGCCCAGTGCAGGTCTCTTCCTTCATTCGTGTACTACTTCCTTCATTCGCGTACTACTTCCTTCACGTAGTCACTCAGTGGATTGGTTGCAAGTCTGTTGTGAGGTCATAGGCGAAGCTTGCCGAACTTGGTCACATCTCCAACTCCTATGAAGGAAATGTTTTTATTACTCAGGCATTCTGTTTATAACTCGTTTGATTAATTCCTTCAGTTCTGTAAAAACCACGTTGCAGGGCTGCAATTTGTGATAACTGTCTCATAGTTTGCGCGTGGGAGTTTACCGGAGATGTAAATGGGTTTTTTGGGCTGGTGGTGCGATGCATGGCTGACGCGGGAGTGGGCGACGTTCTCTCGTGTCGTTTCTGCCATTGCAGTGTCTGGACACGACGTGGGCATGAGCCCCGGGCGCCGCTTCATGACCGACCTGCTCGTCGGGAGCCTTATGGCTGACGGCGGCCTCGAGTGCGCGCTCAACGCCGCCATCGCCGCCGAGCTCCAGGTGAACACTGAGACCCCGCCATTCTCACCCTCGCTTCAGGCGCTGCTTCCCAGCGGGTAGGGAATGCTGTCTGCCTAACAGGCGTGGAAGGTTGCCTGGACGAATTGTCACCAATCATTGCAGAGTTAGCCCAGAGTTTAGCGATCCTCTGCTGGATCGCTCTACACAGGTTGTTGTTTAGCTCCACCCCCTGCCCTGTAGTTCCACTCCATGCCCTATAGTAATATTAACTACTTTCATACAAGTTTTGTGGATTCCAAACTCACTGAATGCAGATTACAATCGTGACTTAGAGAATACTCACGTCCTGTGCAACAGTGTTGTGTGTGCAAGTCTGTTTCAGACCAATTGGCAGAGTGTGACCATTGTCTTAGGGGGCTTGGTGTTTTTAGGCACGTGGTTTTCATCCCACTTGCCGAATCAAACTTCAAAGAGTATTTTTTTTTAGTATATTAAGCTGTAGCCCAAGACCCGGTGATGGAGTGTGAGGTGCGCACGTGTGCTCATGTTGGGCAGCAGGACATCGAGGCCAAGAAGGAGGCGCAGAAGGAGAAGGAGATCGATGAGCAGGAGGCCAACGTGTCGTCGCTGCAGCGCACCGGCTCTCAGCTCGACAAGGACATTATCAACACCGGCCTCTACAACGACTACACCGGCGCCAAGAGCCTGCCGCTGGTGCAGCTCGTCCAGCAGCTGCTCAGGTGTGCGTGCGGACCCTGGCTCTCGCGACCGGCATTGTTTTGTATCCCCATGCATGCCGCTGCTTATGATGCCATGCAGTTGGTGATGTTACGTTGCTATTCAAATACCCTCAGTCAGCAGAACACCAGGGAAGGGAACGGCCATGAATGTGATGCTAGGAAACCTCTCATGAGGCCCTGCAGGTGACCCGCCTTCGTGCCTCTAAAGCTGAAGGTGTTTAATCTGTGCTGGTTGTCTGGTTTGTTTGAGATCGGTGGCCCTTTGACTAAAAGCCGAAAGCGTTTTCTGGCAGTTGTTTTGGCCCTTTTGACCCCATCAGAATCGGTGCATGTGAGAACCTGGTTCACATGCGGGTGGCTTCCCAGACTTGATCCCAGCATCATGGCGCTGCTGCCTCATTGCTTGAAATTTGCAAAATGGGGTCGTAAGCATTGGATCACCGTGATTGTGTCTGTCAATGAATTTCCCTCGCCAGCTTTTATAAGATAATGATACCACGTTGTTATTGTCAGAGGAATGAGTGGGGATGACGAATCAGTTGAGTGGGTGCCGCTATGGCGAGTTGTTAACTACCATGCCTGGTATACAGGAGGTCGTGGGTTCGATCCCGACCCTGACGCCTTAATATTTGGAGTTTGCATGTTCTCCCCGTGGTCATGTTAGTTTCTCCGGATTCTCTGTTTTTTACCCTCCACATTTAGAAACTGTGTTTAGAGTATTTGGCTGCAATACATTTTCACATATTAAGCCATTGTTGATCTATCATTTATGGTCGCTTCTGAAAAAGAGCTATATAGCTCAGTGAGCCTTGTCTGGAATTTTTTTTTAGTTTAGTTTATTTGTTCCCCACTGTGTCGGATGCAGAAACGTGGCATCGCAGACGATCGGCAAGCTGAAGGTTGTGTCCGTGAACATCGCCTCCTCTGAGTTCTGCGAGTTTGGGAGTCCCCCAAGGGAGAAGTCGGCCTCCCTGGACCTCCTGCTGCGCTTTCAGAGGCTGCTGTTCAGCAAGCTGTACCCAGCAGAGGGTGGGTCCACGGTCGTGATGACAACCCATCATTGTGTGAGATTGGGGAACGTAGCAGGATACCTCTGGGGATTAAGGGCCCACTCTGAGGGCACGGAGCCACAGCCTCTTGTTTTCCTGGGTCACGGCTTCTTCTGAGAACACTTAAACGGCTCTGTTTTTACTGTAGTATTATTTGGTTGTTTTTGCACTGATTTATATTTTTGTTTATTGTTGTACATCTTTTAACGTTATGTATGTTATTGCCTTTGTAATGTTTGCGAATGTTACCATCCTGGTATCTTGAGTTCTCACCCGGTTAAACAAAATTAACATGAAACTTTAAACGAATTCCCTTCCACATGGCACGACCCATGGTTTTGTACTGCATTAATGTGTAATTTTATAAACACCTGTGTGTGTCTGTGGCTGGGAATGCGCTGTGCACGCTGTTGCTGCTGCTGCCGCCGTGTTTGGGATCGGGGAGTGCTGTCAATGTTCTTGGGGTGCTGATGACATGGCCCAGCGGTATTTCGCTCGCCGCTTCTTGCATTGGTTCGGGGTTCGAATCCACCAGGATGCCCTGGCTATTCCTGCACATCTGCTTCACAGAGTCCGCCATTGCGTGCCTCCTCCTGCGAAACTACGGCAGACTGTCTATATATGTGTGTATGTTGAACTTCTTTTGCACTGTAAACGTAGCCACACTGGTATTTAGAGGCGCTGAGACACGGTGGCGCGTTCCTACATGATGATAGCCTCGCGCCGTATGCATGGCGCTAGTACCAAGTGCAATGAGTTACAATGCAACTCGCTATTCTCCAGGAAGGGTTGAAGGTGTTGGGCTCGTTCCCCAGCACCACGGGGCAGGGGCAGAGGGGGGCGGGCTGGGGGGGTGAGCAGGGTGGGGGTTGGCGCCTCGCTTGCGTCACACGGCGCCTCGCGTGACTCGGCGCTGCCGTTCTTCTGCCCAGGACTGGAGCCCAGCGGCGCCGGCTCCCTGCTCAAGAAGTACATCGTGCTGCTGTGCAGCCATGTGGCCGACGTGCTGCCCGTGGCCACCAGTGTGGCCCACTCCAGCAGCCGCCACTTCGCCGAGGTCTCGTACGTCCTGGAGAGCGACCTGTGTGGTACGCACCGTGCCACGATGTCACAGAAACGCGCGGCTCGAGGAGGCTGTATGCTGCGTGTGTTGTGTTTTTTTAGCTCCGTTGCTGAGCACAGACTCAATCTTAAACGGACAGCAACAAACAGAACTATCAAAGTTTCATTGACAGTTTATTGCATTGAGTAGCATTATTATTGTAACAACTTGGGGGAAAAGAGACGATTGGAGGGAATTCCAGACTGGAGCAATGTGAGGGAAGATGCAGAGAGAAGTGTTATCACCTGCACTGTGGTGATTGATTGATTGAGTGTGTGAGTGGGTAAGTATATGGGTGGGTGGGTGTGTGAGGAGCAGTGACACAGTGGTTCACGCACCACACGCACATTCGTAGAGAGACATGGGGACACACAAATACATATACCATTCTAACGCGTGTAGTTGACTGTAACATGGGTGTTATTTGTGTCTCCCAATGCCCGCGCTTCATCGGGCTTTTATTCTCGCACACAACACAACGTAATAATTTGCGCCATCGAGAAGCGTGGTCTTCACTCCCAGGCATCTTGGGTCCCGCCCAACCGAGCGAAAGAATGCCCAAGCGGCCAACGTGTGGGAACGGTTCCGGGTGGAGGAGCTGCGGGGGCGCGGGTGCCACCTCCCACAGCCGTGCGCCCCGCCTGCGTGGGCGCTGATATGCGAGCTCTAACATGCGTGTGTGCCTTGTGCACCAGGCGTGCTCTTGCCGGAGCTGGTGCTCGGCGTCTTGCTGCTGCAGGTGAAGTCGCCGACGCTCATGCAGGACGCCGGCGCCATCCCCGTGCTGGCCGGGCTGCTCGAGCACCTCGACCGCTTCAACGGTCTGGCGCCCGGCGCGGAGAAGGACGACCACGAGGACCTCGCCTGGCCCGGAATTTTGGGTGACGCCGCTTCCCCCACTTGCCCTCACGGAACGCGATTGCCTGTGCCCGCGGCCGACCATTTCCTCGTTTCCTTAAAGTCATTCAACTGCGCCCGGCTGGGGTTGCTTGCGTCACTCGAAAACCGGCTGTTGCTCGAGCAGCACTCCTTCAAGCCGATCTCTGTAGACCTCGGAGGCAAGCGGCGAATTAAGAGGGGGAACGGTAAATGTAAGATATAGGTTTTGCGGCCAACGGCATTATGTTGCCCAACACAAGTTTATGAAATTGACGCCCGTGTGTTTAACGTAGACATACCGTTAGTCAACATTGTAACATTAGTTAACAATGCTAACATTAGTGGAAACCATGGGGTCCTATGGGAGGTGACACGTTACTGTTAAACGAGGGACTACGGTATAGGATTACAGGCAAACGGTACCAGTTTTGACTGCCTTCCTGCTTGGCTGTCATTTCATGCGGTTCTGTGCGAAAACTATGTGCATTATAAATCTTTCGAGATGCAATTTGCACAAATGATCAGATATATAATTGAAACATGATTATTATGGCTTTGCCTTGCCATCACTGTGGACCTAAGCGCCCCCCTCCTCTCTGTTAGCAGATTGTAGGCAGGCACCTTGGGCAGGTTATGGTGCCCCCCCACCTCAGTGCCCACCCTGACTCTACCATCGTCTATTTCAGTGCCATGGTCGTTCCTGGTGCCGCTCAGCCCCCAGAACAGCGAAGAGATAACGGTGATTCGCAAGTCAGATCTGGAGAACCACAACAAGGATGGTGGCCAGTGGGCCGTCCTGCAGGGCCGCGTCTACGACGTCCTGCTCTTCCACGCACAGACACTGGTCGAGAACGGCCACCTGGGTAATTATTCCGCCTGTGCTCTGGGTCACGCTCCCATCACTGGGTTTGCAGGAGGGGTTTTCTTCTGTTCCACTGCTGCTCTCAGAATCTGGAACTGGCTCTCTGGTGCTCTCCGATTGGTAATGGCACTTTGACTGAGGGCCATAGTCTTTACAATTTAAGTGGTATTTTCCTTAATTATGTTTTTTCCGATACCAAGAGTACGGAAAGTTTGCTACTGCTCATTACATGAACTAAATCGAGGTTAATTTCGATTTAAAGCTTTCGTGACTGCAGGGATTCATCTTCTTGGTTTTTTCGGTAAAGTCACGTAGAATGGAAACAAAGTAATAAAAATAAAACATAATTGGATAAAATTCTCACGACGTTTCGGCCACAACACAAGTAGCCTTCTTCAGGTGAAGGAGCAGAACTGTCGGGACGATAGCGCTTCATTGAACGCTGCTAAGATTCGTAGCGTCTTTTAAGCTAGGTGCGAGAAGTGAAGCGCCTTGACAAAGGAGTTTACATATCAAACAGGAGAATTTAGCATTGAAATAGCTGAGGGATTAGCTTGTGACTGGTCACAGAAATAGCTATGTTAAAGTCAAAGTTTACATATCAACAGAGGCATTTAATATATGGACGCTAAAGGGCTGCAACTACCCAACTATCATACAGTAAACCGATGTGAAAAAAACAGTCTAAATTACATCAATATATAAAATGTACTCAATATATTCTTCAATAAGCTGAGCTATTAACATAAAGCAACTAGGTATACACTACACTATATAATGAATACCATATAGTAAACCAATAAAAAAACTAAAATATAAACTACCTCAATGTTATCAATAAACTCTATATACTCTCCAATCAGCTGAGCCACCAACAATAAGTCGTTATATATCACAATGCTATATGGCGAAAAAATGGATGGCGGCTTCTCCCCTCAACTTCAGAACCACGGACAGCGACGAGCCCCGTTCAGACGGACGAGTCCATCCATGCTCGGAACGGAGGAGGGGGGAGAGAAACAGCCACAATGCGCTGTTATACCATTAACCGTGGTGTGAGAGGCAATGCCAGCGAAAGAGCTGCGGTCTGAAGGTCACCGTAAAATACAATTAATTAAGAACCGAAATGGTTTAAAACATCTTTCCAATGGTTACTAAGCCAGAATCCTTCTTCTCGGTTGAAATTGTCTCTGTGCTTGTATATGTGGATGGCCTCATGAACGAATCTTTCATGGTAGCCGGTTGGCTTGTAAAGAACCTCCGTCTTGGAGAAGTCAATGTCATGTGAGCCCACTGAATTATAATAGTGATCTGCCACGGCAGAGGAGTTCGTCCTACCGTGTTTCAAGTCTGCTTTATGTCCGCGGATGCGGTCTGAGATATGTCGTTTGGTTTCTCCAATGTTGCTGCTACCACAGAGGCACTTTAGTTTGTTAACGCCCGGGGGCTGTATGTCTGGAACAGCATCTTTTACAGATGGAACCAGATCAGGGATTCTATGTACTGTGTTGAATCGGACCTGGATCTTGTGTTTATTCAGGATTTTGGAGATCTTTTTAGTGACCCCTGCAATGTAGGGTAAGGTGATGGTTTTAAGTGGCTCCTCAAGAGGATCCTTCTTCATGACTGGAGTGATGGCTTTGCGGATTGTATAGTCGGAGTAACCATTAGCCCTGAGAGCCTGGTGTACGTGCTTGAGTTCACTGGCAATGTGTTCCTGGTCGGAAATGCATTGGGCTCTATGGTAGAGTCTTGATGAGGGAGTTCTTCTGGGATGGATGGTGGTGGGAATCCGGTTTCAAGTAAGCATCTGTATGGGTAGCTTTCCTGTAGACAGAGTGGTTCATTGAACCATCAGGTCTCCTTTTAATTAAGACATCCAAAAAGGGTAGCTTGCCATCTTTTTCGACCTCCATGGTAAATCTGATGGCTGGGTGTATGGAATTGATGTGGTCGAGGAATTGGTCTAGAGCAGGCTGGCCATGTGGCCAGATGACAAAAGTGTCATCCACGTACCTCTTTCATAAGGTCGGGCGTTGAGTGGCAGTCTGGATGGCGTCAGTTTCAAATTTTTCCATGAATACGTTGGCTACAATCGGAGAAAGGGGGGAGCCCATTGGGGTGCCCTCAGTCTGTTTGTAGAAAGTTCCATTCCAGGTGAAGTATGTGTTGGTTAAGCAATGTCTCACCAGGGGGGGTACATCAGTATGCAGTCCTTGATGAACCAAGTCTTCAATGATTGCGATGCTGTCAGGTACCGGAACTTTGGTGAATAAGGACACCACATCAAAACTGACAAGCAGGTCGTCTGGGGACAGGGAAATACCCTTGATTGTCGATACCAGGTGAGTAGAGTTTAGTACCGCAGAGGTGGTTTTTCCAGTGAAAGGTCGCAGGATATCAGAAAGAAAACGAGCCAGTTTGTAGGTGGGGGAGTTGATAGTGGAGACGATGGGACGAAAGGGTGTATTTTCTTTGTGTATCTTTGGAAGGCCATATAATCTTGGTGGTCTGGCCGTAGAAGGTTTCAATGAGAACTGTTTGGTTTGATCAATTAATGCTGTTGAATCAGAAATGATTTTGTTGGTTTTAGTAACCAGGCTGTTGGTGGGGTCTCTTCTTATTTTTGTATAGCTGTCATCGTTGAGAAGTCCCTGAATTTTGTTGTTATATTCTGTTTTGTCCATGATGGCAGTGGCATTGCCCTTGTCGGCTGAGAGGACGACAATGTCATCTCTCTTTTTTAATTGAGCTAATTCAAAGCGCTCATCTCTGATGATGTTGCTAGGTGGCATCTTAGCGTTTTTGAGGGTTGCAGCGATTTCAGATCTTGCTACGTCTGCAGAGATGTGACCCAGGCCCTTGAGTGCAATGTCTACATGGGCAATGATGTCATTAACTGGTATGTGTCTCGGTGTGACTGCAAAGTTTAGACCTTTCGCTAAAACGGATTTCAGGCCGTCAGAAATAGAACTGTTACTGCGATTAATTACGACTTTGTTAACGCCTAGCTTTTTGGTGTGTGGGTCCGATTTCTTGTTGGAAAGGCGGTTGAATTTGGAAATCAAATTGTCCTTACATTTGGTCGACATAGTGGATGCTGAAGAGGCAGTCATATTGTCTACATGTTTCCAATCCGATGTAGACATTGTTGCCGTCAATGATAAGTGTGATTTGTAGAGTATCTTGTCTAACTGATCTCGTTCGGTGCGTGTAAGTCTGATTTTTTTCTGAGATAAGAGCCAAGCTAGTTCTAGCTAGAATTCGTTTTGCATTAAAAGAGGATACAACAGCAGAGGTTAGTGTAAATGCGGTTGGTATTACCTTAGAGCCGCAGAAGGTTTCAACGAGAACTGTTTGGTTTGATCAATTAATGCCGTTAAATCAGAAAAGTGTTTTGTTGGTTTTAGTAACCAGGCTGTTGGTGGGGTCTCTTCTTATTTTCGTCCCATCATCTCCACTATCAACTCCCCCACCTACAAACTGGCTCGTTTTCTTTCTGATATCCTGCGACCTTTCACTGGAAAAACCACCTCTGCGGTACTAAACTCTACTCACCTGGTATCGACAATCAAGGGTATTTCCCTGTCCCCAGACGACCTGCTTGTCAGTTTTGATGTGGTGTCCTTGTTCACCAAAGTTCCGGTACCTGACACCATCGCAATAATTGAAGACTTGGTTCATCAAGGACTGCATACTGATGTACCCCCCATGGTGAGACATTTCTTAACCAACACGTACTTCACCTGGAATGGAACTTTCTACAAACAGACTGAGGGTACCCCAATGGGCTCCCCCCTGTCTCCGGTTGTAGCCAACGTATTCATGGAACCACTCAAAACCTTCACCTTACCCTACATTGCAGGGGTCACTAAAAAGATCTCCAAAATCCTGAATAAACACAAGATCCAGGTCCGATTCAACACAGTACATAAAATCCGTGATGTGGTTTTATCTGTAAAAGATGCTGTTCCAGACATACAGTACCCGGGCGTTTACAAACTAAAGTGCCTCTGTGGTAGCAGCTACATTGGAGAAACCAAACGACATATCTCGGACCGCATCCGCGAACATAAAGCAGACTTGAAACACGGTAGGACGAACTCCTCTGCCGTGGCAGATCATTGTTATAATTCAGTGGGCTCACATGACATTGACTTCTCCAAGACGGAGGTTCTTTGCAAGCCAACCGGCTACCATGAGAGATTCGTTCATGAGGCCATCCACATATACAAGCACAGAGACAATTTCAACCGAGAAGATGGATTCTGGCTTAGTAACCATTGGAAAGATGTTTTAAACCATTTCGGTTCTTAATTAATTGTATTTTACGGTGACCTTCAGACCGCAGCTCTTTCGCTGGCATTGCCTCTTAATACCTCTCACACCACGGTTAATGGTATGGTTTATAACATGGAGTATAACAGCGCATCGTGGCTGTTTCTCTCCCCCCTCCTCCGTCCCGAGCATTGATGTACTCGTCCGTCTGAACGGGGCTCGTCGCTATCCGTGGTGCTGGCGTTGAGGGGAAGAGACCGCCACCCATGTTTTCGCTATATGCATTGTGATATATAACGACTTATTGTTGGTGGCTCAGCTGCTGGAGAGTGTATAGAGTTTATTGATAACATTGAGGTAGTTTATATTTTAGTTTTTTATTGGTTTACTATATGGTATTCATTTTATAGTGTAGTGTATACCCAGTTGCTTTGTGTTAATAGCTCAGCTTATTGAAGAATATATTGAGTACATTTATTATATTGATGTAATTTAGACTTAATTTTTTCACATCGGTTTACTGTATGATAGTTGGGTAGTTGCAGCCCTTTAGCGTCCATATGACCAGTCACAAGCTAATCCCTCAGCTATTTCAATGCTAAATTCTCCTGTTTTATATGTAAACTCCTTTGTCAAGGCGCTTCACTTCTCTCACCTAGTTTAAAAGACGCTACGAATCTTAGCAGCGTTCATTGAAGCGCTGTCGTCCCGACAGTTCTGTTCCTTCACCTGAAGAAGGCTACTTGTGTTGTGGCCGAAACGTCGTGAGAATTTTATTTTATTATGTTTTATTTGTATTACTTTGTTTCCATTCTTTTTGACTTTACCGAAAGAACCAAGAAGATAAATCGAGGTATTTATATTTTTTAAGTAAGGTGTGATTGAAAGCACTTTCTAGATGGAGGACAGTCCTCCATGGGTCGAGTCGATGGGGGAAGGCCTTGAGCCTGGACTGGAACAGGAGCAGGAGCAGGAAGTTGGTGGGGATGCAGGGAATGTCATGCGGCAGCGGCAGAGAGGGAGTGGCCTCCTATTGGTTGAGGCTTTAAACAGAAGGCCTTGGTTGCTGGAGTTGAGAGGATACGGAGAGCAGAGACGATGAGTGGGGCTGTCTCGTGTCGTCCCATGCAGCTGAGTACGCGGGCGAGGAGCCTCTGGCTGCACTGGAGGCCGCTTTGCACTGTGAGGAGCTCAAGGAGACCATGCAGAGCTTCTGCGTGGGACACTACCTGGACGTAAGCCCTTCGCTTTGTCTGTTGAACCACAGGAGGCCTGCAGGGAGCCCCATGGCAAAGGAAAACGTGTGTGAATTTCAACGTGGGTGGTAGGGAGGCTGGCATAATGGTATCACTTGTGCGTCACAACAGGAAGGCCTGGGTTCGATTCCCGACAAGGGCGCCTCTCCGTTTATTCCCTCTCCATTCTTCATGGATTTTCTCCGCGTTCTCCGGTTTCACCCCCCCCCCCCCCCATAGCTAAGCACACACGCTCACTGGAAATGGTATTGGCCAAACATTCCAATGCTCACAAAAATGACACTGCAAATTACTCAATTGGGATTGCACACAGCAGCATCACCTTTTTACTTAGAAAACTTGTCAGGACCCTCCAGAAAAAAAGTATCTTGAGACTCAGGGAGGCTGTTGACTAAACGAGCGTAACAACAACAATTAAACTAGATTCGAAGCTTTCGTGACTGCAGGAATTGCTCTTTGGTTCTTTCGGTAAAGTCCCGTAGAAAGAAATGTGATTAAATAATAATAGAATACGACGTTTTGATTGCAACACAAGCAACCATCATCAGGTACAAATGAATGAGAAAGCAAACATAGTAAACTTGGAAGTATAATGCAATACAACACAGATAGTTGGCCAACACAACAGTCAACACCCCACCTGGTTGATTACGTTCCTCCAAAGATTGCTAAATTTGAGAGAGAAAAAACACAGACACGGAGACACTCAGACAGACACACAAGCAGAGAGAGACTCGCACAGAGACAAACAGAGAGAGACACACATAGGCACACAGAAAGACAATGTCTCTGTGTCAAGGCCTTAAATAGAGAGAGAGGGGTTGGGCAGAGGGGGAGTTGTGTGGAATTCCTGCCCATAGCAGACGGACGAGCTGGACACTGGACTTGTAAACAAACAAGCACGGAGCGTTGTCTGGAATTCCTGCCCATAGCGGTCAGAGGAGAGAATGGACTTATAAACAAGCACGGTAGAAAGCAAACTTAGTAAAATAAGGAAGTGTAATGCAATGCAATGCAATTCTTCTTGTTTGTGGTAAGCACGCAAGCCCGGTGGTTTTGGTGGAGGGGGAGAAAAAAATTAAGACTCGATGCCCCAACTTGTGGTGGTCTTTTGTCAACGGGGGGGGGAGAGAGAGCTTTATATATATATGGGTGGGGGGTCAAGAGGGGGCCTGGAAGAGGTAACCAAGGTTCTAAGGGGAGACCGGGTGTGGGTGGTGGTGAGGGAGATGGGATGGAAAAAGAACACGCTATAAATCATACTATATGCACATAGCTTTATGGGTGGGGGTGACAAACCTGTACTCGATTCTGGGTCCATCTCACTGTGGCTGACAGGGGGGGGTTGCCCTTCCTGTGCCCGCTCCCATCTCCCAGCCCTGGCCCTCTCCACCTTTCCTCTTTTGAAACTCCACAGGAAGGGGGACCCACCTGGTCTCGAATTCTTATTCCTTCCCTTTAAGTTTGTGGGACAGGTGTTCAGTGCCCACATGGGCTAGCAGGGGGTTGTGCCTCTGTTTTTATGAGGGGGGTTCATGGTCTTTCCAGTTAGACAAAATGTTTTTTCTGGCTATGATATTAAAGTTTTGGAGTAGTGCGTGTTTGTGTTTTGAAAGGGCACCTGGTTTTTATGGAGAGAGGTCAGTGCCACATCTATCATTCAAGAAGGCCTAGATTTTCTGGTATAATTCTGGTGTTTTCAGGCATGAACAGAACTCATGTAGGTAGGATTGTGTTGTGCTTGGGGTGCTTGCCGGGTCAGTGTTGATCCGAACGCTGTTGCCAACAGCCGGAGCAAGACGTGGTATCGTGTGTGGAGCTGGGCAGCATGCCGTCGCCTCTCGCCGACACGGAGAGAGCCCTGGGCCTGCTCCTGGGCCTGCACTCTGCCCACCTTGCTTGCAGCACCCCGCTGTCGGCCGTCGAGGTCGAATGTGCAGGTACGCGCCATACGCCAGCTGTGGGGGATGGTCGCGACGCCGCGTGGCACAAGGGCGCGGCTTGGCTACTATTAACAGCAAACTGCTGAAATCCCCACCTCGCAGTGAATTAATGGTATGCATCGGTATCATCGTCATAATCATTGTGATCATAACCATCACGTGGTGATAAGTTAACTACCTTGCCTGGTATACAGCAGGTCGTGGGTTCGATCCTGATGCCTTTATATTTGGAGTTTGCATGTCTCCCTGTGATTGCGTGATTGAGTCCTCTGTTTTTCCCTCCACATTTAGAAATACGCCTTTAGAGTATTTGGCTGTTATACATTTACACGTGATGTGCCACTTTGTTGAGCTATCGTATGTGGCCAGGTCACTTCTCACGAAGAGCTGTATAGATTAATGGGCCTTACCTGGTAAAATAAAAATAGTTTTTGTTCAGTAATGGTGAATGTTGTCTCACGGTATACTCATTACAATGACACATTTACACCATAGCCAAAATATACAAAAGTAAATAAAGCAGACAACACACAACCTTCCCAAATCATGTCCAGAGTTTGCTTTTTTTGAAATTATGCAATCCTAGAAGGCCATGTGGCTGATGTGATAAGGAAAACATTTTTTTATATTGTGAGTGGCAAGGTGGCACAAGGTAACACTCATGCCTCACAGAAAAGTGCCTGGGTTCGATTCCCAACTTGAGTGCCTTTAAGTATGGAGTTTTTATATTATCTCCCTGTATGCATGGGTTTCCTCAAAGTTCTTTGGTTTCCCCACATAGCTAAAAAAACCAGAACGTACAATGTGATTGGTATTGTGCATACATCCCAATGCTTAAGAATTACCTTTAAATTTCTCAATTGGGATTACACAAAGAAAATCTCCCGCTGCTGCAAAAACTTGGCAAGACCTTCCTGAATAATTCTCGAGACTCAGTGAGGTTTTTCTGGATAAACAAGCGTAACAACAAGAACAATAATAAAATGTATGATGTGGAGAGGGACAGATGTGGGAAGGAAGAGATGGGAAGGAGTTGTACACTAAAAGATACAAGGCACACGATGGACAGTTCAGTCCCAATATTAAACCAGTCACACTCAGTGGTATGCAATGGCCTTGTTTGGTAAAGTGGTCTTGTCTTTACGCTTTGGTTCTTTGGTAAAGTCACGTAGGTAGAAATAAAATAAAATAAAACAAATCACGACGTTTCGATCGCAACACATCAGGTGGAACAACCACAGCAAGAAAAATGCTGAAGTAGGCGAGAGAGCTGCCGTGGCAAGAGGTTATATAGGTAAGAAAGGGCGGAGGAACAAGAGGGGAGGGGGGGGGGTGTGTGGGGTAGGGGAAGGTGGGGGGGGCTGTGTGAGTGCTAGGGGGAGAAGTGAGGCTGGGGGGGAAAGTAGGCGGGGCTAGAAGTGGGAAGCTGGGGACACGGGGGGAAAGTAACTCAGAAAAATAGACTAGTACCCGGTAAGTATGATGGAAACAACCACAACCAGTTAAGGCTTTACCTGGTTAATAACATCCTTCCAATGATTGCTCAATTTGTATCTATCTTCTCAGTTGAAGTTATGTCTATGTTTATATATTTGGATGGCTTCATGAACAAACCTTTGAAAGTAGCCTGAAGGTTTGCAGAGTACCTTGATCTCAGAAATATCATGCGAGCCCACAGCGTTATAACAATGGTCAGCCACGGCAGAGGTATTGGTTCTGCCGTGTTTCAGATCTGCCTTGTGTTCGCGAACACGGTCTGAGACATGTCGTTTCGTTTCCCCAATGTAACTGCTACCGCAGGTACAACTCAGTTTGTAGACTCCAGGATATTGCATATCAGGAATGACATCCTTCACAGATGGGATAAGATCAGGGATTTTGTGTACTGTATTGAATCGGACCTGGATCTTGTGTTTGTTTAAGATTTTGGAAATCCTTTTGGTAACACCTGCTATGTATGGTAAAGTGATGGTTTTGATTGGCTTCTCAGGGTACCCATTCATCTTTTGAGGGTCTGGTGTACGTGTTCCAGTTCACTGGCTAGGTGGTGTTGGTCAGAAATGCAGTGGGCCCTATGGTGTAGTTTTTTTAATGAGGGAATTCTTCTGTGCCGGATGATGGTGGGAATCAGGTTTTCCTGTAGACAGAGTGGCCCAACGAGCCCTCAGGTCTCTTCTCAAATAAAACATCCAGGAATGGTAGCTTACCATCCTTCTCCACTTCCATGGTGAATTTTATGGATGGGTTTATGGAATTGATGTGGTTGCGAAATTGGTTCAATGCTGGCAGGTCACGTGGCCAAATGACGAGTGTCATCTACATATCTTTGGTTAGGCAGTGCCGAACCAAAGTTGGTACTTCAGGATTCATTCCATGTTGGATCAAGTCTTAATTTATTGCTAGGGTGTCAGGTACAGGAACCTTGGTGAACAGAGAGACTACATCAAAGCTGACGAGCAAATCATCTGGGGACAGTGAAATTCCCTTGATTAGAGAGACCAAGTGAGCTGAGTTACGTATTGCTGAGGTAGTCTTGCCCGTGAATTGAAGCAAGGTCTCAGACAGAAATGGGGCCAGTTTGTAGGTAGGTGAGTTGATAGTGGAAACTATGGGCCAAAGTGGAGTACCGTCTTTATGGATTTTGGAAGACCATAGAATCTGGGTGGTCTAGTAGCAGAAGGTTTTAGGGAGAGCCGCTTGAATGGTTCGATTAGAGAAGTCGAATTGGTAATGATATTGTTGTTTTTTGTAGCCAGGCGGTTGGTAGGATCTTTGCTGATTTTGGTGTAACTGCCATCATTAAGAAGGTCCTGGATTTTGTTGTTGTATGTGGTTTTATCCATGATTACAGTAGCATTGCCCTTGTCGGCTGAGAGGATGATTGTCCTCTCTCTTTTTCAATTTGGCGAATTCAGAGCGCTCATCTTTGCTGATGTTATTAATGGGTTTATTAGCATTTTGAAGGATGGTGGCAATTTCAGATCCTGCCACGTGTCGGGATGTGTCCCAAGCCTTTGAGGGCTACATCTACCTGGGCAATTATATCATCCACTGGGATGTGTTTGGGGGTGACAGCAAAATTCAGCCATCTAGCTAGTACCGATTTTAGGTTATCGGAGATTGTGCTGTTACTCTGATTGATAACGGTCTTGTTAACATCTAGCTTTCTAATGTGTAGATCTGGTTTCTTTTTTGACAAGTTATTGAATTTAGCAATAAGGGTAACCTTGCATTTGGAGGACATTGTTGCGGCAGAAGAAGCAGTCATGTTATCAATGTAATAAGTGGCTCCGACACGGTAAGAACTTTACGTTGTTTATTAACAAATCTTCGGTACAGATTGCTTCTCTCTCTCAATACGAATGTTACGCCACCCAGGCAGATTCGCTGCCCCGCGCCATGTGGCGCTCACCCCGCTCGCTAACGCGCCGCTGGCTGACGGCGCGCTAGGGAGCGGTCGAGCGGCTGGAGGTCGAGCCGCCACATGGCATATTGAGATGGCGGGGCAGCAGCGACGGGGAGCTCCTCTTGATCTTCAACATCGACCCCGCACCTTGCCCCGGCCCCTGCTTATATGCGCTTCCCGGCGGCTAAGCCCTGCCTCTGGCCACGCCCCTCCTGGATCTTTCGGGAACGCTCCAGAGGCTTCCCGGGTGGATCCGCCCCCCCACCTTTGCTCCAGATATAAACCCTACTATAGATAAACCATAACTGTATGACAAGTAACGCCCCACATAATACAGGAAATGGCGCTCTCATTGCATCTACAAGGTTCCAATCAAATGCAGACATTTTATCTGTTAATGTTAAGTCTGATTGTTATAACGCTGTGGGCTCGCATGATATTGTTTTTTCCGAGACCAAGGTACTCTGCAAACCTTCGGGCTACTATCAAAGGTTTGTTCATGAAGTCATCCAAATATATAAACATAGACATAACTTCAACTGAGATGGATACAAATTGAGCAATCATTGGAATGATGTTATTAACCAGGTAAAGCCTTAACTGGTTGTGGTTGTTTCCATTATACCTGCCGGGTACTAGTCTATTTTTACGAGTTACTTTCCCCCCATGTCCCCAGTTTACCACTTTTAGCCCCGCCTACTTCCCCCACAGCGTCACTTCTTTTCCCCCTAGCGCTCACGCAGCCCCCCCTACCCCACACCCCCCCCCTCTCTCCCCCCTTGCCCCTCTCCCCTTTCTTACCTATATAACCTCTTGCCACGGCAGCTCTCTCGCCTACTTCAGCATTTTTTCTTGCTGCGGTTCCACCTGATGAGGATTGCTTGTGTTGTGATCGAAAGGTGTTTTATTTTATTTTATTTCTACCTATGTGACTTTACCGAAATAACCAAAGAATATGGATTCCTGCAGTCAAGAAAGCTTCAAATCAAGATTGGTCTTGTCTAGCCTGTGTTGTAAACCTTGCTCTTTGTCATTGTATCTGTGTATGTTGAACTTCTTTTGCACCACATGTAGTAATCGGATGTGTGGGGTTGTCTGCCTCCCATTATTTGTGTTTGGCAACGTAATTTATTTGGCTGTCTGTAGGCGGCTAGCACATACCCTTCCCATGTCCATGCCGTCGTGTCTCGTGGCTAACCTTTGACCTGCTGTCCCGCTGCTGCTCCCTCAGAGTGGCTGCAGTCTCCGTTGTTCCTAGGCGGGCTGCAGACCAACCCCACTCGCTACAGCTACAACGAGGAGAAGGACGAAGACCACAGCAGCGCGCACGAGTCTCACCCTTCTGGCGCCGCCAAACTTAAGGCCCGCCGCCTCACGCTGCCCGATGCCTCGCAACCCTTCCTGCAGGCCCTGGCGGACAACGCCACCCACGACCACGCTGTCAAGGTGCCTGGGCTAACGTTGATGTCTGATTACCGGGTCGGCGCCGCTGACATGGCTGGGAAGCACCACGCCAAATAGCGGCACACAACTCCACGTCCCCCGAGAGCAGCCTCCGAGGGCACTCGTTCATGCTCATTGTGCTCTGAAGTCGGCAGCACGATTCACAACCTCGACGTCGACGGATAGTCGCTCCTCAAAACACATCCGTGCGAAAGAAGTAGCGATGAAAAACTAATGCTGTTCCTGCAAATGAATGCCATTGCTGTGTTTCCTCAACATCTTTGCTTTTTGGTCACGTGCGTGTGAATTTCCAGGACTTCCTGTGCCACCTGGAACGCTTCCACAAGCAGAGCAACCTCATGACTCCGATCGCGTTCCCGGCTGAACATCCCGTCGAGGAGATTGGCCGATTGCTGCTCTGCTGCCTTCTCAAGCACCTGGACCTGGGTATACGCAGCAATCTTGGACTTGCAGAGTTGTGATGAGGCCCCCAACTTGGCTGCTTGTTTATTAAAAGCCACAACATTTACAATTTGAGTACCTTGACATTTAGCCAGTGATTACAACCAGCTTTATCAGGCTTTTTTCTAGGATTGTGAAGAAGCCTTCCTGTTTCGGTCTTAAATAGAGTAAAGGTGATGTCATTACCATCACCAGCAAAACGTCGTACTCAAATTGTAAATGTTGTGGGTTTACTCTCCAACACACCAGTGTGCTGAAGTTATAACTAATTGGCACGCTTTGTTTAGGTGACAAACCTTACTAATTGATTGTGTCGGGTGGTGGTGGTTTAACAACACATTTATATTTACGCAATCTAACCCAAAAACATTTGTTATGGACGAGCGGGAAGTACCCAGCGTTGCTCGGGCGAAAAATATGTAGACTTACACACAGACATCAACCCACACACACAAACACATCGACTTACACACACATGGACTTACAACAACCGCCATTCGCCACTAAGTGGCGGTGACGTCACCACGACGCTTGTGCCAGGCCACGTGAAGTGTCGAACGCCCGCTGGCAGGAGGTCACGGGGCAGACCCAAGTGCCATGGGTCGACTGACTAAGATGACTGAGATGACTGGCTGATGCACCACCTGTGTCCCCTACTGTGCCAACCTGCTGTACTTTAGCCACCCGGCGCTCCGCTCGTTGTTGTGAGCGTCGCTCCTCCGCCCTCTGTTGTTGTTGGAGGGCGACTGCCTCCAACTGCCCAGCAGCGTCGTTCACGAGCCTCCCACTCAGCTCCACGTCCTCCTGTACCACATCACTCTATCTCTTCTCTAGCCCGTGCCGCACCCGTTTAGCCCCCTCGATCCGGCCGAACAAAAGCTGTTTCGGCATGCGGTGGCTGGGCATGCGGGCTACATGACCCAGCCAACGCAGCCTTGCCTGCTGGAGGAGCTCACTGATGGGACCGTGCCCAGATCTTTCAAAGATTTGTGAGCTCCTCACACAATCCAGCCTGGTTAAACCCAGGATGAATCGTAGGCAGGCTAGCCTAAATGTTTCTAACCGGCGAAGATGTTCTATTAGGGGGGTCCACGTTTCACAAGCGTAGAGAAGGGAGGGAATGACCGTGGCCGAGAAGACCTGAAGCTTAGTGCGGAGCGACAGACGAGGTAGCTTCCACACAGCGTTACGCAGCCGATGAAAAGATATTGCCGCTCGACTGATTTGGAGTGAGATCTCTGCTGTTAAACTGGAGCCGGTCATAAGCACGCTGCCCAGGTATGGGAAACTCTCCACTCTCTCCACAACTGCCCCATCACCGATTGGGAGTTGTGGGGGTGGAGTGTCCGATGGTACAAAATACCCAGGCAGGTGCTTAGTTTTGGTGGGGCTGATGGTAAGGCCTCATCTCTTAGTGGCACGCTCCATTCTCAGCAGCAGCGTCTCCAACTCCTATTCTGAATGAGCAGCTATTAACAAATGATCGGCATACATAACGTGGTTGAGCAATAGGGAGCCATCCCTTGACCGCACCCGGGCATCGATCAGCCTCCCATTATATCTGTACCAAATGGAGATTCCCCCGATACAGCTATTGAAGGCTTCACAAACTACGTGGTCAATATAGATGTTAAATAATGTGGGAGCCAGAGGACATCCCTGTCGCACCCCAAGCTGTACAGGGAATGGCTCTGACTCCCGGCCACGTAGTTTTACCCGGGCCCGCTCACCAACATGAAGGTCCTTAATGATCGTGAGCAGAGGGTCAGGGACTCCAAAAGCACGAAGAACAACTCAGAGCCCAGGCCTACTGATGGCATCATAGGCCTTGACCAGGTCAATAAAGCAGAGATGTAGGTCTTGTTGGAATTCCCTACACCTCTGCTGTAGCAGACGGACAGAAAATATGGCATCTGTGCAGGACCGCCCTTTCCTGAAACCGCATTGGGGCTCCGCAAGCCTCTCCTCAGCGTGCCTGGCAAGGCGATGTTGAATAATCCTTGCCAGGACCTTTCCCGGCACACTGAGGGGTGAGATGCCCCTGTAGTTATTACAGTCCAATCCTGCGGAACCCGTCCAGTGGTCCAGACTGTTGTCATGATATTCTTGGTTCTTTCGGTAAAGTCACGTTGAAGGGAAACAATAAAATATATTTTATTATTTTATTATAATAAAATATATTTTATTATTTTATTTTTTCCCTTCAACGTGACTTTACCGAAAGAACCAAGAATATGAATCAGTGCAGTCACGAAAGCTTTAAATCAAAATTTGTTGTCATGATGTCATATTCGGCAGTCTGTGCACAAACGCCATCCTCCCTCAGCATTTCGGTTGGGAGAGAATTAAAGAGCGATTTGTGATCGCGGGCCATTGAGGCATCTCCTCAGCAACCCGCGACCACCACCCATCCTTGCAGTGCCTCACGGCTCTCCGAACCTCCGAGCGAAGGCTGCGGTAAGCCTCCTCATTCTCCGACGTGGGATGCTGTAGCCGATGAGAGTGGGCCTGTCGCTTTTTCTCAGCCAGCCTGAACACCGCCTCTGTCAGCCAGGGATCTCTGGGGAGGTCTGGACCGCGTACCCAAAGCAGCCATTGCAGCTACCTCAGTCACAGTCCTGAACCTCGCCTATTTCCCCTCTGCATCAGGAGGACGATGCCAACCCCAGCTGCAAGCGATGATGAAATTCTCGCTTGCCACTTTCATCAGCTAGCTAAGACCATACCACTAAGGGTTTGAATGGGGTCCTGGGTGTACACCCACCACCGGAGTGGAAGAATGTCAGGTGCATCTTACAGATGACAAGTCGATGGTCAGTGGGCAAATCAGCTCCACGTTAGGTCCTAGTGTCAAGGACATGGGCCCGCATCCGTTGTTCTGTCACTATGTGGTCCAGCAGATGTTCTTGCTTGGACCCGGCATGCATCCATGATGTGTGGATGCGCCGATGCAGGAGCAGCATGTTGGTAATTACAAGCCCATGGGCTGCACAAAAATCTAGCAGCCTCCTGCTGTTGTTATTGAGCTGATCTGGCGCATGCCTTCCAATTACTCCAGACCAGGTGCCAGCATCATGACCAACTCGTGCATTGAAGTTACCCAACAAGATGACTCTGTCCCGAGGGGCCACTTTAGCTAGCACCTGTGACAGGAGGTCATAGAAGGCATCTGACTCATTGGCTTTGCCTGCATCCCTCCTCGGTGGGAGCATAAGTAACCACGACCACCATTCCTCGCCTCTGGTTGATGGGAGGCAAGCCCAAAGTAGCCTGGGGCTTACAGCTTCCCACGCCTCACCGCCACGCTCCCACGCCCCCTTCATTCTTTTGTTTAGAAGAAGAGCCACTCCCCATTGTTTGGCAGTCTCCTGCCCCGAGAAGAGGACTGTCCACCCCTCATGGTGGCAGGAGCCAGAGCCGGTCCATCAGACCTCCTGAATACTACAGAGATCCAGGCGGTACTGGTCCAGCTCCCGACAGAGGAGTGGCAACCTCTACTCCGCAGCGAGCGTTCGAACATTACACGTGGCCACACGTAGTGGTTTTTTGTTTCTAGAGGAGCCCGAGGGTAAGGATTCAGTCCCCTGGCTCTGCCAAATGGGGTTTGGCCAGGAGACGTCATAGACGCCTGTCCCCCCGGGGGCCTCCAGCACAAGCTTATCAATTACATTTTTCATTCGTGTTTTAGTGGTAATTAATTGAAGGTGGATGGGTTACCAGCCCCTCGCACCCATCCAGAGCCCCCATTTGGCCGCTTTGGTGGTTACAAAAACGCCATGAGGGGAAAGACCAATTTAAATTGGCCTTCCCCCACGGCACTACCCATCACAGCATTGCCATCCGGCACCACAAGGAGGGAGGGGGTTGATTTTGCCGGACGACTTATATACACACACACACACACACATCGACTCACATACACACACACATCGACTCACACAGACACACATCGACTCACACACACACATCGACTCACACACACATCGACTTACACACATCGACTCGCATACACACATCAACTCACCCACAGACACATCGACACAAACGCACATTGACTCACATGCACACATGGACTTAGACACATACATTATTATTTTAATACTTGCTAACTTAATTTTTTTATATTAGTTTTCTATCTACGTGAGTTTAGCGAAAGAAGCAAGAAAATAGTACCTACTTAACAGTGCCGTGGTGAGGCCTAGTCCCGTGCAGAGCCCCCGGCCTCGCCTAGATTGCCCAGCCGGCCGAGGTGGCACCTTGGCAGGCTGAGCTGCTATACCGCCTCCCCTCCACCAGCTGCTCTACAGTAGCTACAAACTACTCTACAGCAGTATCTACCCACTCTATAGTTGTATATACGGACTCTACTATTATAGAGTCGATATACACTATTATACTCTCACTTCACAGAGTGTAGTGGTGAGGCCTAGTCCCGTGCAGAGCCCCCGGCCTCGCCTAGATTGGCCAGCCGGCTGAGGTGGCACCTTGGCAGGCTGGGGCTGGGCCGCTACTCCCCCCACAATCCCCCCGCCCGCTCTACAGTAATAGTACGTAAGCTCTATAATATTAGTATCTACTCACCCTATAGTAGTAATTGCACACATTGGGGTGGGAGAAGAGGAAATCACACTTTAAAAATGCAACCAAAAAAACACACAAGACTGAGGTCTTGTGTGTTTTTTTGGTTGCATTTTTAACGCAAATGAGAATTTCCTCCCCCCCCACCGAACGCGGGCATGTCGCTAGGGGGCGCGCATGCGCAGATGCGTACATTGCCGTGCTGGGAGGCACAAATAATAAATAACTAACAACAAACTGCACTTTATGGCTAATTAAAGTACTTTAAAGGTGACGGACACGAAATCGGAATAGCGCTGGCTCACCACGGGGCTTATGCCGTTCTACCTGGGTACTTTTTTTTTTATACGTAAACCCCACGGTTCGCGAGGCAAATCCCTCGCAAGTGTCGGCCACACACAGACGGACGGACAGACAGACAAAGAATGCCTTTTATAGGTAAGATAATATTGGTCATGAAAGCTCACGTGTTAAACTGCTAGTTTATTGCACTTTTTTTCAGGAGGGCCTTGCCAGGTTTCTGTAGTCGGGGTGATATAGTTTTATGTAATTCTCGGTATCAACGACATAAAAAAAGTTCCCTTTGTTTATTGTACCTTGACTATTTAGTGAGCAAGGTTGCTGAGACAGCCGCAGTTGAATTTAAACGCAGCTGCTGGTATAGACATTATTATTCCAGAATGATTGACCTTTTACCTTCAGCCGAACCTTCACACCTTGCTAACGTCGTGTTCCTTGTTTTTGTGATGCTCTAGCACAATGCTTGACTCATAACTGTACGGTTGCAAGTTCAAATCCAGATTGGGGTTCGACTCAGCCCATCATCCCCCCTGGGGTTGAAAAAATAAGTACCACTTTGTTGAATTCAACAGCAGTTGTCTCAAGGTGAACTGTACCCTTCCCAGGAAAATGGAATTTCCTCCCGGCGCCGGGGCTTAGGGCAGGCAATGGCGTGAGCACTGCCCACTGCTCGTTTGTGTCACAAACTGTGCCTCATCCCTCGCCTGATTAGCAATGTGGCTTGTCACAGGACACATGGCTCTGTCGGTGATCGAGCAACTTCCCACGTCAGACCCGAGCAAAGCGGCGAGGCTTCCCAAGCCCCTGGTGGATGTGTGCAGGGCGGTGTACCAGGCGAAGTGTACGCTTATCAAGGCAAGTCCTTCCATCCACCTTCTCACACCGATGACAAGTGACAGGAGCATTATTCTTGAGATAAATTGCAGACACAAGAGGCAGCAGCTTTTTCTGCCTTGTCACTTAGTGGGCCCTCTCTGAGTTATGTTATAGCTTCGAATATGAGCACCAGGACCTTACAATACACAGTCGAAACTGTCAGTGGAAGTGACACCAGCTGAAGGACAGCAGCCATATCCATTGCCAGCCTGTATATCCAGTGCTGACCTCATCTGCCTGACATCATGAACTGTCTGGCACTCTGCACGCTTATTGCCTTTTGGCAGATCCTTCCCCAAATCAAAGACAAATGGTCACAAAGGAGGCTCATGAGCCCTGTTTGAGATCCTCGGATTTATTGGCCACTTAGGATTGAGTGGAAGCGACATTACATCGCAGAGTTTTAAGAGTTGTGTGGGAAGTCTTATCACAAACCAGTGAATTGGCTCCACAAATTGTCAGAGGAAAGCATATCAGTGTGATTGTTTTGCTATTGAACACAGTTACTGAGCACAGGCCCAAAACATAATGCAGCCAGCAACAAACAGCAGCACTATCAGGGTTATAATAGATTACAGTGTAATACGTTTATTTAATTGAGCAAGGTTTTAAGAGCCTTGGGAAAAGAGGTGATTGGAGGGAATTCTGAAGTGGGGCAGTGCGAGGGAATAAGCAGAACGACAAGTGAGGTGACCTGCAGTGCAGTGTTTGAACTCAGAACGGACGTAACATGGTAGAACGATTCCTCAACATGGGTGGCGGAATCAAGGAAGGAAAGGTCTCTGGAACAGTACCTACTCTTATAACAATGGAAGATTGATGAGGAAGGCGACTGAACCGCCGGTGAGCGGGTTGCTGGAGCGAATCCGGTAAGCGCTGGATCATCATTCAAGCTGTGTTTCGCATTGGGTTCTCTCCCGGTCCGGGTTAAGTGAAGTGCGTTGATGTGAGAGCTGACCCCTCACTCCACGCCTCTCTCCAGACGCACCAGGAGCAGGGCCGCTCCTACAAGGAGGTGTGCGCGCCGGTCACCGAGCGCTGCCGCTTCGTCTTCAACGAGCTGCGCCCAGCCGTCAGCACCGAGCTGTCGGTCACATCGCGCGTGCAGCTGCTGGGCTCGCTGTCACGCTGGCGCAAGATCGTGCAGACGCTCATCCGGCAGAGGCGTGCGCAGACCGGTAAGCGCTGTGGTGGCGAGATGTTAACTATCTAGCCTGTAATACAGGAAGTCACGGGTTCGATCCCGACCCTGACGCCTGCTGTATATTTAGAGTTTGCATGTTATCTCTCCCCGCGTTTGCATGGATTTTTATCCTAGGTCCTCCGGTTTTTGCCTCCACATTTAGAAATGTGCATTTAGAGTGATTGGCTGCTGTAATTTTTCACATGATAAGCCACTTCGTTGAGCTATTATTTGTGGCCAGGTCGCTTCTGAAAAAAAGCTATATAGCTCAGGGGGCCTTACCTGGTAAGATACAAAAAAAAGTTTAGTTTGATAGTTTTTTAAAGAGTATGTTGAACTTTTTTCGCACCGTACATAGCCAACCATGCTAATTGGAGGGGCGGTTTCCAAGAGACGTAGGGGAGAAAATTCGTTGTTGAATTTTGCCACTTGGCCAGGCCAGTGGGCCTCAACGTACGGTCCACGGTCCGTAAGGCCGTGAGTCCAGAAAGGATGAGAACCTCCCCATTCGCGTGGTTGGCTAAGTACGATGCACAAAATAAGTTCAACATATCTACATGCAGCCTCGTGTCTTGGGCCCACAGAGTTGAGTGTTCTACGTTGTGCGGCATGGTCATGGCAGAGCCACGAGTTCTGTTGTATAACAATAAAAAAAATCACTTTGCAGGCTCTCACTTGGTATTCTTGAAAAGGATTTTATTGGCGTAATGGTGAGTAGGATGCAGTATTGACAGGGTTAATGCCCACGATTTAAGTACTGGAAGAGTGACGCTGGGATCCTGAATTAAAATCTAGGCAGTCACCCACCACTAAGCAAAAAAGAGGTGCCTGGTGTTGAATGTTATGATCTGCCTCCTGCAGTCATTATAAAATACGCAGCTAATTTTGTCGGTGTTTAGTCAGAGTGTAATCGGCATGTAATTGATTTGAATATCCAACTACATTGACTTGGCTTACCCGGCTGGCTTGTCCACGATTCAGTTTCCAAGAAGTCTGTGGATGAGGAGGAACCCAAGCTGGAGGAGCCCAAGGAGGAGGAGCCCAAGGAGGAGGAGCCCAAGGAGGAGGAGCCGAAGGAAGGCGCTCCCAAAGAGGAGGAGCCGAAGGAGGAGGAGGGGGGCCTGGGGGAAGGGCGGCTGGAGTTCCCAGGGGCTGTCTGGGAAGTGGCACCCACATCCTTGCAGGCCCTCCCCCTGGCCTCGTTGTCTGACCACGCCGCTGCGTTCGCTGCCAGGGTACCAATCCCCACGCGTTCACCGCCACACGTGTTGGACTCTTGCTCTCGGTTGGGCGGATACCCAAGACGCTTGGGAATGAGACCACCCTTTCTCAGTGGCGCCAATGGTTATGTTGCACTGTGTATTGTATATTTCTCCGTCAAACTGAGACCCATATCTAACAGAGGGCTCCTTGTCCATAAACATCTGGCAGTTCAACATCATTGATTCAAGCGAGCCTGACTCAGCTGATGAAACGCTTCATATTGAACCGGTGCTGCTGAAATTATGCACTCTCAGAAGGCCGTGTGGCTGATGGGCGTGTACAAACATAGTTGTGTGTTTTATGTGGAGGTCCAGATATGTGAAGGAGGTGTATTGTCTGCTTATTTATTCTGCTGGTGATGGCCCAGGGAATGTGATTCCTCATTTCTCCCATTAACTCATTACCTACCCCTACACCCAGATTCCAAGCAAACCTTTGTTATACCTCTGCATAAAATGTAGGAGTACACCATGGTGAGATGTTAACTACCTCGCCTGGTATACAGGAGGTAGTCGGTTCGATCCCAACCCTGATGCCCTGTATATTTGAAGTTTGCATGTTCTTCCCGTGGTCGTGTGGATTTTTCTCCATGTCCTTCGGTTTTTCCTTCCACATTTATAAACATGCGTTTAGAGTATTTGGCTGCTATAAATTTCCACGTGATAAGCCACTTCGTGATAGTCACGTCGCTTCTGAAAAGACCTACGTAGCTCAGTGGGGCTTTCCTGGTAAAAAAAATAAACATATATCTGGGTGATCCACCCATCATGCACCATCACGGCCACCGCCGACCATGTGAGCACTGTACCACCATCTCTAGGACAAGGGCGAGGTGCTCACTCCGGGCCCGCCAAGGCAGCGCTGGGCGGTGCCACAGCAGCAGGCGCTGGGAGCCAGCGACCAGGCCCTGCTGATGGGGAAGGTGGTGGAGCTGGTGCTGAAGGAGCAGCCCATGGACGTGGAGAAGCTCCGGCGCTGTCTCCTCAAGCAGGTTGGTACACAGTAGGCGCACCGCCGAAATGTTCTTCCTCGGGGTGGGGGGCGGGGCTTCTCCCAACGCGGTAAACCATTTCCAGTGGCATTTTAATCTTTTCCCATTCTGATGACGTACACGTAAGAAAAATAAAATAACTTCATCGGTACGTCTTCAGGTCGGAAAATGTACCGAGGCTCCCACAAGTTTGGCGCCAGCTGTCATAGAGTGTTCGTGTCGCTATAGTTGTCTGCGGTGCATACAATGTCTTTAAAAACAACGAAGCTACGCCTCTCTTACAAAATTAATGCTGAATTGCTTGAGCGTTCCGGGATTCAGCGGTGAATGGGACACCCACCGTCCAACTTGCAGATGTTTCGGAACAGGAAAGTATGAATAGGGAAGAGGTAGACAGTGCTACCATCCTGGCAAGATCAGAATCTAACGGGATTATAAGTCCAGTGCACCACAGCAGCTCCCTTCTATTCTCAGTTAAGCAGGTAAAATTATTATGTTTACCCTACACATCTTTACATGTGCAGCAAGCTGGTAACAATGAAATAATGCTGAGCTCTCAGTGTGTCTGCTACTGCTACTCAGTATTGCTGCTCTTGTTAGCTCCTTCAGTAACGTGGTCTCTGCTCTAAGAGTGATTCATTTGCAGATTTTTTTTGCATTGGAATGTTAGGCTAATAACCGGTTACATTGTGGGTTTTTTTTTCAGCCATGGGAGGCAACTGGAGAACCCGGTTGAAACCCATGCAGAACAGGGGGAGAACGTAGAAACACCACACAGAGAGGTGCCTGGATTGTAAATCGAACTGAGGTCCTTCTTGGTGTGAGGCATAAGTGTTACCAATGTGCCGCCACCCTACAGAGCCAGATCCTGACCCTGTGAGATCATGCGTGAGGCTCTCTGCAACCTGGCACCGCTCCTCAGTGCCAGGTGGTGGATTTTCCCCGCTTGTGCGGGCTCGTGCTCTCCGTTAGTTGTCCCCCATTATGTCGTGCAGATGGAGCGCGCGGAGGTTCGTCTGGAGGGCGTGGAGGCCATCATCCGGCTCGTGTCGCGCCGCGCGCTACTACCATCCGTGCGCTACGCGGTGCTGTGTGGCTGGCAACGTCTGCTCCCCGAGGGGGCCCCGCGCCGGTAGGGCCGACACCCCCCCTCCCCCCTGTCGTTGCTGCAACGATGACGGTTCACCGGTCACCGCTTTTCCCTCATTAGGTACCGAGATAGAGAGTCACGAGAGCTACTGTGACGAGCTGTTGAGGAATGTTGATGTTTAGTCACATGATCGCGAGGAGCAGCAAAAATGTCATCCTGTCCCACACCGTGTTTAACCACCACGCTGCAGGTCACCACTTCTCTGTCTACTTCTTCGCTCGCACTGCTCCACTCTGGAGTTCTATCCCATCGTCTCTTTTCCCAAGCTCTTATAATAAATTTGCTCAATTCATGATACGTGTTAACTCCTATCTGTTACAACGTTGATAATGCGGTTTCTTGCTGGCTGCTTAACCATTTTGGTCTTTGGGCCTGTGCTCAGCAACTGTTAAAATACATGTATATCAATCCTGTAATCCACACCTCTGTTGTATTGAATACTCAACTTAGTTTGTAGACTCCAGGATATTGCATGTTAGGAATGACATCCTTCACAGATGGGATTAGATCACGGATTTTGTGTACTGTATTGAATCGGACCTGGATCTTGTGTTTGTTTAAGATTTTGGAAATCTTTTTGGTAACACCTGATGACGGACGCTTCTGTTGCGCCCGAATCATCGTGATTTATTTTATTTATACCTACGTGACTTTACCAAAAGAACCAAAGCGTATGGATCCCTGCAGGCATGAAATCTTCAAATCTAGATTGTATTGAATACCTTTCCTTTTAAGATGCAGAATATTCCTCGGGAGCACTGGTTTGCAACTGCACTGCAATTGTGATTTTTGTAAGATGGTGTGTGTGTGTGTGGTGTCTCGCACAAGCGCCGTGGTGACATCCCCGCGACTTCGTGGTGGATGACGGCTGTTGTTGCTGCCTGGCCGTGTGTGCGTTGGTGTGTTGGTGTGTTCACAGCACTCTATTCTCTGACTGCCTCCGAGACGTGGACCTCACTCCGCCGTTCAGTCGCATCCTCCTGGAAGTCACCTTCAGCAAGGTCCACAGCTGGGCCATCGACAACATCCGCAGTATCGTTCTGGACGCAGACAGCAAATTCAAAAACTCAGGTTGGGGTTTCACGGCTTGACACCTAATTGTGTGTTGTGTGCGCTGGGGAGCGGTAGCGTAGTGCACTGGTGACACGAGTTCGATTCCCGCTCACGGTCAAGACCAGTGACGAATATCTGAACTGCTCCTGGGAACCCCTAGGTCGACTCAGCTTCAAATGTATTGTGTAACCATCGCCATTAGGGAGACAAAGGCGGTCGGGCGTGGTGCTGGCTACCCACTCCCTCGTCTACCGTGCCGGCCTTCATGGGTGCTCGCTTAACAGCACTTGCCCCAAACGTCTGTAAAGGCTGTATGGGGGATCTTTGTCTTTGTTATGGTTCCACCAGTGTCCATAGTTAGCATTTGGCCTTCTGAAGGAGACATCCCCCCCCCATGTGGTCACGTTGAAATTCTCTTGCTTTGTCATGAAGGAGTCACAGTGGCTATCTCGGCCAGGCAAGCACGGACATACTACGATATTTATTTTACACGTAGATGATAATCTTCGGCATTGCAAAATGCCGTTCAAAATGTCTTGATTTAGAAATATTATCACTATTGGAGAGTATGAACCTTCCTTCATCTGTGACCCTGGATACAGGCTAATTTTTCTCGATCATATAAAGTGCAAACAATTGCGCAGTAAATGCAACGAATCTATCAATTTCTTCCTCTTCTCATCTGCATCTGAACTGCTGAAATTCATAAAGTGAATGTACATGTGATGCCAAACCGCATTTTGACTTTTAAAGTATTTAAGTATAAATTCCATGCTACTTTTGTGTACTCTTATAGTTATGTTTTAACGTTTGATAATCACACCAGTTCATTTTTTATTTCCAGGAATCCAGCCAGCGCCCCTCATGACCATGACGAATGAGAACCCATCGGGGCCCAGCCTGGGCCTAGTGCCGCAGGCTCGCTTCCTGTTGGTCATGCTGGGCATGCTGACATCGGAGCACCGTGCCAACAGCCTGGGCCTTCTGCTCAACTCGGGCATCCTTGCCCTCACGCAGACGCTGCTGCGCCTCATAGGTACAGGGCGGTGCGGAGATGCTGCACATCACGAGCGCTCGAAGAGATCCCACACGGCAGGCTCGCTGGGCTCGGTTGCTGTAACTGAGGTTCACGGCTAGTAGGATGCTAGCTGATTCAGTGAGACCTTATGATATTGTACTGCTTCCATAAAGTGGACACTAAAGATCCTGGGTGTATTCACACTGAGGTCACCATTGATGTTTATAGTGGTACACTTTTGGGTTTTGGGGTATATTGGGAAACAGGTGAACACGCCCAGTGTACAACGTAACACAGTGGAAGTCTCCCTGTGGGAGAGGAGCTCTGTATAATGGCGCACGGTGTGGTGGCGTGTGTGTGCGGTGTGACGGATGGCGTGTGTGCGTGCGGTATGACGGACGGCGTGTGTGCGTGCGGTATGACGGATGGCGTGTGTGCGTGCGGTATGATGGACGGCGTGTGGTGTGATGGATGGCGTGTGGTGTGATGGATGGCGTGTGCGTACGGTGTGACGGACGGCGCATATGCGTACGGTGTGACGGACGGCGCGTATGCGTGCGGTGTGATGGACGGCGTGTGTGCGTGCGGTGTGACGGTGCGTGCCATGCAGGGCCGCTGTGGGACAACAGTGAGGAGGCGGCAGAGCCGTCCCTGCAGGGTGCCTCGGCCGCCGTACTGGAGGAGTCGCGGCGCGAGGCGGCCCAGGCTCCGCTGCCCGTGACCGGGCCCGAGCTAGCCGCCTCCATGAAGGTCGGCACGCGCGTGATGCGCGGCGTCGACTGGAAGTGGGGCGACCAGGTCTGTGAGGTGCCTTCTCCCCATCGTCCTCATCCTCATTACCCACCGTTGTCGTCATCGTTGACTGATATTGTCGTAGCTGTGGAAAGCCATCATCGTCACCACCACCATGAGCAGGGTCTAACCTTAGTAGGACAAGGATGGATTGGTGTTACAGGCTGCTGTGGGGCTATGTTGTGGGCAACAGAGGACAGTACAGCAAAATACATAGCTGTGCTGTACTATGCTCCCACAACTATGCTCCCCACATTCATCCCGCCCTAACCAGCGTGGTGAAGTTTGGTCGAATAACCCTCTGATCCACACTCAGCAGTGGCTTGACAAGAGGTGCTTATCGTCTTGGTTCTTTCAGTAAAGTCACATAGAATTGAAATAAAATAATAAAAATAAAACATAATAAAATAAAAATTCTCACGACGTTTCAGCCACAACACAAGTAGCCTTCCTCAGGTGAAGAGATAGAACTGTCGGGAAGACAGCGGAAAAAAGTGGCGGTTTCTTTTTTCTTTTCAACATTAGCACCACTGTGGTTAGCACCACGGAAAGCGACGAGCTTTGTTTAGACGGACAAGCAGCGCATCGTTGCTGTTTCTTCTCTCCCCCCTCCTCTGTTCCGAGCATAGATGGACTCGTCCGTCTAAACAAAGCTCGTCGCTTTCCGTGGTGCTAACCACAGTGGTGCTAACGTTGAAAAGGGAAAAGAAAGAAAAAAGAAACCGCGACTTTTTTCCGAAATAGTTCCGACATAGTTACATGCTAATCCCTCACACTAACATCATGCTAATCCCCCAGTTACATGCTAATTTCTGACTTTAACATCATGCTAATCCAACACATTAACATAGCTGCTTCAATGCTAAATTCTTCTGTTGATATGTAAACTCCTTGGTCAAGGCGCACTGCTCCTCCCACCCAGCTTAAAAGACGCGGCCAAAGCTTGGCTGTGTTCACTGAAGCGCTGCCTTCCCGACAGTTCTATCTCTTCACCTGAGGAAGGCTACTTGTGTTGTGGCTGAAACGTCGTGAGAATTTTTATTTTATTATGTTTCATTTTTATTATTTTATTTAAATTCTACGTGACTTTACTGAAAGAACCAAGAAGATGAATCCCTGCAGCCACGAAAGCTTTAAATCGAAAGAGGTGCTTAGGTTCTCACATCCATATACACGGTGGTCCACATGCATGTGTATGCATGTGAGTGGCGGCTGCTAGTGCCATGTTGGCACTGCACGGAACATCAAACATTTTTTGACTTGAAGCTTTCGTGACTGCAGGGATTCATATTCTTTGGGTCTTTTGGTAAAGTCACGTAGATAGGTTCAAAGAAAATAACAAAAAACTACGACGTTTCGATCGCAACACAAACGGTCATCATCATCTTTGAACCTCTCTACGTGACTTTACCGAAAGACCTAAAGAATACCAAATATGTTTTATGTTATGTTTCAGGATGGTTCCTATTTGTATGCTACGATGTTTCTGCAGAGGGGAACCGGCAGTGAGTGAGATAGTGAGGTCTGTGAGAGTGAGTGTCCATGTAATTACATCCAGCATCATCAGGCAATTTGCCAGAATGGTGAAGCCCTCCACTTGCTCCCAGTCTTAAATAGAGTAGCAGGGTGATGTCATCATTTAAGCCAAATACTCTAAACGCATGTTGATTCTAAACCGGAGGACCCGGATAAAAATACACGTGACCACTAGGAGAACATCCAAATCCACAAACTCCTGTATACCAGGTGAGGTAGTTAACGTACAGGTACGATATTTTGTCAATTGCTTATCAACTGCCATACAAGAGGAGAGAGAGAGGGATAGAGGGAAGCATCTTAAGGCCAAAGCCCAGGAAGTCGTAAGGATTCTCGTGAACGCGACGACGTGAAGGTGAGGACAGGGGCCTCGTTGTGTTGTCAGGATGGGCCGCCCCCTGGCCTAGGCCGCGTGATCGGGGAGCTGGGCGAGGACGGCTGGATCCGCGTGCAGTGGGACACGGGCAACACCAACTCGTACCGCATGGGCAAGGAGGGGAAGTACGACTTGCGGCTCGCCGAGCAGCCCGCACCTGCCCAGCCCTCCAGCGTGGACGACTCAGACGTGGAGGAAGACACTGGTGCCTGTACCCTCCTCACCACTGCCACCACAACCGCCGCCGCCACGACCACCACAAACACCTCCACCATCACCACCACCACCATCACCACCACCATTATGGCTAACATTGCCACTACCACCACCATCACAAGCACCTTCACCATCACCACCACTATGGCTAACATCACCACTAACACCACCACCACTACGGCTAACATCACCACTACCGCCACTATCACCATCACTACGGCTAGCATCACCACCACTACGGCTAACATCGCCACCACCGCGAATAATACAACCAATGCCACCACCAATGTCATTATAATAAAATGTAAAATATTGAATTAATTGTTGTGAAGTGTCTTTGGTGTTGATTGCTTGCAAATGTATTTAAAACTAATTTTTTTCCATGTTTTATGTGCTAGTAGGCATACGAGAGTGTTGATAGGTCTGATAGTGATACGTGACAAGCGAAATAGATGTCAATCGACTGCCCTAAAGCCACCGTAATGATCGCCTATTTACCCAGGATAGCCACATCGTCTGAAGACTCGTTTTCAGAAGCCTCCTGTTACATTGGAATGCTTGGCCAACTCTAATGGCATAGTATGTTTTTAGCTATGGAAGGAAACCAGGGAACCCGGAGGAAACCCATTTAGAACAGGGGGCGTGTATACACACTCCACACAGAAAGGCGCATGAGTGAGGAATCAAACTCAGGTACGAAGGCTGCACCTATGGATCCCATAATCTACAGTTGTCCTTGTTCCCTGTGCATGTGGTGTGGCCTCGGTCTGCCTCGTCAGCAGCTCTAGCGAGGCGGTTTGACTGGTGCGTGTGCCGGCCGCGTCGACGGATTAACCTTCGCCCCTCTCCTGCGGCTGTGCTGCAGATGGGGATGCGTTGGAGCAGAGCTGCCACCCCACGGCGCTGCTCTACCGCTCCGCGCTTGGGCTGCTGCAGTGCCTGGGGCTGTGCACGGGCATCCACGCCGACGCCATGCCGGGACCCGCCGTGCGCGCCACGTGCGGCCTTCTGCGCAGCCTCGTCCACAGCGGCACCGTCGACAAGAAGGGTTCGTCCGCGTTCGCCTCACGGCGTCGTGGGGTCACGGTGTGGGATCACGGCGTGGGGTCGCGGCGAGGGGTCACGGCATGGGGTCACGGCGTGGGGTTGGGGATCGGCGTTGACTGCGACTGCCCTCTAATCGGTGATTGGCAGCGCTTCGCGACCCGTGGTGCGGCTGAGAGGAGACTCCTCTTGTGAGCGTGCCCGCGCCCCTCTGTCTTTTGTCGCATGCAGCCGTCTCTGTGAGCGACCTGGTGGCTCGGGAGCAGCACTTCCGCTGGGGCACGCTCGGCTTCACTCGCAGCATCGCCCTCTCGGGGGCCGTGTGCAGAGCGCTGAGCACCGCGCAGTGGATCGGGCTGCTGCTGCGCTTCGTCGAGCAGCGCGGCGGCGGAGGAGGCGGCGTGGGATCGCTGCAGCGGCAGGTGCGTCACGCGGTCGCACCGCTCCTCCCATGAGACTCGAAAACGAAGCGTGGCCCATGTTGTAGAGAATCGCCTCGGTTGTGCGTTCACCTTGCTGGCCGTCAGTCACTGGTTTTAACGTTTCACTAATGTTGCTAATGTCTGCCTCTCCATCCTAGCACTTAAGTGACATCACTGCACTGATGTTGTATACGCATTTATGGGAGTGATGCCACAACAGCAGACACACTTCATTCACTACTACTACCATGGTCTCTGTTCCAATCAACATCACCCATTGATTCGTCCTCCCGTGTTGAGGACTCTCTCTGCCAGACTGACTCTTTCATCTCATCCACACTGTTCAACCATCACGCTGCAGGACACAAAAACCCACTTACTAACCCACTCACTTGGCCTCTCACTTACCCCACCCACTCATCCACTCACTCGCTCACCACACTGTAGGACTCAACAACCCACTCACTAACCCACTCACTCGACCTCTCACTCACTCATCCACTCACTTGCTCACCACACTGCAGGTCACAACACTTCACTTTCTGCTTCCTTCTCACTGCTGGACTTTGGAATTCCCTCCGATCTTCTATTTCTCAAACTCTTATATTTCAACAAACGCGTCAACTCTCGTCTATTATAACATTTTTCGTGCTGTTTATTGCTGGCCGCTTGATGTTTTGGACACAAAAAACACTTTGCGGATTGACCTGGAAATGACATCACAGCTCTTTCTTTCCCCCCTGAGTAACGCCTCTTCAGGGTCTATTTCTCACGAATCCCAAATTGCATTCCCTGAGTCTGGAACTGTTGAGAAGAGGGAGCGGTACGCTCGGGAATTCCCTACTGAGCGAGCTCTCGAAAGATGCATTTTTGTGTTTCCGCCCACATGTATAAAACACTCATGAATGGAATTGGCCATAGATCAGGCGATAAGACCACATGCATGCCCATTACAGTCGGCTCACCTCTATATGTGTATCAGTTACAGCTGGCTCACCGCTGTGACGCATGCCCGTTACGGTCGGCTCACCGCTGTGACGCGTGCCCTCCCCCGCCACGCTGGGGGGGGGGGGGGGAGCCTGTCCGCCTCGCAGTGGAGGTCCAGCAATGGGCGGCGGCGGCGTGAGAGCGAGCACGCGGATCTCGTTTCAGATCCTGGCGCTGCGTTTGCTGAGGGCTGTGCTGCCCTCCTGGAGCGGCAGCGGTGGTAGCGAGCGTGCGCAGGAGATGAAGGCCCTGCTGGAGCGCCTCTTCCTCATGCTGGGAAACCTGCTGAGCTCCTGCTCGTCCGACAGCCTGTCGGTGCGAGGTGTGTGGACGCCATAGACCCCCGGCTCCCCCACCGCTCTTCCGGTCAGAGCGGAGCGGTTTCCCACTCAAAGAAGCTTTGAGGCATTGGTGCTCATCTCCCGTTTACAGCCCTGAGCCAGTGGTAACCATTCCACATTCCTATGGTAGGACAACTGCTGTTGATTTCCCCGCAAAGTGCTTCTCTTTTTATTGACCCCAGAGAGGTGAATGGGCTCGGTCAATCCCCGACCAGGATTGGAACTTGCAACTTTTTGTGAGCAGCTCCCTCTACCGCTGAGCGCTTGAGTTTCATCCAGATGCACACACGTCAATGATTTTTGCATCTGGTAGCTGAACGTTTGGTTTTTATAGCATCATGCCTGACCATTTCATTTCTATAGACCAGTATTCTTCACTGGTGGCCTTTAGTGCGGCCCCTGAAGTACTGCCCCCGACAATACACAGATGTGAAAACATCCCATCATTGTCCTGCTGCTGTCAAACCGATGGTTTCAAATGTCTTATCGGCGATAGTGGCCCCCCTCTGAACATTAGTGAAGTACGCTGATCTAGACGTAACTTTTGTCTCATCGTATTCAATGTTTGGGTTGGTAATGGTCCTACGTGGCCATAGCTAATCCCGGACGCAGCTTGCGCTGACCCCCTGCGTGTGCCCGCCCTGCAGACGGCACCTGCCGCAACCGGAGGGGCCGCCCGCAGGCGTCGCTGACGGCATCGTGTAGCAGCACGCTGGCCGAGGAGACGGTGACGCTGCTGCGGGTGCTGCACGCGCTGCCCCGCTGGAGCCCGCTGATCAACCAGCACCTGGAGGCGCACCTGGGCTGCCTGCGTCACCTCATGGGAGCCGCGCCTCATAAGGTGGGCGGTTCCCTCCCTTGGACTGCCTGCCATGCCACCCCCAGTGATTGCTGCGGGTGCACTGACCGCAAGATACGCGTTGTCGGCTTCCCGGCGGATGTTAAACATCTTTTGATGTCATTCGAACCGAGTCAGCTGTTCTGTGCCTCTTTCCAAATTCGAAAAATTACCCCGCAAGTTTTACTCAATTGGGATGACAGAGCGGCAACCACTGCCCCCGACTGGCAGGCCATGAGTCACCTTGTGCCCACAGGGACAGCTGCCACTGGGGGAATGCCCATGTACGTACACATGTATGTTAAACTTATTTTGCACCGTACATAGCCAACCGTGCTCATCGGAGGTGCATTGCGACTCAAGTTGCTGATCTCGTGCAGAGCGCTTTGAGAGGCCCTGGCATACGGCGGGGCGCTCTGTAACGACGCGGCCGCTTGGCGGCGTCGGTGGCGGCGTCGGTGGCGACGCCTTGCAGCTGGGGACCGTTGGTCGGCCCCGGCAGCATTGTTTGCGGTCGGCCTTGGAAGAGCTCTCGTTGTGCCCGGGCCATGTGGCAGGGCGGTGCGGTGGAGCCTGCGGGGGACCGCATGCAGCTGGAGGCGCGCGGGCTGGTGGCTGTGCTGGCCGTGGTGGGCGGTGTGGACGGGCGCCTGCGGCTCGGGGGGCAGGTGGCGCACGAGGAGTTTGGTCAGGGCACGGTGACTCGCATCACGGCGCGAGGGCGCATCACCGTGCTCTTCCAGGAGCCGCCACGGGCCAGTCGTGTGTGCTCACTGCCGCAGCTCCAACCGGTAACCCCCTCCCCTCCCACCCCCCCTCCCACCGTTGTCGTCACTCATTTTATCGCAGTTACCATCATCGTGGCTGATTATCGCCATGACTATCATCGTCACCACCACCACCTTCACTGTCATCATTGCCGTCATCATCATTATCGTCGAGGCCACATGAATGGGAAAAGGCCCGCTGTTGAGATCTCGGCTGTTATGGCGTAACTGGCTGATTGTGAAGGAAATGGCAGTGACTGAAGTTGGGCACTGCGCGTGGTCATGATGCAGGTCTCTGAGGTCGGCTTTGACCTGAGCAACTTCCCGCTGACGGAGCCACTGCTCAACTCGTGGGGCCAGCTTGTGAACCTGGCCTGCAGCAAGCAGCACCGGCGGTGGCGATCTGCGGCCCACGGGCCCACGGGTGAGAGCGTGGCCTGCGCAAAGGGGAGTGGCCGACGCTTGCCAGGCCCCCGTCGGCTTCCCTCTTCTCTTGGGCGATAAGTTACGCGGAACGGTTGCCTGCAACCAAGTCGCTTTTGTGTGGACGTCTCTGCACCAGTTGCTGACAGTTGCACAACCGGTTCCTTCCGATATTAGGAAGCCACAAGAGCTGTGCACATTTAAATATATATTGAAAATGTATTTCTTTACAATTGCTTTTTGTGTTTAGATTTGTTGTCCTTCCCCCACACTTCCGATGAGCATGGTTGGCTGTGTATGCTGCGAAAGAAATTAAATATACATACATTACAGTGGAGACAATCTCTGCTTTCAAGCGTTGATTTCCCTGGTAAATTCGTTGTGTATGATTTTCGTTTGCGAACTGCGAATAGTCGTAACAGCTGTCGTCACACGTCGTGCAATTCTCATTCGTTCATCGGGAAGGGTTGCACTTGTGCTACGATAGCTGTCGACTTTAAGTCTGGTTGTACAAACGAAGCCTGAAATACGACGTGAGAGTCTGCGGTCGCGGACGCGGCCGCTCCCTGTGATCGCAGGGAGCTCGACACAGTGGCCGGATGCTCGAGCCGCTCGCTTTGTCCGTTCCCGTGTGCTGCATGCGGCCCAGACGAGGTGGACGTCGTGCTGCTGGCGAGGCACCAGGTGCTGCTCTACGTGCTGAAGGCCGCGCGCACGCTACTCTCGCACCAAGACAAACTCCGGCAGATCCAGTCACAGCCAGCCCTCCTCGAGCAACCCAACCCATCCCTTGGCAAGTGCGCGCACGCGCACGCATGCACACAAACAAACAAAGGCAAAGATCCCCCTCATAGCCTTAACAGACTCTTGGGGAAAGTGCTGTTAGCGGGCACCTATGAAGGTCGGAACGGTACACGAGGGGATGGGTGACCAGGACCACACCTGACCGCCTTTGTCTCCCCAGTGGCGATGCTTACATACCGCACCAGGTACTCATTTGAGGATGAATCGACCTTGGGGAGGCTCAGAACCATTTAAGATAATTATCACCGGTGTTGGATGTGAGCTGGAATCAGACTTGGGTCGCTGGGTTCGTCGCGCAGCGCGCTAACCACGACACGACAGCCCCTCGTCCATACACACATTATACACACATACACAGCATCGTGAGCTGTCATTCTGCACCAAATGACTGTGATCTCACAACTGGCTTGTTGGCCGAAGCTTATAGGGATAAATGTTAGTGCTGAGGGTGAACTGGTGGACATGACTGCCAGATGCATTACGTGCATTCCCCACTGTGCTACGAGCCATTACAGCACGGTGGCAGCCTCCTTGCAAATCACGCGTGCGCTGACGTTAAACCCGGATTTTAATCCTGGAATGCGCCTTGTTTTGAACGTGGCCATAACTGGTGACATGGCTCAGCGGTCGCGCCTTCTTCGACGCTTTTTGCCGTTGTTTGCAGTTCGAATCCGCCACGCCACCCTGGTTATAATTGCGGGGTGTATCAACCATAAAATACACGCCATCTGCTTCACAGTGGACATTAAATGTCCCGTGACGCCCTTCGAAATGAGCAGGCCACCGCGTGCCTGCGTCATGGTCTGCAAATTACTCAATTTTGATGAGACATTGTCGTACCGCTATGGCAGGCTATTGCCCACTTGCAGGTCGGTGCTGATTCACCTTCAAATGTTTGTGAAGAGATGTGATCTAATGTGCTCTAAGTTCACCGAGGCATTTTAGCAAAGTCATACACATGGATAGATGATGATTATATATTATTTTTCTCACGTGCCCTGTGCTGCTGGGATGATCAGATGAGGGAGCGGTGGCGGTGGCGTCGCCCGACGTCTCGGACCTCTCTCCAGATATGCCGCAGCCTCCCATGATCCTCCTGCAGCAACTGCTCACGGCCGCCACGCAGCCCTCTCCGCTCAAGGCCATATTTACGCGACAGGAGCTTGAGGTGATCTCTCCCTCTGCCATCCTCCCTCTCTCTCACCTGTTGGAATTGCTGCTCTTTGCCTTTATTACCTTGGCAACGCGGTACGTCGGTCCACGCTGGCAGCATGCTTTGTGGCCAACATGCAGCTCCGTTTGTCCCCGGGATTTTTGGCCGACCACCTAGGCCAGTGTCTGCCCCGTCTATGTGCAGTTCTCTTGCAACTTGTTGATCTTTGTTCTTCTTGGGCGTTCTCTGGGCATTGTCCCGTAGATGGTTCCATGCACGAGTGTGTTTGGAAATCTCTGCAATTGCGAATTACAGCTGTGGTCCCTGTTCTTTGTAGTTTAGTCCTTGATGGTTTTAACACATTAACACGTCATCGTGGCAACATGTTAAATATCTCATCTGGTTTGCATGAGGTCGTGGGTTTGATCCTGACCCTGACGCCTGTATATTTGGAGTTTGCATGTTCTCCCCGTGGTTGATGGATTTTTCTCCTGGTCCTCCGGTTTATCCCTCCACATTTAGAAACATACATTTATTGCATTTGGCCGCAATACATTTCCACATGATAAGTCACTTCATTGAGCTATCATTTGTGGCCAGGTTTCTTCTGAAAAAGAGCTATTTAGCTCAGTGGGCCTTACGTGGTAAAATAAAAATAGTTTAGTTTAAGATTATTACCTCATGATTTACAATACTCTGATAGTGCGCTGTTTTTGAGTTGTACGCCTTTTGGCGTGTTCTGGTCCAACACCAATGGAGACTAGGCTCTAAGAAAAGCTGTCTCGGGTGTGGACCAATCAAATTCAAGGACAGTGCATATTATTATCAGAGTTGTCTTTTTTGTTTGCATTTTGACTGCTTGTGTTGTGGTCATTGCAAACATGATGCCTTGAATAAAGGTGTCAGTTTTTGTGCCAGTTAAAAGGGTAAAACCTATTCCTATATGCTTATAGTTTAGCGACGTGGTGGTGAGGTTTGTGGTTCACTGAGCTGGAGCTATGATGCACGTGAGACGGCAGCGCGCGGGGCAGCATGGCGAGGCCTACAGAGGGCACAGGACAGCCAACCTGGCGTGGCTCCTGTCACACGGGAAATGAACGGCTGGGCAGAACTTTATTAATTTTCTAAGTAAAGCCATCTTGAAGAATTGCCTTGAAAATGCACGGGGCTTTCAAATGAATTGCACGTTTGGTAAGGATACACCATTACCTAGCTGGGATTTTGGACTGAAGCAGAAATCAACCTGTTCCCGTTCCGAGAAGTTGTACTCACCACATTGAACTTTAGCGACACGACCATACTATGACAGCTGGTGCCAAAATTAGCCAAACCTCCTCCCACATGGCCTTGTAGTAGCCTCAGTATGTATTCCGACTTGAAGATGTACAGATAAAGTTATTTTATTTTAGTTATCCTTCTGATTGGTGCAACGTTCTTGCAATAATAATGTTATATTCTTAGTTTTTTCGGTAAAGTCACGTTGAAGAGAAACAACAAAATAACAAAATATATATAAAACAATAAAAAATTCTCACGACGTTTCGACCATAACTCAAATGGTCATCATCAGGTGTGTCGGTTTGCATAAATTTATTTTGAAAACGCCATATTTATTTATATATATAAAAAAATAACGTTTGCGTCACGTGCAACAATTGGCAGTTTGCCCAGGACTAGTCCATCTATTTTTTGAAAAGAGGAGGGGGGAGACGAAATTTGTTTTTATGTATGCTGTCTGAAAGCCACTGTAAGCGTGAACAATCAATCAAGAACTGAAATGATTTATCAAATCTTTCCAATGATTGCTAAGATAGAATCCATCTTCTCAGTTGAAATTGTCTCTGTGCTTGTATATGTGGATAGCCTCATGAACGAATCTCTCATGGAAGCCAGATGGCTTACAAAGAACCTCCGTCTTGGAAAAGTCAATGGCATGTGAGCCTACTGAATTAGAACAATGATCTGCTACGGCCGAGGTGTTGGTCCTACCGTGTTTAAGGTCTGCTTTATGTTCACGAATGCGGTCCGAGATATGGCGTTTGGTTTCTCCAATGTAACTGCTACCACAGAGGCAACTTAGTTTGTAGACACCAGGGTATTGTATGTCCGGAATCACATCTTTTACAGACGGAACCAGATCACGGATTTTATGTAATGTGTTGAAACGGACCTGGATCTTGTGTTTATTCAAGATTTTGGAGATCTTTTTTGTGATCCCAGCAATGTAGGGTAAAGTGATGGTTTGAAAGGCTCCTCAAGAGGGTTCTTATTCATGGTTTGAGTGATAGCTTTGCGGATTGTATAGTCGGAGTAACCATTAGCCCTAAGAGCTTGGTGTACGTGCTTGAGTTCACTGCTTATGTGTTCCTGGTCGGATATGCATTGGGCTCTATGATACAGAGTCTTGATGAAAGAATTCTTCTGTGATGGATGGTGGTGGTGGGAATCCGGTTTCAGATAAGCATCCGTATGGGTAGCTTTCCTGTAGACAGAGTGGCTCATTGAACCATCAGGTCTCTTTTTAATTAGGACATCCAAAAAAGGTATCTTGCCATCTATTTCGACTTCCATGGTAAATCTGATGGCTGGGTGTATGGAATTGATGTGGTCGAAGAATTGGTCTAGAGCAGGCCGGCCATGTGGCCAGATGACAAAAGTGTCATCCACGTACCTCTTCCATAAGGTTGGGCGCAGAGTGGCAGTCTGGATGGCGTCAGTCTCAAATTTCTCCATGAAAATGTTAGCTATAACTGGAGAAAGGGGGGAGCCCATTGGGGTGCCCTCAGTTTGTTTGTAGAAAGTTCCATTCCAAGTGAAGTATGTATTGGTTAAACAGTGTCTCACCAGGGGGGGTACCTCAGTGTTTAGTCCTTGATGAACCAAGTCTTCAATGATTGCAATGGTGTCAGGTACAGGAACCTTGGTGAATAAGGAAACTACATCAAAACTGACAAGCAGGTCGTCTGGGGACAGGGAAATACCCTTGATTGTTGATACCAGGTGAGTAGAATTTTGTACCGCAGAGGTGGTCTTTCCAGTGAAAGGACGCAGGATTTCAGACAAAAAACGAGCTAGTTTGTAGGTGGGGGAGCTGATAGTAGAGACTATGGGACGAAGAGGTGTATCAACTTTATGTATTTTTGGTAAGCCGTATAATCTTGGTGGCCTGGCAGCAGAAGGTTTCAACGAAAACTGTTTAGATTGATGAATTAATGCGGTTGAATCAGAAATTATTTTGTTGGTTTGTGTGACGAGGCTGTTGGTGGGATCTCTTTTTATTTTTGTATAACTACCATCGTCGAGTAATTCTTTAATTTTGTTGTTGTATTCTATTTTATCCATGATGACAGTAGCATTGCCTTTGTCAGCTGAGAGAACTACAATATCATTCCTCTTTTTTAATTTATATAATTCAAAACGCTCATCTTTGCTGAGGTTGCTAGCTGGCATCTTAGCGTTTTTGAGGGTTGCAGCGATTTCAGATCTCGCTACGTCTGCAGCGATGTGACCCAGGCCCCTGAGAGCAACGTCTACTTGGGCAATTATATCATTAACTGGTATGTGTTTAGGTGTGACTGCAAAGTTTAGACCTTTAGCTAAAACGGATTTCAGACCATCGGAAATAGAACTGTTACTGCGATTAATTACGACTTTATTAACGTCTAACTTTTTGGTGTGTGGGTCCGGTCTTTTGTTGAAGAGGAGGTTAAATTTGGAAATCAGGTTTTCCTTACATTTGGCCGACATAGTAGCAGCTGAAGAGGCAGTCATATTGTCTACATGTTCCCAATCCGATGTGGACATTATTGCCGTCAATGATAAGTGTGATTTGTAGAGTGTCTTGTCTAACTGATCTAGTTCTGTGCGTATAAGTCTGATTTTTTCTGAGATAAGAGCTAAGCTAGTTTTGAAAGAATTCGTTTCGCATTAGAAGAAGTTACAGTAGCAGAGGTGAGTGTAAATGCGATTGGTATTACCCCAGAGTCGCGGCATCTCTTCAGGAAGGTGAGAGACTCGATCAGCTGAGCTTTCTTATCCCGGAGTTTGTTGAAGGATCTTAAAGTTATGTGAAAACCCTCCCCGTAGAGGCGATTAAATTTTGATTTAAAGCTTTCGTGACTGCAGTAATTCATATTCTTAGTTTTTTCGGTAAAGTCACGTTGAAGAGAAAAAACTAAGAATATGAATTACTGCAGTCACGAAAGCTTTAAATCAAAATTTAATCGCCTCTACGGGGAGGGTTTTCACATAACTTTAAGATCCTTCAACAAACTCCGGGATAAGAAAGCTCAGCTGATCGAGTCTCTCACCTTCCTGAAGAGATGCCGCGACTCTGGGGTAATACCAATCGCATTTACATTCACCTCTGCTACTGTAACTTCTTCTAATGCGAAACGAATTCTTTTCAAAACTAGCTTAGCTCTTATCTCAGAAAAAATCAGACTTATACGCACAGAACTAGATCAGTTAGACAAGACACTCTACAAATCACACTTATCATTGACGGCAATAATGTCCACATCGGATTGGGAACATGTAGACAATATGACTGCCTCTTCAGCTGCTACTATGTCGACCAAATGTAAGGAAAACCTGATTTCCAAATTTAACCTCCTCTTCAACAAAAGACCGGACCCACACACCAAAAAGTTAGACGTTAATAAAGTCGTAATTAATCGCAGTAACAGTTCTATTTCCGATGGTCTGAAATCCGTTTTAGCTAAAGGTCTAAACTTTGCAGTCACACCTAAACACATACCAGTTAATGATATAATTGCCCAAGTAGACGTTGCTCTCAGGGGCCTGGGTCACATCGCTGCAGACGTAGCGAGATCTGAAATCGCTGCAACCCTCAAAAACGCTAAGATGCCAGCTAGCAACCTCAGCAAAGATGAGCGTTTTGAATTATATAAATTAAAAAAGAGGAATGATATTGTAGTTCTCTCAGCTGACAAAGGCAATGCTACTGTCATCATGGATAAAATAGAATACAACAACAAAATTAAAGAATTACTCGACGATGGTAGTTATACAAAAATAAAAAGAGATCCCACCAACAGCCTCGTCACACAAACCAACAAAATAATTTCTGATTCAACCGCATTAATTGATCAATCTAAACAGTTTTCGTTGAAACCTTCTGCTGCCAGGCCACCAAGATTATACGGCTTACCAAAAATACATAAAGTTGATACACCTCTTCGTCCCATAGTCTCTACTATCAGCTCCCCCACCTACAAACTAGCTCGTTTTTTGTCTGAAATCCTGCGTCCTTTCACTGGAAAGACCACCTCTGCGGTACAAAATTCTACTCACCTGGTATCAACAATTAAGGGTATTTCCCTGTCCCCAGACGACCTGCTTGTCAGTTTTGATGTAGTTTCCTTATTCACCAAGGTTCCTGTACCTGACACCATTGCAATCATTGAAGACTTGGTTCATCAAGGACTAAACACTGAGGTACCCCCCCTGGTGAGACACTGTTTAACCAATACATACTTCACTTGGAATGGAACTTTCTACAAACAAACTGAGGGCACCCCAATGGGCTCCCCCCTTTCTCCAGTTATAGCTAACATTTTCATGGAGAAATTTGAGACTGACGCCATCCAGACTGCCACTCTGCGCCCAACCTTATGGAAGAGGTACGTGGATGACACTTTTGTCATCTGGCCACATGGCCGGCCTGCTCTAGACCAATTCTTCGACCACATCAATTCCATACACCCAGCCATCAGATTTACCATGGAAGTCGAAATAGATGGCAAGATACCTTTTTTGGATGTCCTAATTAAAAAGAGACCTGATGGTTCAATGAGCCACTCTGTCTACAGGAAAGCTACCCATACGGATGCTTATCTGAAACCGGATTCCCACCACCATCCATCACAGAAGAATTCTCTCATCAAGACTCTGTATCATAGAGCCCAATGCATATCCGACCAGGAACACATAAGCAGTGAACTCAAGCACGTACACCAAGCTCTTAGGGCTAATGGTTACTCCGACTATACAATCCGCAAAGCTATCACTCAAACCATGAATAAGAACCCTCTTGAGGAGCCTTTCAAAACCATCACTTTACCCTACATTGCTGGGATCACAAAAAGATCTCCAAAATCTTGAATAAACACAAGATCCAGGTCCGTTTCAACACATTACATAAAATCCGTGATCTGGTTCCGTCTGTAAAAGATGTGATTCCGGACATACAATACCCTGGTGTCTACAAACTAAGTTGCCTCTGTGGTAGTAGTTACATTGGAGAAACCAAACGCCATATCTCGGACCGCATTCGTGAACATAAAGCAGACCTTAAACACGGTAGGACCAACACCTCGGCCGTAGCAGATCATTGTTCTAATTCAGTAGGCTCACATGCCATTGACTTTTCCAAGACGGAGGTTCTTTGTAAGCCATCTGGCTTCCATGAGAGATTCGTTCATGAGGCTATCCACATATACAAGCACAGAGACAATTTCAACCGAGAAGATGGATTCTATCTTAGCAATCATTGGAAAGATTTGATAAATCATTTCAGTTCTTGATTGATTGTTCACGCTTACAGTGGCTTTCAGACAGCATACATAAAAACAAATTTCGTCTCCCCCCTCCTCTTTTCAAAAAATAGATGGACTAGTCCTGGGCAAACTGCCAATCGTTGCGCGTGACGCAAACGTAATTTTTATATATAAATAAATAAATAAATATGCCGTTTTCAAAATAAATTTATGCAAACCGACACACCTGATGATGACCGTTTGAGTTATGGTCGAAACGTCGTGAGAATTTTTTATTGTTTTATATATATTTTGTTGTTTCTCTTCAACGTGACTTTACCGAAAAAACTAAGAATATGAATTACTGCAGTCACGAAAGCTTTAAATCAAAAAATAATAATGTTGTTTAAAAATGTTGTCCGTGCCCCTCTTTTAAGAAGGCACAGAGTGTTCCCGTATTGATCAAGTTACCCGGGGCCCTTTGTGCACACAAACCGTGTTGTTGCGTCGCCGTGTAGGCGGCCGCTCTAGCCGTGTGCCAGTACCTGGCGCTGGAGGCAAGCCACCCGGCGGTGCCGGCCTTCGATGAGAGCAGCTCCAGCGAGTCCCTGACACCCACGTCGGCGCCGCCCACGAAGCCGCTCAAGCACAAGCAGCAGCAGCGGCGCCGCCCATCGCCCCCTCCGCCACTGCCACCTGTCGCTCAGCTCATGGAGATGGGCTTCCAGCGCAGGAACGTCGAGTTCGCCCTCAAGTCCCTGTCGGGCGGCACTACCGCCTCGGCAGGCCTCCCCGGTAACGCCCGCGACCTGTACGCGTCGCTTCTCTCAGCCTTCGCCTCTTCGAGATAACTAACCATTTAATGAGAGTAATAATGATCGCGCCGTTCTAGTAGCACAAGGTCGTCGTGAAGAAAGACCCCCGACGTGTCGGGCATTTGGAGCCAGCAGCAAATTAGGCTTTGGAATGAGTTTCCTAAGCGAGGGGACCATGGCAGGCGTCCCAGTGCTGAGCGTCAGTGGCATAAGGCCCTGAACGCAACAGCTAACGAAGGCCTTGAAGCACAGTAGTGGTGATACATTACTGGTAATGTTAGTCTCACAACTGTAAATTATTTTTTACTAGCAGAAAGTTCTCGGCGTTGCCCGGGGGAAAAAAATCTATTTAAAAACTTCTCTTAAAAACCATAACATATACATACACAAATACGAAGCTATTGTGAAAGAGTGAGTAGTATTTTTAATTTGAAGCTTTCGTGACTGCAAGAATTCATCTTCTTTGGTTGTTTTGGTAAAGTCACGTAGAATGAGAATAAAATAATAAAATAACAATGAAATTCTCACGACGTTTCGGCCACAATGCAAGCGGCCGTCTTCAGGTGAAAGGTACAGAACTGTCGGTACGACAGAGCTTCAATGAACGATGTTAAGATTTGTAGCGACTTTTAAGCTGGTTGGGAGAAGTGAGGCACCTTGACAAAGGGGTTTACATATCAATAGCTGAGGGATTAGCTTGTGACTGGTCACGGGAATGGCTATGTTAAAGTCAAAACCTACACATCCACAGAGGCAACTAGTAATTTAGCATTGAAATAGCTAAGGGATTAGCTTGTGCAAATAGCTGAGGGATTAGCTTTGGACTGGTCACGGAAATGGCTATGTTAAAGTCAAAACCTACACATCCACAGAGGCAACTAGTAATTTAGCATTGAAATAGCTAAGGGATTAGCTTGTGACTGGTCACAGAAATAGATGTTAAAGTAAAGGCCTACACATCCACAGAGCTTCAATGAACGCTGTTAAGATTCATAGCGACTTTAAGCTGGTTGGGAGAAGTGAGGCACCTTGACAAAGGGGTTTACATATCAAATAACTGAGGGATTAGCTTGTGACTGGTCACGGAATAAATATTTACGGGTCAGAGCAGCCAACATGCTGTCTGACCCACGATGCCAGAGACGAAGACGTAGCACCTCGGGTTCCATTCCACCTGTAGACAGCCCCGATTCAGCCTCAGGGCTGCCCTTTTATGCCCCTGAGCGTGGCCTGGCTCCGCCCTCGGCCACGCCCCCTTCTGGAACCTTCCAGGAAGTTCTGGGCTGCCTTCCACGTGCCACCTGCTTGGCTCCGCCCTTAACCACGCCCCCTTCTGCAACCCTCCAGAAGGTCCTGAGCTATGCTCCCCGTGTCCCCACGGTCACCTACCTCACTCACCCCGGCCCATCACCTGCTTCACCAGCCGGCCGGGGAGCCGTGTCCCCACATGCCCCCCTCTGCCAGCAGCCAGCACCACGCCCCTAGTGACCCACTGCAACGCATTACATGCTGTGCTGGCTGCTACACCCACATTCCCTCATTCTACTGTACATTGCGCTACGTGCCGTAGTGATCCATTCTAGTATAGACTGACTGTAGTAGTATTTAGTGACCGTAGTAGTAGTATTAACTGACCATAGTAGTATCTACTAACAGTAGTCGTATCAAGTGGTATCTACTGACCGTAGTAGTATTTACTGACTATATAGTAGTATCTACTGACTGTATAGTAGTATCTACTGACTTTTGCAGTATTCACTGACCGTAGTGGTAGCTACTGAATGCAGTAGTATCTACTAACTCAATATTAGTATCTGCCTACTCTATAGTAGTATCAACCAATTCTATAGTAGTAAATATTGACTCTACAGTAGTATATAATGACTAAAGTAGTATCTACTGAATCTATAGTCGTATCTATTGACTATAGTAGTATCTACTAACTCTACAGTAGTATATACTGACTATAGTAGTATCTACTAACTCTATAGGAGTATCTACTGACTCTATAGTAATATCTGCAAACTCTATAGTAGTATCCGCTAACTCTATAGCAGTTTCTACTGACTCTATGTCGTATCTACCGACTCTGCAGCAGTGTACCGACTATAGTGGTATCTACTGTAGTATTATCTACCGACTCTATAGCAGTATCTACAGACTCCATAGCAGTAATTACTTACGATAGTAGTATCCACTGACTATAGTAGTAACTACAAACTCTACAGTAGTATCTACTGACTCTATAGTAGTGTAGTAGGTTCAACAGAGTTGCAGACGTACTTCTTGGAGGCAACACATTTATTAAAACCAACGCATAACACAATGGGGTTACTGCCCCTTTACCAGATAACCTATGGTGGTAGACCACCAGGCTAACTACGCTAGTTACTGGGAGTAGCTACAACGGACAGGACCCTAACTTGGGTCCTCGTCCACGCGTTGGTGACTTCTTCTTGGACGTAGAACGTAGATTGTAGATCTTCAGATGACGACAGCAACGCTGAACCCCGGTCCCTGTGCGGACCCGTTTTATATGCTCCTGGGTCGTGGCTGGCTCCGCCCTTAGCCACGACCATCTTCGAGAAACCTCTTGCCGTTTCCAGACTCTTCCCGTAGGATCTCACCCTGACACGTGACTACCCCCTAGCCCCCACATGGGGCCCCTGTGTAGATATTACTGGTCACATGCCTTCCAGGGTCAACCAGAGTGCCATGGCCTAGGGTAACCTCATCCTATGGCTGACACTCTCACACTGCCTCCTGTAGGAGTCAGCACTGCGCGCCACGCGTGGTGCCACTGCATTATCCCAGCACTCACCCTCTAGGGCTGGTACTACACCCACCTACAGAGTGTCCGCGATGACAATGCATCGCACGCCGTGCCTCGCTAGAGCCGGGATTACACAGTGACATTCACGATGTCACTACTACTGTCAGTAGATAATACTGTAATATCTACTAACTATAGAGTTGTATCTACTGACTCTATAGTAGTATCTACTGACTGTATAGTAGTGTAGTGAGTCCAACTGAGTCGCAGACGTTTCTCTATAGAGGCAACACATTTATTGTAACATCACGTTAACACAAAGGGGTAACTGCCCCTTCACCAGATAAAGCCTAGGGTGGTGACCACCCAGCAAACTACACTATACGTAGGAGTTATCGCTACGAAGGCTCAGACCCTCACTCGGGTCCACGACCACGTGTTGATGCCTCGTAGGACGTAGAGCGTCCAGCTTGTAGACGTAGAGCTTCTCGCTGTCGGACGAAGAACCCCCGGTCCCTCTCAGGGGACCGACCTTATATCCTGCCGGGTCGGGGCCATTCTGCCCTCGGCCCCGCCCGTCTTGTCGAGCGTTCTAGCTCCCTCTCGATCCCCCTCGAAAGCTCTCCCTGGACACATGATCACCCCCTAGCCCCCCCCCCGCCCCACCTGGGGCCTTGTCTGCGGACACTCCAGATCACATGTCTACGGGATCAACCAGAGTGCCATGGCCCGGGGCAACCCTGTCCCTGGGCTGACACTCTCCCACTCCCCCTTGTGGGAGCCTGCACTGCACGCTATGCGTGGTGCCCGCACTATCCCAGCGCTCACCAAGCCCCACTAGGACTGGTACTACACCCGCATACGGGGTGTACGCAATGACGGTGCATCGCACGCCGTGCTGTGCTAGAGCTGGCCTCACACAGCAACCTACCCAGTGCTGTCCGCGACATAGGAACATCGCACGCCGGCACCATACAGTGACATCCCTGATGTCACTACAGTAGTATCTACTAACTGTAGCAGTATTTACTGACCGTAGTGGTATCTCCTGACTGCAGTAGTATCAACCAACTCTATAGTAGTAAATACTGACTCTACAGTAGTATCTAATGACTATAGTAGTGTAAAGACTGTCAGTAAGTCCCGAGGTGAAGACAGGGTGTCAGCGAGGCTGGATGCAAAGACAAGGTGCCAGCAAGTATGGAGGGTCTTGTTTGGGAAATTCCCCAGAGGTCCTTGGTTGGGAAATTCCCCAGAGTGTCCAAAAGAGACAGCTGGGGAAATTCCCCCCAGAGAATCCACGAGGATATAAGCAGGGCAAGAAGGGATGTTAGGGGTCTGTAGAGAGGGACTCGGGCCATCGTCCCCGGCAGGTGAGCCCCAGTTGAGCGGTGCCTCGACTGCCCGATCGGCAAGGAGCAACCACACGACGGCACAGCAGGATCCGGAGCTGGAGAGGGATTGGACTACGGGAGTACATTGTTAATTTAACTACTTTCAGTTTACGAATGGGAAATACGAATAGCGCTGGCTCACTCGGGGGCTTATCGCGTGGTATCTGGGTAATTTTTTTAAACGTAAACCCCACAGTTTGTGAGTTAAAAGCGTCGCAAGTCGCGTCCACATATACACCGACACACAGAGAGACAAAACAATACTTGTATAGGTAAGATTATTAAATATTTATAGTCTGATTGTGTCTGACTTGACACTTGTCAGAAGATATAACTACCTCATTTCATTTTGGATTTCGAAGAGCATCTACGAACAAATATATCTCACGCCTTGCTGAAAACTTAATCATAATTTGCAGTGTTCGGTAAAAGTCTCTGAATGATTTATAACTTGGGGTGCATTTCATTGGACACAGAGGCAGGAGTAGACTGCCACCTGTAAGAGGGGAGGAGAGTTTTCTTTTTTTTCTTATTTGTTGATCACCGCTGAGCTACCATTCCCCCACGGCCAATGCCGACCGTGTGACACAGGGATCGAGGCCCTGGTGGGCTGGCTGCTGGACCACCCGGACGTGCAGATCCCGGACATCTCGGATGTGGAGAGCGCCACGTCGGATGACGTGTCAGACGAGGACCTCCTGGACGAGGCCGAGGAGGTGGAGGTGAGGGACACTCCCGGCACCGCCACGCGGCGTGGGTAGCTCTGCGGTGCGCCACCCATGCCTTGGTGACGGGGAGCGCGATTCTGTTGCCAAGACCGCTCGTGCTGCCCATCCATAGTAACACAAACTCGGGTGACTCGTGAGGCCAGGGCAAGGGATGTCAATTGAAGGCTCGTGTTGTTGTTATGGCTGGACCTGATATCAGTCTAACGTTAGGACTTGAGTGACACTTTGTGGGTGTTATTTTATTAGTTTGACATCTGAGTTGTCGTAAGGGTTCTACTAAGAATACCAGTTCCTTATTCAACTGAATATCACTTGCAGTAAGGATATTGAATTTCATTAAACCCTGATGACTTACTCATTGTTTTTTTCGGTAAAGTCACGTATGTAGAAATACAATAAAATTATATTAAAACAAAAACAATCACGACTTTTCGATCACAACACAAGCGATCTTCATCAGGTGTCAAGAACAAATCACGGAGGTAAATACAACAAAAAGATGAGAGACGAGAATTCAACAAACCTGAAAAAAAACATGTGACGCACATCCAGTCAGGCCAACAACACAGTTAGACACTTCCTGGCGGACCACGAATTTCAGAAGTGTTAAATTTCGTGTTCAACCTTTGGATTGCACATACCAGCATAGATAGAATGAAAAATACAAGGTACACGGTCAGTAGAAATACATATACAAGTCCACCAAGAGGTAAGGAGGGAGGAAAGATGGACAGGGAGGCAGAGAGAGAGGGGGGGGGGCGGAGGGATGAACAGAAGCTTAAATAGGAAATACGGTTGGAGGGGGGGAGGAGCCAGGGAGAGCGGCAGCTCAAACACGCACATCTTACACATACAAAACGGCAGCTCAAAAAAGGACCACCTCTTGTAAATACAAAACGGCAGCTCAAAAAACGACCACCTCTTGTAAATACAAAACGACAGCTCAAAAAAGGGCACATCTTACACGTAATTACAACGGTCTAGAACAAATCACGGAGGTAAATACAACAAAAAGATGACAGACGAGAATTCATCTTTTTGTTGTATTTACCTCCGTGATTTGTTCTTGACCGTTGTAATTATGTGTAAGATGTGCCCTTTTTTGAGCTGCCGTTTTGTATTTACAAGAGGTGGTCCTTTTTTGAGCTGCCGTTTTGTATGTGTAAGATGTGCGTGTTTGAGCTGCCGCTTTCTCTGGCTCCTCCCCCCCCTTCAACCGTATTTCCTATTTAAGCTTCTGTTCATCCCTCCGCCCCCCCCCCCTCTCTCTGCCTCCCTGTCCGTCTTTCCTCCCTCCTTACCACTTGGTGGACTTGTATATGTATTTCTACTGACCGTGTACCTTGTATTTTTCATTCTATCTATGCTGGTATGTGCAATCCAAAGGTTGAACACGAAATTTAACACTCTTCTGAAATTCGTGGTCCGCCAGGAAGTGTCTAACTGTGTTGTTGGCCTGACTGGATGTGCTTCACATAATGTTTTTTCAGGTTTGTTGAATTCTCGTCTCTCATCTTTTTGTTGTATTTACCTCCGTGATTTGTTCTTGACACCTGATGAAGATCGCTTGTGTTGTGATCAAAACGTCGTGATTGTTTTTTTGTTTTAATATAATTTTTTTGTATTTATACATACGTGACTTTACCGAAAAAACCAATGAGTAATTTTATGCAGTCACGAAAGCTTTAATACTTTCTGATGACTTGACAGTTTATTACAGTTGGTGTAAAATATTTGTTTAATTTTGTCCCCTTGATTGTTGCACGTTCAGTTTCTTCTTGTGAATCCGAAACGGCCTTGGCGTATTGCATTCAATGAAGCCATATTTACCATTGGCTGTGTGTCTGAGTAGAGGACGGATGGCAACTATGGTCAGCAGGTGTTCGTGACCGAGAGCCAAACATTTAAAAAGCGTGGAGATTTCCTGAGCAACGACGACTATGCCATGTACATCCGCGATAGCATTCAGGTGAGACCCACGGACCCCCTCGCCTATGCTGGCCCCAGTGAGTTCAGTGCATCCTACTGCTGGTCAGGGCAGAGAAACCTTACTACCTTGCAATTTATGTCCAAATTAAGTTTACAGTGACCGTGTCATCAGCCAATCTGAGATGGTTAACAGCAGCTTCTTCATATTCTCCATTATGCATTTAATTCTCTGCTCCGATGTTTGAAAAAACATTTGCTAATTACGATGAAACTTTGTGAGAGGGAATCTTTTGCCTGATAATGTTTTGTTATTTATGTCACGTCTAATTATTTGTTATTTAGGCCATGGCTTGTTGCGCTGAATGACTGCATCACTTTCCATGGAGTAAATTTATTTCCATTGTCTACAAAGGCTCTGCTTCGTGGAATTTGATATTCACGAGTTGCTTCAAAAATCTTATGTAATGTGTATGGTCATTGTTATAATCCTGCTGGCACACTTGCTCGGTTGGTTGGCCTCTAAATTGTCCATTAGTCTGTTTTTCAGAAGCAATTTATTCCTGTGATGAGAAACGGTTGGAATAATTTTGGAAAAAAACAACTTGATAATGAACAACTCACTCCATGTCCGCTGAAAAAGAACTTTTCAGTCGGTGCATAGTGACTGATGATCCAGCACTCACTGATCCGCTCCAGTCACTCGCACAGATTGAAAACTCATTTCTTTAGAACTGTCTTTTGTCTTTAGTTTGTTGGCCTTCCCTAGCACCTCCGATTATCACGGGTGGCTACATACGGTGCGAAAGAAGTTCAACAATCGTACATACATACCTATCAATCTTCTATCTCTGCTACCGTGGTCACTGTTCCCATGAACTTCACTCATTGATGTCTCTTACCGTGTTGTGGACTCGATCTACCAGACTCGCCCTCCCTGTGTACCACTGGCGCATTTCACGTCTCAACAAGCCTATTTATGCTTTTGCTTCTTTTATCCGACTGCTCCACCTTGGAATGCCTTCTTATTGTCTCTATAGTCTGTTAAGGCTACATGGGGGTTCTGTGTCTTTGTGCATGTGTGTGTGCATGACGCCGCAGGTCGGGATGATGGTGCGCTGCTGCCGCAGCTACGAGGAAGTGCTGGAGGGTGATGTGGGGAAGGTGGTGAAGCTGGACCGCGACAGCCTGCATGACCTTAACGTGCAGTGCGACTGGCAGCAGAAAGGGGGCACCTACTGGGTGCGCTACGTCCACGTCGAGATCCTGGGTAGGGCAGCCCGTGCCACCCTGCACGGCCCGCATGGCCGCGCCGCATCTCCCTTGTCACGCTTATAGAGCGGCCAACAGCAGTGGTGATCACTGGCGAGACATCCGGGCAGAAAGCGTTCTTATTCAGGCAGTAAACAATCCTAACTTTACGCAGTCCAGAGAAACAGAATGGGACTATCAAAACTAGAAGAGCACTACACAAGGGAAAGTAATCTTATTTCGTCTGGCAGAATAATAACTTGTTATTCAATCTCAACACACCTTGCCTGTTATTGCCTGCAGTGGCTTCACTGTAGGTCTGGTCCGTGTGCGGCGTTTCTTTTTATCAAAGTGCTTTTTAATAATGCTGCCTGTCAGTTGCACTACGCAACTGAATTTCAGCCATCCTTCTACCATGGGAAGGCCGGGCGGTAGTGGCTACGCCTGCACGTGTCCTGTGATCCGGCACTGTGGAGGCAGCAGCAAGGGTTGGTGGATCGCCGCACTGATGGTGCGTAACTCGCTTCCAGTGGGCGTCGAGGTGCCTTACCATGGCTCTCCAGGATCAGGCAGTACAGCAAGCGGACTGATCGCCATCTGTTTCCATCTGTGAGAGGATAGAGCGTTGCCCCCTCGCATGCGTGGGTTTTCTTCGAGTGCTCTGATTTCCTTCTACTTGTATATCAAACACCGGTCGGCTGAAAACATCTTAATATTTAAAACCCAATGCAGAACCCTTCTGTAAAAATAAGGAACTATATAATATTATTCTTGTTATACTCTGAATCAACATTGTTGAAAGCAACATAAGTGTAGTTTTGTGCCACCGCTTTACCGACACCATAGCCCTAAACGGTGAGCGTGCACCGTTGATCCTCCATTGAACTTGCTCGCCTGTGGCTGCCAAATAGAACGAGCGTTGTGTGTGTGTGTGAACCCCCCTAATGGAACATCTTCGCCGGTTAGAAACATTTAGGCTGGCCTGCCTACGATCCATCTTGGTTTTAACCAGGCTGGATTGTGTGAGGAGCTCAAATATCCTTGAAAGATCTGGACAAAGTCCCATCGGTGAGCTCCTCCGGCAGGCAAGGCTGCCTTGGCTGGACTATGTAGCCCACATTCCCTGCCACCGCATGCCTAAACAGCTTTTGTTCGGCTGGATCGAGGGGGCTAAACGGGCGCGGCACGGACTAGAGAAGAGATGGAGTGATGTGGTACAGGAGGATGTGGAGCTGAGTGGACTTGCCGATGACTGGTACCAGCGTTGTCAAGATCGGCCTCTGTAGAGGAGGCTCGTGAAGGATGCTACTGGGCAGTTGGAGGCAGTCGCCCTCCAACAACAACGGAGGGCGGAGGAACGACGCTCGCAACGATCGGAGCGCCAGGTGGCTAAAGCACAGCAAGTTGGCACATTAGGGGGCGCAGGTGGTGCATCAGCCAGTCATCTCAGTCAGTCGACCCGTGGCACCTGGGTCTGCCCTGTGACCTCCTGCCAGCGGGCGTTCGACACTTCATGTGGTCTCAACTTGCACATAGCCTGGCACAAGCGTCGTGGTGATGTCACCTCCACTTAGTGGCGAATGGCAGTTGTTGTTGTTGTGTGCATGTGTGTCCCTGATGTGTGTGTGGCAGTGGGGAGCGGTAGTGTAGCAGTTAATGCGCTGCGCTACGAACCCGGCGACCCAAGTTTGATTCCTGCTCACGGCCAACATCAGTGATGTATATCTGAACCAGTCCTGTGCCTCCCCTAGGTCGACTCAAATGAGTACCTGGGCTGGTGGTGTAAACAAGGCGGCCGGACGTGGTGCTGGCTACCCACCCTCTCGTATGCCATGCTAGCCTCATTTGTGCTCGCGAACAGCACTTGCCCCAACAGCCTGTTAAGGCTGCATGGGGGACCTTTGTCGTTGATGTGTGTGTCGGTGCTTAGGCTACCCGCCTCAGACGTCTCACTCGCACATCAAGGTTGGGGACAAAGTGAGAGTGAAGTCTTCCGTGGTGACTCCCAAGTACAAGTGGGGCTCGGTGAACCATCGCAGCGTGGGCGTCGTTAAGGGTGAGTGCCACGGTGGCCGTGCTCGGTGCCCTGCTCAGACGACGCTGGTTTTGCATTGAAAGGCGAGTTTAGTGTAAATGTCTGCAAAACAAATTAGCTTAGACCATCAATTAAAAGACTCGTGAAAATGTGACCAGAGAGCTTTTGTACATGCGGGGCACACGTCTTTGTCTGCTGGTAAGTCTGTTGGTGTCAAGCCAGCATTTATTTTTTATGTCATGATGGGCTTTCTCATTTTCAGGTTTGAATTATACGAGCACTTTACAAGTTTAAATTTTAAGTGGTGATGTCAATGATAACTGAGTAATCGTAGGGAAATGGAATTACCAAAGGTGAGCTCTTATTTCTATTCAAGTGGCAGCCTCCTGTTGGAACTGCATGATGTCCCTTGGACTGTCTGCGGACTTCCTCTTGTCAACGACTCCTCTTTGGGGCACCATTAATTCTCTTCTGTTTATAAATAAAATTGCAGATAAACTGAGCAACATGCCCCGAAAGATAAAGAGGAGTCACAGACAACAGAGATGCGGTTTGGGAGTTCAGCCGTAACACTCATTCATACTTTCACCAGGGTTTGCATTCCAAACAGTGAGCGTTAGGGACGAGCCAGGATCTACAGTGAGGGGAAAAAAGCATTTGATTCCCTGCTGATTTTGTACGTTTGCCCACTGACAAAGAAATGATCAGTCTATAATTTTAATGGTAGGTTTATTTGAACAGTGAGAGACAGAATAATAATAAAACAATTCAGAAAAACGCATGTCAAAAATGTTATAAATTGATTTGCATTTTAATGAGGGAAATAAGTATTGGACCCCCTCTCAATTGTCGTAGCCCATTACATTTTGTAATGGATTTTGAATGCAATATCATGAGACCATAGACACGACTGTTCTAAAGAGAAAAACCCATCTCACTCCGCACAATTCTCATCTCCTTTGGTTCTAGGGCTTTGCAGTGTTAACACACTGTAGATTACTCATTGGTTTTTTCGGTAAAGTCACGTATGTAGAAATACCATAAAATTATATAAAAATAAATTATATTTAAATAAATTAATATAATTTTATGGTATTTCTACATACGTGACTTTACCGAAAAAAACAATGAGTAATTTATGCAGTCACGAAAGCTTTCATTCTTTATTAACACTGTAGATTTTGAAGGGCTTCGATGATTCTTCACCCCTGGCTTCACACCGTGTCTAACCCGCGCGTCCTGTCCGTCGTTGACTGTTCATCACCGCAGCCTTCAGCGCCAATGGGAAGGACGTGATCGTGGATTTCCCACAGCAGTCCCACTGGACCGGTCTCTTGTCGGAGATGGAGTTGGTGCCCAGCAGTCACCCCACCGTCACGTACGCGCACCACCCCAGCCACCAGCCATGTCGCAACACAATTGCCGATCTCTCCCATGCAGGGCCAGCAATGCGACTGGCGTGTCACACCCTAGTGTTCTGCAACAAAAAACTTTCACACACACACACACACGTGCACACATGCAAGTACCTTCATGTTAGCCTCAGAGACTGTCAGGGACATTCGCTGAAATCATTAGGAATAAATAAGTAAAATAATTTTTTTACCCAGAGAAAATTATTTGGAGGTGCGGGAAACCACAGATTCGTGGGAAGGTAGCCAGAACTGTGGCCAGCAATTGCCCAAGCTACGTGGTCCTATATTGGAATGTTTGGCCAACTCTATTGATGAGTGATTATGCATGTGGGAGGAAACCAGAGTACCTGGATGGAGTATTACTCAATCCACATACAACTTGAATACATGTGGAAATTAATCCACTAGCTACACTGCTACACTGCTGTACTGTGGCAAGCCAGGAAGTATCGACCTCGACACCCACGGGTAGCGATGAAGTTTCGTGAATTTGTGTGATCCACTAACCCTCTCTCCTCCACAGTGCTGGAGTACGTGATACGTGCAGCATAATCACTAGCGTTGAAAAGTGCAAGCGAGTGTAGCACATGAGACAGTGTTTGGCCAACATCTCAAACGCAACTGTGTTGATGGCTCCAGGTGCCTCTGTGGTGTTCTCTCTCTTTAACGTAGGGCTGTGTCTGCCGAGATCGGCCTGTGTGGTACAAAATGGTGCTGTTGTCTGCAGGTGCGACGGCTGTCACGTCTACCCGATCGTGGGGCCGCGCTACAAATGCCGCAACTGCGATGATTTTGACTTCTGCGAAAACTGCTTCAAGTCGAAGAGGCACAACGTGCGGCACGTCTTCGACCGCATCAACGAGCCGGGTGGGCTTCCTGCGTCCTTCCGCTTTGAAGTTTCATGGTGGACTGTTACAGAGAGCAACCTGAACTTACGACAGCACCGTCTTAGCGCGCTAGTCTATATACACTCAGTTTTTCAGTCTCTTTTGTAGCTAAACAATGTTTTAAGTTCATAAGTTACATTTCGTACAAATGATTGAGCGAAGGAGTGATGAATAAAGGGTTCTGGATATTTAGGGAGCAAACAGAGAGTCTGTACGTGATGGAATTGGAATGGGGAGCATGGGAGGTTGACCAGACGACTGAGAGAGAGGCGGAGGGCATGGTCAGGGCCCAGCGGGGAGGGCAAGAAAGAGGGAGGAGGGACCGCGTGTCCCCGTGTTGCACCATACTCATGTCCCTGTGTTGCACCATCCTACCAGCAATCTGTCATGCCCAATTTTGCGTGAGTCAGGTTGTGTCGCCGTTGAGAAGCGCCGCGGGATCACCATTCGCCCCCCCTCCCCCCCACCATCCACAGGTCAGACGGCGGCATGCGCCGGCCGCTCGGGCCGCCATGTGCGGCGGCGCCAGGGAGGCATGGGCTCGCTCGTTGAGGACTGGTCACGCGTCGTCAAGGGTGTCACGGCGTCGTCGGCGGCGAGCCATGCGGCGCGCCTCTTCGATGGCTCCCCCTGGCAATCGTCGGGCTCCCAGGGAAAGGTCAGAGCCAGGGTTGCCGCCGCCGCGATTATCACCGTATCGTGAGTCATCGATTTTTAGGGTGAGGGGACACATTGATCCGACCAAAGTTTTGTCGCGTAATCCTCCACCACCCACCTGACATAGCCAAGCAACTTGAATTGTCAAGAGTGCAAGTGTTGAAGCTGTCAATTAATTATTACTCTTATGACAACGCATCCATTAATGTACGACTTGGAATTTTTTGCAATTAACTCTGTTTTGTGCTTTGAGACTCGGAGCACAGAACAATGCCCGTGCGATGCACTTATCTCTCTCCATCACTTCGCTTGGAATGATGAACCACACTCTTTGGTTCTATTCGGTAAAGTCACGTAAAAAAACAACAAAAAATAAAAATTCACGACTTTACGGCCACAACACAAGTGGCCTTCATCAGGTGATGGGACCGTGCTGTCATGAGGACAGCGTTGGAGTGAAAACAGCCAAGCCCAGGTGACATCCTTTAAGCTGTGTGGGAGGAAGCAAAACGTTTGACAAAGGAATTAGCATAAAAATGAGCACGATGTACGTAGGAGGTGTATGGGCCATGATGGACCAGGAGCGGAGTGAGTGGAGTGAGTGGAGTGAGTGGGTGGAGTGAGTGGAGTGGGTGGAGTGAGTGGAGTTGAGTGAGTGGAGTTGAGTGAGTGGAGTGAGTGGAGTGAGTGGAGTGGAGTGAGTGGAGTGAGTGGAGTGGAGTGAGTGGAGTGGAGTGAGTGGAGGGAGTGGAGTGGAGGGAGTGGAGTGGAGGGAGTGGAGTGGAGGGAGTGGAGTGGAGGGAGTGGAGTGGAGGGAGTGGAGTGAGTGAGTGGAGTGAGTGAGTGAGTGGAGTGAGTGAAGAGACCAGACTGTCCAGAGGACAGCGCTGGAGTGAACACAGTCAAGCTAATTCCTTTGTCAAGCGTTTTGCTTCCTCCCACACAGCTTAAAGGACGCGACCTGGGCTTGGCTGTTTTCACTCCAATGCTGTCCTCATGACAGCACGGACCCTTCACCTGATGAAGGCCACTTGTGTTGTGGCCGAAACGTCGTGAATTTTTATTTTTTGTTGTTTTTTTACGTGACTTTACCGAATAGAACCAAAGAGTATGGATCCTTGCAGTCACGAAAGCTTTAAATCTAAAAATGATGAACCACGTTGAAAGGATTTCGAAATTGGCATTGAGGCCCGATGATAAATCTACAAGGTCGTCCCAAAGCACGCTGCTGTGTGGCCCTTGTTGCTGTTTCCTGATTGCTCAATTGATCTGTAATTGATGATAAAACTAGTGTCATCCACATTGATTGATCATGTTTACCCACAACATATGAATGGCTTGGAATAGAGTCATAAGCCTTTCATCCTTTGTCCGTGCCATGGCCTTAAACGTGTCCTCCTAGGACAATCTCACATGACCCCCAGCGGCTTCGTGCTCCCGTGGCCTTCAGGTTTTGATTGCATTTGCCTCCTGATACCGTGCATGCGAGCAGCACTGGGTACGGCTGGAGCTCTTCCCGGACATGCTGATCCACCGCCTCAAGATGATCGTCCACCCAGCAGATAGCAGCTACATGCCCTCTCTCGTCGTCATCTCAGGTAGGGCCTGGGCGGGAGTGGCTTCAGCAGAGCAGCATTGCTTTCTCAGCAGGGGTGTCGTGGTGGCGAGATGTTAACTACCTCGCCTGGTATACAGGAGGTCATTGGGTTCAAGCCCAACCCTGACACCTGCTGTATATTTGGACTTTGTATGTTCTCCCCATGGTCGCGTGGATTTTTTTACGGGTACTCCGGTTTTTCCCTCCTCATTTAGAAATGTGTTTAGAGTATTTGGCTGCTATAAATGTCGACATGATACGCCACTTTTTTGACCTATCATTTGTGGCCAGGTTACTTCTGAAAAAGAGCTATATAGCTCCGTGGGCCTTACCTAGAAAAAAAAACCTGAAGAGCCAAACGTAATAAAGGAGATGCACGTCAACAGAAGCGTGGGTACACCCGCCTCTTTAAACTCATTTGATAGAAGTGAAAGAGTAGACCATATACCCACAAGACTTCACGCTCATGGAGGCCCTCCAGGCATTAGTGGTGTGAGCTAGCAGTTGCACGGCTACTCTATTACCATTTTTTTTATCAGCAAATCAAGCACATCACCAGGTAGGGCACACGAGACGTAGATTGGGCAGCCTGGGCACAGTGCTAGGTCTGTATGCGAGGGGGATACTGGAGTTGGCACTCGCCCACAGTGGTTTAAAAACCCCACATGGACCAGTTGGAGGACATTCTCTATGAGGTTGGGGTTCGGGTGGCAGCAATCCCAATCTCTCACTCGCAAGACATCTGCAGTGTAGCATGTGAGTTACCAGCTCATTTTTGTGGGTTTTCTGCTTGTCCCACTGTGTGTATTATGGGTTCGCTCCCAGTGCTACCAAATTCTCTTTCATGCATCGTGACATCCTGTGACATCCTGTCTTGCTTTTTCCTTGCATTGCTCAAGGATGGAATAAACTCCTTTTGAACTGCGCTGACTTAACCATGTGCAGTGATTGCTTCATGCAATCACATTGTGCTTGTCAGCTGTCATGGAGGCTTCCATTTGGTCTAACTGGGAGCCAGATTTAAACAGTGACGTTTTTTTTTGTTTTCTACAAATATGTGGTAGTCTGCCTCATAATGAATGGATTTGTTGATGCTGCGTTTGAGATGTGAACAATAATATATCAACGAGCATTAGTCTGCCGAGTTGTCTCTGTAAAGAAGACTTCTCCTTCACAGGAGGGAGCTCTCTCACGACCATGATCGAGTTGAAGACGATCAACATCGCTCCCACGGATTTTGTGGTCACCCTCCTGTCGGACTGCTGCGAGGTACTTGCGTCTTCCACCAATTAATCAGGCGGCAGCACGGGTGCAATATCTCTAGAATAGGAAGACCTGGCTATTGTAAATGTGTGTCACGGCGGTATTCCGTCGTTATTCACGAACTTGTTTCGCGTGATTTTGGCTATCTGCAAATCACATCTGGAGCTCTACACGACTGCATCGATAGAGAAAGAAAGTGATGAGAGAGACAATGGGATACGAGAGAGAGAATGGGATGCGAGGTGATGAAATAAAGTGGTGATGTGGGCTCATTATTTAAAATAAGTTCATTAATAAGCTCTTATTTCATACTTTTGTAATGACGACTTGACACTTCTCTTGAGATGGCACTTTATTGAAGACACGTTCACTTGACTTTAGGCGGAGATCCCACTGCAACAGCCCCGAGTCTCCGTTATATATCAACCAAGGCCACGCCCCCCTTCTCGATCATTCTCGCTGACTCTGGACGCTCGCTCTACCGGCAGACTCGACCGTTCCGTCACCTGACCCCACACTCCCTTCTCGAACATTCCCATAGTCACCAGTCCCTTAGCATTCAAAACTGATACCCCTGTCATTACCTCCCGTGGCCACTAGGACATTCGTACTGTAGGCTGATTTCCCTGTCATTACCTCCCGTGGCCACTAGTCTCTTCACACCGCATACAGGCTCTATTGTCATAACACTTTTATGTTTATTTTTATTTACTTTTTTTATTGTAACAAATTAAAATGTTTGTGTTATGATAATTTTCATGTATTTAAGAGTTCATTTATGTATTTATTTATTTAATGTAATTCATTGACAAGATAGGTTTTCGTAGGCCAGTATCATCCGTGAAATTTGCTTTTCACAAGCATCTATGGAATGTATATCGCTCATCGCGAATAATGAGGGTATACCACACCTAAGTCTTGACAATCGAGTTGTGGGTAAATTTTCGATGCCACTTGCCAGCAACAGCATTTGGCTGGCCAGAGGCTTTCGAGAGAGTTCACACAGAGGGCCGGATCGAGACCGCATGTGCGTGCCCAAGAGGCTTCGTGAATATAATACTGGAATGAGGCGGAGTGTCGCTGAGATGGGAGAAAAGGTGTCGCTGAGACTAGTCGTGAGAGGGCGAGGCGATGGGAGGGGCTCGGTGCTGACGGTGATTGCGCCCACCGCACACCGCCAACTGCTGTCCACGCCGTACGCTCCATACCGCTCTCCAGGCTGCACGCTGCCAATGGCTCACTTCCTTACACAATCAGAATCGAAATATTTAGTTATCCTGGGGAAATCCGATGAGCTATGCAGCTCTTTTTTTACAGATTTCCAAAGGAAAGCTGCAAAAGAGAGATAGTAGTGCAACGTATAGGAAAGGTAAGCAAACCTCTTAAAATAAATACATAAAATAGTCAGTTTTTAAGTTCAAATTACATAAGTACATCAATCCCCAAGCTTGGCAAGGCAGCAAAACAGTCCAAATTGCTAGCTTATTTTGATCGACCCCGGAGGAATGATGGGTTCAGTCAAGCCCTAACCAGGATTTGAACTTGCTACCTTCCGATTGCGAGCCGCTCCCTTTACCACCGGGAATTTAACTATGTGATCATGTCACACTCGGTTATTGGATAGAGCAGTGGCCACTGGGACTATAATGTCATTTTGCATTTATGTTTGTATTTCTTGGGCAGCAGCACTGGTAGTTGTGTGATGTGCTTATTGTGCCAAAGCTATTTATTTTACTGAGTAAGGCCCACTCAGCTATATAGCTCTTTTCCGAAGCGACCTGGCCACAAATGATAGCTCATCGAAGTGCCATATCACGTGGAAATTTATAGCAGCCAAATTCTTGAAACGCATGTTTCTAAACATGGAGGGAAAAACCGGAGGACGTGGAGACAAATTCACATGATCACTGAGAGAGGGAATATGCAGACTCCAAATATACAGTTGTCAGGGTCGGGATTGATCCCACGACCTGTATACCAGGTGAGGGAGTTAACATCTTGCGACCGCGTCGCACACAGCTTATACAAACCTACAAATGTGTAAGAAGTGTGTGCTCAGGATAAAACTACAGACACGTGATGAGTGTGTGTATGTGTGCTTACAGCACAGGGGGTAGATGGTAAGTAAGTGTGTTGACGATTTTCTGAACCTTTCCTGGGCCTCCCTTAAGTCGACTCAGCCTCAAATGAGTACCTGGTGTGGCGTGTAAACATCGCCAGTAGGAAGACAAATGTAGCCGGGCGTGGTGCTGGCCACCCACCCCCTCGTGTGCTGTTCCGGCCTTCATAGGTGCTCGCTAACAGCACTTGCCCCAAAAGTATGTTAAGGCTACACGGGGGATCTTTGTCTTTGTGTGCTTCCAGCACTACCGGTACGTGGAACTGGCCGTGAAGCAGTGCCGGAGTTCGGGAATCGACTGCAAGGTGCATGGTCTCATCGCACTGGGTCGCGTGCGCTCCGAGGACGACGACTCGGCCGCCGCATTCTCCTTTCTCGCCTCCGACAATGAAGAGGAGTACGAGGAGAGGAGCAATGTGGCCAGGCACGGCCGCAACCCTCACGGCCCAACCCTCACTCGCACACTTACTGCTTCGCTCACTTCTGCTCTCACTGCTGCTGTCACAGCCAAACTCACTGCTGCACTGACTGCTTCGCTCACTGCTACCCTCACTGCTACCCTCACTGCTACACTCACTGATGCACTAACTGTTATGCTCACTGCTTAACTCACTGCTGCACTCACTGCTACACTCACTGCTGCACTCACTAATATGCTCACCGCTGCACTCGCTTCACACTCACAGCTACACTTGCTGCAACTTACCGCTACAATCACGGCAACACTTATTCTGTTGCCCTCACTGCTCACACCACAATTCACCCTTGCACACCTCCCCTCATGGCCCCTCCCCCCCCCCCCACTTTACTCTCCCTGCCCTCGCTTCCCTGAGCCTTATGTGGGTAACGCAGCTGAACGTTTGCCGTGCGGACGTGGAGGCTGCAAACGCAGCGAGCACGGAGTGGGTGCTTGGGCGCCTGCGGTGGAGGGATGCACTGACGTGACTGTCGCCCCCGCAGTGTGGTGAAGAAGCCGTCTGGGAGCTGCGACTCCTCCCTCAACATCAAGACCAAAGTGCTTGTCTGGGGCCTCAATGACAAGGATCAGCTGGGAGGACTGAAAGGGTCGAAGGTAGTGTGTGAAATGTGTTAGCGCACCGTTATCCATTTATTCTGTGATGCGGGTTGTTTTTGAACCAATTACTTGTTGGTTATTTCCTTTGCCATTTTGGCAACTCAGTCGGATCACTCTTGCAAATGTAGGCCCAGCGGAGTTACTTAAATTCTCAGCCGGTTGAACCAAAAGGAACCGGAACTTTAATCCCCGCTGTGAGTGTGCGCGGGTTTCGTTGCTCGCATCGCACATTGGCGCAGAGTGTAGCCCACGCGCTCACCCCTCCCGTCTACGCGCGCGTGCATGCAGATCAAGATGCCGTCTCTGTCGGAGGGCATCTCCGCGCTGAACGTCGTGCAGGTGGCGGGAGGGTCCAAGAGTTTGTTTGCCGGTGGGTGTGCGCAGCAGCTTTCATAGGCTCCTCACTACCGTATTTTCCCGCACATAGCCCGCATATGCATATAACCCGCAGACGCATATACCCTGCAAAAATAGCGTTTTGTGTAAAACAAATTTCAGATAGCCCGCACCTCCATATACCCTGCATGCTTCAATCTTTAACGTCTCGATTTAAAGCTTTCGTGACTGCAGGGATTCATCTTCTGGGTTCTTTCGATAAAGTCACGTAGAATGGAAATTAAATAATAATAACAGAATAAAATTCTCACGACGTTTCGGCCACAACACAAGTAGCCTTCCTCAGGTGAAGAAACAGGACTGTCCGGAAGACAGCGCTTGAGTGAACACTGCCAAGCTTGGCAGCGTCTTTTAAGCTGTGTGGGAGGAACAGAGCGCCTTGACAAAGGAGTTTACATATAAATTAGCATGTAACCGGGGGATTAGCATGATGTTGGTGGGAGGGATTAGCACCACGGAGAGCGACGAGCTTTGTTCAGACGGACGAGTCCATCTATGTTCGGAATGGAGGAGGGGGGAGAGGAGTTTACATATAAATTAGCATGTAACTGGGGGATTAGCATGATGTTGGTGGGAGGGATTAGCACCACGGAGAGCGACGAGCTTTGTTCAGACGGACGAGTCCATCTATGTTCGGAACGGAGGAGGGGGGAGAGGAGTTTACATATCAACAGTAAATTATTATTATTTTTATTATTTTATTTCCATTCTACGTGACTTTACCGAAAGAACCCAGAAGATCTTTAACGTCGTTACCGCAGCTTAATTCCATCATATTAATACAAAGTTTACATTTGTAATACATTCCACTATCAATTGTTAGCATTAAAATCATAACGTGCACAAAGAAAACAAACTAACTGGAAACGAGTGAACTTTAAACAGTAAATAAGTAACAAAAGTAAATATCCAATAAATAAGTAACACATGACTGGTAGATAAGTAAGTAAGCGTACTGTTAGGCTTACCAGCATTCGACCTCATCATATTACATCTACTGGACCGGTAGTTACCCCTTGTACAGTTTTAGCACTGGTAGATTGCGCACTGCGCAGACAATAGCGGCACTATGGTAACGCCATTGCCTCCTGGCAACAAAGCCCATTGGAAGTTTGAAAGAAAGCTCATGGTCGTGACTGTATAGTGCTCAGCCAATAGCAGCGGCCTAAGGGACTCAGCAATTATGATTCCGCATCTTGTTTAAGGCCCTTCCCATTGCTCAATGTAAACATTGTACAAACAATTCGAATAATTTAAAACGTGATAACATGTGCAATTTTAGTGTTAGTGGTTTATTCAGCAGTGCTTTAGTCAAAGGTAAGTGTTTCATAGTGGATAGTCCTACCATGAAAAAATTAAACGAGTTATGATGTCACACGTGTAAAATATTTTTGGGATAGCCCGCACCCCCATATACCCTGCAGGGTCTTGTTTTGTTTGTAAAAAGTGGTATACCCCGCAGGTTATATGCGGGAAAATACGATAATTATGAACTCGGGATTGAGGTCCTGCTCATCTCCCTTTTATAGCCCTGAACCAGTGGTGGAAATGCCTCCCTTTTATTGGTTGGTGGGTGTGTCTATCTAATGCACACTCTGTTGACTTCCTCAGAAAATGGTACCCATTTTATTGACCTGAAAAAGGCAGAGGATGGGCTGAGTCAACCTACACAACCAGAAATTTGAACTCGCAACCTACGCTCACTGTCGTGGGCTTGAAGTGTGGTGGTGTTTGGTGCTGTGTGGTGGTGTGTGGTGGTGTGTGATGGGGTGAAGCGTCTGCTGTGGTTATCGCACGATTGAAATGTGTGCATTGTGTCTGTGAGTTCCTCAAGCACTGCCGTTCCGCCCTTGCGCAGTGACGACTGAGGGGAAGGTGTTCACCTGCGGGGAGGCCACAAATGGCCGCCTGGGCCTGGGCCTCACATCCGGAAACATCTCCATCCCCCGGCAGATCACTGCGCTCGGAAACTACGTGGTGAAGAAGGTGGCCGTGCACTCAGGTTCGACGTTGCAGCCTGCCCAGTTTCCACGTGTCCAACGTTAAGATTGATCAAGACGCTTCCTGGATGTCAGTCGTGAATGATCGAATGCCTGGATGCTGGTTGGATTCACATTCTCAGTGGATGTTTTGTGCACTCCCAGTACACTCTCATGTAGATTCATATTCACTTATCCAAACTAACTATCATAGTTTTAGTGGAATTATCACCCTAGACTGGCTTTTGCGGCAACCGTGTTACTAGCAAGAGGAAGGACGAGGAGAGCAGCGTTTGAAGGGGACACGGGGAGGGTGGGTCGTGACGTCATACGTGTGCGTGTCGTGCGTGTGCGCGCATGCGCGTGCTGTGCGTGTGTGTGTGTCATGTATTCGCATGTCGTGTGTGTGCGCGTGTTTGTGGCGCAGCGGTTAGAGTGCTCCGCTACGAACCCGGCGACTCCCGCTCACGGGCCAACACCAAGTGACTATTATCTGAACTTGTCCTGGGCCTCCCCTAGGTTGACTCGACCTCAAATGTCTTTGTGCGTGCATGTGCAGGCGGACGCCACGCCATGGCGCTGACAATCGACGGGAAGGTGTTCTCCTGGGGAGAGGGCGACGATGGCAAGCTCGGCCACTTCAGCCGCATGTGAGAGAGGGCCCAGAGTGGTGACAGAGCCTTGGCCTGGCAACACACTTGCATTGCTTTTTTATATTCAGCAATAAATAATTATTCTTTTTGAGCATGATGATATTTATTATTGCCTTTTGTGGGTAAGATCTGGGTGACCTTACTAGGAGGGATGAATATCGTCGTAACAGTTTAGTAGTGGATTACTTGTCAAGGGGGGAGTGGTGACACATTGGTTAGCACATTGCCTAATGGCCATGTCTAATAGCAGTGGGGAGTTTTATCTAACCCATGCCCCTTTCACTAACCCGTACTGACCAATGCGAGATTGTATTGTCAAACAGCCTGCTGAGAGTGAATAATAATCATAATTATTTGAGCAGCTCTTGTTTGACAAGTGCAAACTCTGGACTGGTTTTGAAATTCAGTGTCTCATGAGCAGAATCTAGCTTGCATGAACCAATGCTGGTGAACTAGAGTGTGAAGAAAGTTATTTTTCATAAACTTGAGTCTTGTTAACAGGCCTGGCGGGAAGTACAATGACCACCAAACATGCGTTTAGAGTATTTGACTGCTGTCAACTTCCACATGATAAGCCACTTCGCTGAGCTATAATTTGTGGCCAGGTCGCTTTTTTTCGTTCAACAAGAGCCCGATACAGAGCATGAGCAATAACAAGGGAAGGGGGCACAGATATTTCGGGGGCAGAAAACCGGCCAGGTTGCTTCCAAATAAACGAGCTATATAGCTGAGTGGGCCTTACCTGGTAATTTTTTTTAGGAACGTGGACAAACCAAAGCTGATCGACACCCTCAAGACGAAACGCATCCGCGACGTGGCGTGTGGCTCGTCGCACAGCGCAGCCATCGCGTCCAGTGGGGAGCTCTACTGCTGGGGCTTGGGCGAGTACGGCCGCCTGGGCCACGGAGACAACAGCACGCAGCTGCGGCCCAAGCTGGTGAGGGCCCGCCCACGGTGACGCCAGGGCAGGGCGGCGGACACGGCGGTGGCGCGCCACGTCCATTGCCGCAGTTGCCTCATTCTCTATCATCAGTTTGTTTCCCTCGTGTGGCTCGGCGCTGTGTAAAGAGGCCCAAATTATCTGAAGGTGATGGGCCCAAGACTACCCTTTTATCACTTGAGTGTCAGCGAATTGCAAGCCACGTCACCGGCTATGGGATGTTTGCATGTTTCTGATTTTTCGTATCTGCATGCGTCTCAGGTGAAAGCACTGTTGGGGCACAGAGTGGTCCAGGTGGCTTGTGGGAGCAGAGACGCTCAGACCCTCGCTCTCACTGATGAAGGTAACACGAGCCGGGCAGCGTGCATGTGACGCATTGAGCGCTGTTGCTACCTTAACATCACTGGCATCCACTCTGCACTCCTGTAGGAGCTCACTAATTTAAGTTAGCGTAATGGTCTGTTCATACTAAGTGGAGCATCTTTCATCTTCTTTGGTTCTTTCGGTAAAGTCACGTAGAATGATAATAAAATAATAAATTGATAAAATAAAATAACACAATAATATTCTCACGACGTTTCGGCCACAACACAAGCGGCCTTCATCAGGTGAAGGGGGCGAGACTGTCTGGTAGGACAGCGCTGGAGTGAAAGAGCCATGTTCAGATACGGCCTTTAAGCTGTGTGAGAGGAACAAAGCGCCCTCAAATTTCAGCTTTGTTCCTCTCACACAGCTTAAAGGCCGTATCTGAACGTGGCTCTTTCACTCCAGCGCTGTCCTACCAGACAGTCTCGCCCCCTTCACCTGATGAAGGCCGCTTGTGTTGTGGCCGAAACGTCGTGAGAATATTATTGTGTTATTTTATTTTATCAATTTATTATTTTATTATCATTCTACGTGACTTTACCGAAAGAACCAAAGAAGATGAATCATTGCAGTCACGAAAGCTTTAAATCGAAATGGAGCATCTTTGTTGTGTGGCTATACATTTACTCTTCATTGAGTGATCATTTCTCATTCCCCCATGTATGTACATGTGTAGAGGAGAGAAATACGTGGTGTGCACAGTTAAGCGGGTGCAACTGAGGGCAAACAGGTGTGCGTGTTGCAACATGACGTTTGCACAGACAAACTGACAGTAATTAAGGGGAGAAGCGGGTGCAACCGAGCTCGAACCGATGCTACGCTGTGACCGGAGTTTGCTGTCAAAGAGACGGGAGATGGGGTTGATTAATGGGTCAACAGGTGCCGGCCTAGTGGCAGCTTAAGTGAAAGCACGTGAGGACTCGGAATGAGCAGGGGGATATAAGTGGGAGTGTGAGCGAGGGGCGTTGTTTCCGGGAACCAAGAGTGAAGATATCTCGTCGCTGCCGCTCTAGCCGTCAACGGGACCTCAACCCTCACGCCGTCGCCGGGTGGGTGTTGGCTGAACCCCCCGCCCGGGATAGATGGGAGAGCGGGTCTGAGGGAGCGTAGGTGAGGGCAGCAGTGGAGATGCGAAGTCGCTGAGTGCGAAGACGCTGTGTGCGGAGTCGCTAAGTGCGAAGATGCTGTGTGCGGAGTCGCTGTGTGCGGAGGCGCTGAGTGCGAAGCTGCTCTGTGCGGAGTCGCTGAGAGCAGAGCTGCTGAGTGCAGGATAAGTGAGGTGCAGAATAGATAAGGGCGGGAAGAATTTAAGTTTATGTGACCGTTTAGATAGTTATAGGAGTGCCTATAACTGGCACAAGAATAGGTGAATAAAGTGTAAGCAGGTGACTTGTTACAATGTGTCGGTGTGAGTAATTTTTGAAGACACTACACATGTATGCCTGTTTCCCATCCCCACCAAAGCTCAGCACCTGCTGGCGTATTTTACTCCACCCCCTCAACTCACCATGAATGATGGGTCATTTTATGCTAATTCCTTTGTCAAAGCGTTTTGTTTCCTCCCACACAGCTTAAAAGGACGCGACCTGGGCTGGACTGTTTTCACTCCAACGCTGTCCTCGTGACAGTACGGTCCCCTTCACCTGATGAAGGCCACTTGTGTTGTGGCCGAAACGTCGTGATTTTTGTTGTTTTATTTTTTACCTACGTGACTTTACCGAATAGAACCAAAGAGTATGGATCCTTGCAGTCACGAAAGCTTCAAATCTAGAAGAGAGTGGAGAAGTTTCAATACCTGGGCAGTCTACTTATGAATAGCTATGGTTTGGCAATGGAGGTCTCATTCAAAATCAGTCGAACACCATTATCTTTTCTTTTGGGATACAGCGATACCTTGACTTTCGTCGCTTCGCTCTTTCGGCCATTTTCAATTATAACCACGTTTCAATTTTCATCAACGAGCTTTCCTCTTTCATCCAATTTCATACAACCTTCCACGACGTTAGCGCCACGTGTCATCTTTTAATTCAATCTTTGAATAGAAGTCGTTCAGTGGGCATCTCTTATATTTGTGTTTATTCATATTATTAATACTCTACTTATTTATGTGATTATACTGTAAACAATTCCTAGCTATTTTTGTGATCATAAAACACGTGTACAGTATTTAGATGTAGTTTCTTTTTTACCAAAGCTCCTGTGCCTGACACCATTCCAATCATTGAAGATTTGGTCCAACAAGGACTGAATGCTGATGTACCGGCCCTGGTGAGACACTGCCTCACCAAAACTTATTTCACCTGGAATGGTACATTCTACATACAAGTTGTAGGTACCCCAATGGGTTCTCCCTTATCACCAGTGATAGCAAATGTTTTCATGGAAAAATTTGAGACAGATGCCATCCAGGCATCCATCCTATGTCCTTCCTTGTGGAAGAGATACGTAGATGACACGTTTGTCATCTGGCCACATCGCCTGCCAGCTCTGAACCAATTCTTCAACCACATCAATTCCATACACCCAGCCATCAAATTCACCATGGAGGTGGAAAAGGATGGCAAGTTACCATTATTGGATGTTATAATCGAAAAGAGACCAGATGGCTCATTGGGACACTGTCTACAGGAAAGCCACCCACACGGATGCATATTTAAACCCTGACTCCCACCACCATCCAGCCCAGAAGAATTCCCTCTTCAAAACTCTACACCACAGGGCTTGTTGCATTTCCGACCATCACCACCTAGCCAGTGAACTGGAGCACTTACACCAAGCCCTCAAGATGAATGGATATTCGGATTGCACAATCCGTAAAGCTGTCACCGCAACCGTTGGGAGAGAACCACCTGAGGACCCAATGAAAGCCATCACCTTGTCATACATAGCAGGGGTTACCAAAAATATTTCCAAAATCATGAACAAACACAAGATCCAGGTTCGATTTAACACAGTACATAAAATTTGTGATCTGATCCCATCTGTGAAGGATGTTATCCCTGACATTAAATACCCCGTCGTCTACAAACTAAGCTGTGTCTGCGGCAATAGTTACATTGGGGAAACTAAGCGACATGTCTCGGACCGTGTTCGTGAACACAAGGTGGATCTGAGACATGGTAGGACTAATACCTCTGCCGTGGCTGATGATTGTTTTAATGCTGTGGGCACACATGAAATTGATTTCTCCAAGACGAAGGTACTATGCAAACCCACTGGCTATCAACAAAGATTTGTTCATGAAGCCTTCCAGATATATAAACACAGACACAATTTCAACCGAGAAGATGAGTACAAACTGAGCAATCTTTGGAAGGATGTTATTAACCAGGTAAAGTCTTAACTGGCTGTGATGCTTCCATCCTACCTGCCGATGTTAACAGTTATTTCCGACTCTGAGTTACAGCACCTTGTTAAATATCTTTACATTAACAGGATAAATGTCTCACTAACATAGCCGCTGCTCCCTTTTCCTCGATGCGGCGGTGGCGCTCGTTGTTTAATAGGCTGTATGTGTCTCATTAACACAGCCGCTGCTGCACGAGCCATCTCACATTGACATGCTAATCTCTAATCTCGAGCAATGCAATGGCTTCTTCAGCACTGCAGTCGTGGGGTTACATTGACAGATTGACATGCTAATCTCTAATCTCTAGCAATACAGTGGCTTCTTCAGCACCATAACTGTGGGGTTACATTAACAGGTTGACATGCTAATATCAAACAATACAATGGCCGAGGTTTATTACTTGTAAATTCCATCTCTAGCCCCGCCCACTTACCCTTGGGTTGTACCCATCTCACACCTATATAACCTCTTGCTGCATTAGTTCTCTCGCTATATTTCTCCTGCCTCAGCAGTTCGCCTGCTGTATTTTTTTCACCTGAAGACGATTGCTCGTGTTGCGATCGAAACGTCGTGATTTTTTAAATATATTTTTCTATGTGACTACCGAAAGACCCAAAGAGTATAGTATTCATACTGTGCTTATTTTTGTGATTCCTGTAAAATACTTATGTTTGTGCTTTAATATATTCATAATGGGTCCTAAGTGTGGTGATAGTAAAGCTAAAATAGCCCATAAGGTTCTAAATTTGCAAGAAAAGCTTGATATAATCAAACTTAATGAGCAAGGCATGTCCCATGCTGATATAAGTCGCAAGCTAGGTGTACCTCGGACAACAGTCAGTACAATTCTTAAGAATGAAGCTAAAGTGTTAGAGGAAGTAAAAAAACACTACGCCAGTGCATACCAAACTCATTAGAAAACGGCACAGTTTAATTGGTGAGATGGAAAAAGTTTTAATTGTGTGGATTCAGGATCAAATCAGCCACAACATTCCTCTAAGCCAAGGGCCTTATGACGGCTAAAGCCCTAACTCTATTTAAAACAATGAAGGCTGAAAGAGAAGAGACATCAGAAGAAATATTTGGGGCTTACAGAGGCTGGTTTGACAACTTTAAGAAAAGGTCCAGTTTACATAATGTAGCAGTGCAGGGAGAAGCAGTTTGTGCAGACTAGGGCCGAACGATTTGGGGCAAATATCTAATTGCGATTTTTCTGACAGATATTGCGATTGCATTTTCTTAAGTCAAGCTTCAGTTCAATATTCACTGTGTAATAGGTTTAAAACATGTGATGGAGCATTACCACATGATAGCATCAAAATATTAACTACTCTATATATTCTAATGCAAGAATGATAACTTACAATATGTGAATTTCTTCCAACATGTATTTATTCAAATGGTTATTTCAAATATAACAATCAAAAATAGAACAATTGTTAAGTTTAAGAAATAAAGTTATAATAAAAAATTCCAATAAGAAAGTAATAGGACTTTTCAAATCACAAAAATCGCAACCTTTGCGATTTACTAATCGCATTGTTTGAAATTGCGATTTCGATTTAAAATCGATTAGTCGTTCAGCCCTAGTGCAGGCACAGCTGCTGCAGAAACTTTTCCAGCAGAGCCCAAAAAAAGAATAGAAGATGGTGGATATACAAAGCAGCAGATCTGCAACGTGGATGAAACGGGCCTCTTTTGAAAGAAAATGCCATCAAGGACTTTGATAGCTAGAGAAAGAGAGGTCAATGCCTGGATTTAAAGCTGCCAAAGATAGGCTAACTCTGTTGCAAGGGGCTAATGCAGCTGGCGACTGCAAGCTAAAGCCTATGATGATCTACCGTTCTGAGAATCCTAGGGCCCTTAAAAATTACGTCAAGTCTAGCCTCCCAGTTCATTGCAAATCTAATAAAAAAGCCTGGATGACTGGTGATTTATTTACAACTTGATTCAGTGATTATTTAAAGCCTGCAGTTGAGGCTTACTGCAAACAGCAAATTCTATTTAACATTCTATTGCTGGTGGATAATGCTCCAAGCCACCCAAGACTTGGGATTGAGGCCCACAGAGAAAAGTTGTGTTTATTCTTCCAAACACAACTGCTTTGCTGCAGCCTATGGACCAAGGAGTAATCGCGTCGTTCACATCTTACTGTCTGAGAAGGACATTTGCAAAGGCTATAGCTGCACTAGATACTGCAGTCGTTGATGAGAGAGGTAAGCAAAATAAATGTAAAAACATTTTGGAAAGGTTTTAATATTCAGGATGGAATCAAAACTCTCAGAGATGCACGGGACGAAGTAAAATAAACCAATTTGAAAGGGGCATGGAAGAAGCTGATTCCCTCCCTTATGGCCGGTTTTGAAGGGTTTGATGAAACAGTGGAGGAAATCACTTCGTATGTTGTGGACATGGCTCAGCAGCTGGAATTACAAGTAGAGGCTGAAGATGTTAGGGAATTGCTTGAGTCGCATGATCAGCCCCTAACTGATGAGGATCTTCTGCAGATTAATAAACACAGAAAATTGTTCAATGAACAGGAGTCTCTGTCTGAAGATACGACTCGGTCTAGGGCGTTGACAACCAAAGAATTAGAAGAAAGAATCGCCAAAGTAGAGGACGCAGTTGCATTTTTGGAAAGGGTCGATCCCAATTTCGAAAGAAGTTCTAAAGTAATTAGTGGCCGAGAATACCAAATAGCCTGTAACAAAGAACTTCTTAGAAAAAGGAAGAACACTGCAATGCTGCAAACTTCCTTGGTTCCCTTTTTCAAGAAGCAACCGACACAACCATCGCCAGTCATCCCTCCCCCTAACCTTTCAGATTCTGAGCCATCAAACGTCAGCCCCAGCCACTGTTAGATCTCCATCAATGTCCCCTTCTCCAAAAAGAAAGAGATTGATTTCCGGTTCTGACGATGAACCTCATCCTCACCAATTTTCTCCTTCCTATTTTATGAATCTAGATTCCCCCTAAATCATCAATATATTCATCGTCCACTTATGCAAGAATACAAATATTGAAAGGTATAATTTCGGTTTTGTATTATTTTTTTCTTTATTTAGTTTTGTTTATTTATTCTTATGTTTATTTTTCTTTTATTTCAGTTTATTTAGATTTCGCACGCATGTGTTATATAGTTACTCTAGTTATTTGCATGTACGTTTTTCACCGGGCAAAATAAATTTGCAAGCTAAATAAAGGCTCTTGACATTCGTCCATGCTCTGGTCCCTAACCAGACGAAACTGCAAGGTATACCGGTACTACTTTGGCGAGATGTTAACTACCACGCCTGGTATACAGAGTGTCGTGAGTTCGATCCCGACCCTGATGCCTGTATATTTGTAGTTTGCATGTTCTATCCCTGGTCGCCTGTATTTTTCTCTGGGTCCTCAGGTTTTTCCACCCACATTTATAAACATGTGCTTAGAGTATCTGGCTGCTATAAATTTTCACGTGATAATCCACTTCGTTGAGCTATCATATGTGATAGCCAGGTCTGTTCTCAAGAAGAGCTCAGTGGGACTTACCTGGTAAAATAAAAATAGTTTAGTTTTAGTTTAGTTTTTTCATCAGCTGCATAATGCTGTGTGCAAGTCTGCCCTGTCATTCCACACGAAGCGTCGGGTCTTCTCAGTCACAGTTATGCCCTCGCTTCTCTATGCAATTAGCCTGGCACAAGCTCTGTGGTGATGTCACTGCCACTTAGTGGCGAGCGGTGGCTGTTGTGTGTGAATTTGTGGAGTGCATCCAATTAGATTTTTAAAAATTTGAATCTTGAAACTGGTCAAGAATTTGTGTTTAAATAATGCACTACCTGTAAGGTTATGTGGCCAATGGGATGGTGTAAAACATCTTTTATAATTTCTTAGTGGAGAAACCGATATGGGAAGAACACGTTTTTTGTCTGCTCATTTATTTTGTCTTGTATGTGTGTGTGGCCAGGTCTGGTGTTTTCGTGGGGAGACGGAGACTTTGGAAAGCTGGGCCGCGGGGGCAGCGAGGGGTGCAACGTCCCTCAGAATATCGAGCGGCTCAACGGGCAGGGGATCTGCCAGATCGAGTGCGGCGCGCAGTTCTCGCTCGCCCTGTCCAAGTCCGGCCTCGTGTGGACCTGGTCTGTGTCTCATTGCCAAGTTCTGCCAGAGATTGTGTGTCAAATATATCCTGTGCTAATGAATAGCTGACTTCAACGTTACTCCAAGTTAAGCTATCAAATTTATACGGAACTCAAAATGTGTTACTATAAATAATCCTTTCTTATTTAGTAAAATATTATTGAGACTCGAGACTCGCTTCAGAGTGTGTGTCTGTAATGCGCATGCGCACGTGACTGACCTGTGGTGTGTGGCCCAGGGGAAAGGGAGACTACTTCCGGCTCGGCCACGGCACGGACGCCCACGTGCGCAAGCCCCAGGTGGTGGAGGGACTGCGCAACAAAAAGATCGTGCACGTGGCCGTGGGGGCCCTGCACTGCTTGGCTGTGACCGAGGGAGGGCAGGTGCGTCCCCCTGCACCCGCCCGCCCACCCGGTGCAAGCGAGGATTCAAAAGAGCAGGATGAGTCTCGTTTGTAAGAGTGACCTGGGGTCACGAAAAGTTTTTTAAAAAGCAATAATGCGTAACACGTACAGGCAATGAAGCTAATTAAAAATCGGAGAAGAAACAACGACATTCCAAAAGAAGTTGAAACGGTGCACGCACACAATCGATAGTAAACTAAAATAGATTTCCTTGAGCAAGACTTGACTTGGACAAATAACTTAAAAAAAAAACATTTACAGTTACAGAAACATCTAAATAATAATCGTGGTGATTTTTGCACTAGTCTGTAGTAAACAGGCAGTGATACGTGTCAAAATGCAATTGCCAGTGTCGCTTCCGTTGCGATTGAGATGGGAGAGCAATGTCTGAAGCTATGCAGAGGCAGTGCGAGGCTCCCTGCTTCCCACTAAAACTGTTGCTGTTGAGCTGGCACCACCCAAAAGCGCTAACGTGAATAACAAAAAACGCTCAGGACATAAAAAAACACGGACTTAAACATAAAATTGTATAATAGGTGACGCATTGGGCAGTGGCTCTTCTTCGTCACGTGTAAATGAGTGATTGCTGTACATAATTGGGTCACAGTGGGTTCAACATTTCGAGACTGGAAAACTCCAATTAGTCAGCCACCTTAGTAAGAGATGTCTTTAATTTATAAACTTGGCAGTGTCCGATTTTGCGATGTCATCATCAATCATGGGAAAGTACGGTGCTGATCACTCTATCATGGATTGTGCCAGCCTTGTAAATAGTTTTGGAACCTACCCCAGAAGTCTGTATGGCTAAACGGGGGCGTGGGGGGGTTCTACTCTGATGAGGCCCGCTGCTCCAATGAGTGTTCACGTTGTACCTGGGTCAGTGCTGCTGGGGTTTGTGGAGCTCTGCGTGGGTACAGAGGGTGACCAGCGGAGGCTAATAATAACACTGCGCGGCATGCAGGTGTATGCGTGGGGCGACAACGACCACGGGCAACAGGGGAACGGCACTACTACCGTGAACCGGCGGCCCACACTCGTGCAGGGCCTCGAGGGCCACAAGATCACGCGCGTGGCTTGCGGCTCCTCGCACAGCATTGCTTGGACCACCGTGGACGTGGCCACGCCCGCCGTGCATGAGCCTGTGCTCTTTCAGGCGGCACGGGACCCCCTTGGTGCCAGCTATCTTGGTGGGTGCTGCTTCTGTACGCGATTGATTGTCAGCCGGTGGCAGACAGGACCCAAGTCTGTGCATTACACCAGAGTCAGCTATGAAGCAGGGCGTATGTCTCTACACGAGGTCCTGTCGTGGGACAGCTTTGAGACACCCCGAGTGTTCACTGTGATAATGATTGTGACGTTTGCGTCTGGTGCCAGACTTGAATCTGTTTGGCTCATCTTTATGGGAGTTTTCATGATTCCCTCTGCTCTGTTATGGATGGACAGACAGCAGTGATGCACGAACAATTTTGACCTTGGTTGGAATGTCAATAATAACCATAGGGAGCAATGTGAATCTAATGCTCGATTCTGAGAAGAAGATATCACGTTGAACGTTGCAAAGGTGGAGTTTTCTTGTACATACGTGTGTGGTCAGGCCTGCACTCGGACTCTGATCTGCTGGTGAGCTCCAAGCCCAGTGGCTCCGCAGCGGCCAAACAGAACCGGCCATCCCTCACCAAGATCCTGCTGGCCCTGGATGGCAAACAGGCCAAGCAGCAGGCACTGTCCCACATCCTCACTGCCCTGCAGCACATGTATGCAAGGTGCGTGAGCCAGCTGCGGGCCCGCGCCTCTCAGCTCCATTAAGTGTATCATCGCTTCTTCGTTGCCTTAAGCGTAGGGGTCGGCAAGCTCTGGCTCTGGAGCCGCATGCGGCTCTTTAAGAACTGCATTGCGGCTCTTGAAATATTGAGCTGTCTTTTTACAGGATTCAACAGAAATGGCTCTTGTTGTTATTTTGGATGCTGACCCCTGACCATGGGAGTCAAGTTTACAGTGGGAGTCCAGTTTACCATGGAAGTGTAGTTTACCATGTTAGTTCAGTTTACCATGGAAGTCCAATTTGTCATGGTAGTCCAGTTTACAATGGATGTCCATTTTACCATGGGCAGGAGTCGGCAACTTGCAGCTCCCGAGCCGCATGGAACTCATTAAGGACTGTTGACCGTCTTGTATTGACACGCATTTCAGCTCTTGAAATATATACTTTTTATCCATTTTGGAAAACAAAATGCCTTTTATTATTTTGGTTCCCGACCCCTGCCTTAACCTGATCTCATTCATTCTCCGATTCGCACCTCTGATTAGCACGGTTGGCTACGTACAGTGCGAAAGAAGTTCAACATACATTCACATATCTAATTGTCAGAGTTGTGTGTGTTGGTGCTGCTGCTGCTCCCTCTTCTGCCCTCCCAGAGATGCCGTGTGCTGCTCGCTGATGCCGGGCAGCATGATCGCCCCCACGGAGCGCGCCATCTCCCCGCTGGTGCCCTCGCGCGACCTCTCCCCAGCTCCGCCGCCCGCCGCCGAGGATGCTGAGTCCTCTGTTGCCACGGAGACGGACGGAGGGCCCAGCTTGGGCCCCTGGCAGGACAAGCGCAATGAGGTGCGCTGGACCCCGTTTCCGGGGGGGAGGGGGGGGCTTGTAATTCCTCAGGAGAGCGCTTAGCCTAAACTGAAATTTGTTTAGTTTACCAGGTAAGGCCTACTGAGCTATATAGCTTCTATTCTAGATTTAAAGCTTTCGTGACTGCAAGGATCCATACTCTTTGGTTCTATTTGGTAAAGTCACGTAGGTAAAAAATAAAACAACAAAAATCACGACGTTTCGGCCACAACACAAGCGGCCTTCATCAGGTGAAGGGACCAGGCTGTCTCAAGGACAGCGCTGGAGTGAAACACAGCCACGCTCAGACCGCGACCTTTAAGCTGTGTGCGAGGAAACAAGGTGCCTTGACAAAGGAATTAGCATAAAAAATAGCATTTGATTGGCCGACTTAGCATGATGAACGGTGTAGAGGTGGTGTACATGCGGGTGAACATGCCGGTTGGCGCAGGGGGGAGGGGGAGTTTACCTATTGATGGTGTGAAAAGGGAATTTTTAAGAGCTGCGTAAGTTTGGGGTACCACTACTTGAAAAATATACTGTACCATTGAAAATTAGTTTAATGTTTGGTTCGATTTAGAACATCTTTCCAATGGTTGCTTAATTTGAAACCATCTTCTTGGTTGAAATTGTGTCTGTGTTTGTAGATCTGAATTGCCTCATGAACAAATCTCTGATAATGACCCGTGGGTTTGCAAAGAACCTTGGTATCGAAGAAAATTATATCGTGATCACCCACAGCGTTGTAACAGTGATCAGCTACGGCAGAAGAGTTCGTTCTGCCGTGTTTCAAATCTGATTTGTGCTCGCGGATTCGGTTAGAGACATGTAGCTTTGTCTCCCTGATATAGCAATCACCGCAGGTACAACTCAATTTGTAAACCCCAGGGTACTGTAAGTCAGGAATGACATCCTTCACGGATGGGATCAGATCACGACTTTTGTGTACTGTATTGAACCGGACCTGGATCTTGTGTTTGTTTAGAATTTTGGAAATCTTTTTAGTAACGCCTGCTATATATGGTAGTGTGATGGTTTTGACCGGAGTATCAAGTGGTTGTTTCTGTATGGAGGGAGAAACAGCTTGGCGGATGGTGGCTTATCATGTGGAAATTTAAAGAAACCAAATTCTCTAAATGCATGCTTCTAAATGTGGAAGGAAAAACCGGAGGACCGAGAGAAAAATCCATGTCTTCACGCGGAGAGAGACACCGCAAACTCCAGATGTACAGGTGTTGAGGTCAGGACCAAACCCGCGACCTCCCACATACCATACGAGGTAGTTAACATCTTGCCAACGCGGCACCCAATGCGGTTGAGAGCCTCACTTATAATTCTTTATTGGGACACAATAAAGAAATGTGTCAAGTGGCCAGCACCAAAGAGCATGATTATCAAAATTGTATTCGATAACAGTTAACACATTTCTTAAATTGAGCAAGGTTATAAAAGCTTTGGAATAAAGACGACGGGAAGTAAATCCAGAGCGGAGGCAGTGCGTGGGAAGCAGAGAGAGGAGTGAGGTGACCTGCAGTGTGGTGGTTGAACACCGTCCGGATGAGGTGTGACGGGTCTGGTCGACTTGAGTCTTCAACACGGGTACTAGTCGTGATTGAAGTGTATCTGCTGCTGTGGCATCGGTCACGTAAATGTTTATATAGTATCAGTGCATTGGAGTCACTAAAGTGCTATGATAGCGTTTTTATGGAGTTTATATGTTCTCCCCCTGTTCTGTGTGGGTTTCCTCTGGGTTCTGTGGTCCCCCCCCATAGCTAAACACATATATTGTAACCGCTATCGGCCAAACATCCCAATGCTGATAAGCTACCTGCAAATTACTCAATTGGGATTATGCTCAGCAACAACACCGCCCACGACTGTGAACATTTGGTAGGGCCCTTCTGGAAAAAAAAGAGTCTCTTGAGACTCGGTGAGGCCGAGTACTGACTTGTAGTGACTTGTGTTGTTTTCGTTTCGCAGACAACAGCGTCGGAGGACACGCTCACCCCATCGACATCGACCACCTTCTCCCGGCCATTCATCCCCGTGACCGATGACCCCGGAGCCGCCTCCATCATAGCGGAGACCATGACCAACACAGCCAAGGTGCAGCCCGAGGATAGGCGTCCAAAACGTCTCGTGACCAAAACTCCACCGCCCCCGACCCAACTTGCAGAACCAGGGGACTGACGGTGGTGCCAATCATCAGCAATTACAACCGGCTACAAAACCTCCCATATCGAATCTGCCCATTTCTTCTCCAGCCCGTGCCGTGCCTGTTTAGCCCCCTCTGTCCGAGCAAACGGAAGCTGCTTGGGCACTCGGTGGATTAAACACGATCTCGCAATAAAGCAGCTTATTTTTTACTTATCAGAAGGGGCTAAAATAAAGGGGCTGTTGAGCTAGAGAGGAGATGGGCTGAGTAGTTGCTAAAGGTCTGGTATCAGCAGTGTCAAGATCAGCCTCTGTAGGGGAGTCTCGTGAAGAAAGCTACTGGGCAGTTTGAGGCAGTTGCCCTCCAACAACAGATGACAGAAGGAGCAACACTCGCAACAATGAGCGGAGCTCTGGGTGGCTAAAACGCAGCAAGTTGGCACAGGTGATGCATCTGCCAGTCATCTCAGTTAGCTTATAATAATTGGGTCTCTTCCATGGCCTCCTGTCAGCAAGCTTTTAACACTTAATGGTGACCTCAATGTGCATCTATCCTGACACAAGCACCGTGGTGATGTCACGGCCACTTAGTGGCGAACATCGTTTGTTGTTGTGTCTGCAAGTGCTCCACGCTGGTAGTATAAAGGTTATTCGATGTTAATAATGCTGTGATGTATCTGTCACCGCCACCTCGTAGTGCATGGTGGCTGTTGTTGTATGTATAGGTGTTTGGTGCATTACGCTTATGCGCGTGTGCATGCATGCGTGTGCGTTGCAGGTGACAGAGAGCCAGGCCCGGGCTGCCGTGCCGGAGCCCGAGGGTCTGGATGAGTTCACGTGCCTGCTCGTGCCCGAGGACACGCGCGTGCTCGTCGACCTGCTGAAGCTGGCAGTCGCTGCGCGTGCCAGCGAGCGGGGCCGCGAGGTGCTGTCGGCCGTGCTGTCCGCCATGGGCATCGCCTACTCCCAGGTGAGCGCCACGGGTGGTGGTAACCCTCGCACCTCTCTGCAAGAAGGGCCTTGGTTTCGATTGCCTTTCTGTGTGGAGGTTGTCTGTTTCTCTCGCCCCGTTTTCTGCACGGGATTCATGAGTTCTCCGGGTCCTTCTGAAGCTAAAAAGCACATACACACAAACACAGAGTGACTGGTTTTGGGAAAACGTCTCAATGCTGAAATATGACCTGCAAATTGCTCAATTAGGATCACACGTAGCGGCATTGTGCTTTCCCGGGTGAACAAGCAGAACAATAATCATGATAAATGTTCCCACAATTTCAAGGCGCTTTAAACAGCTTTGCTTAAAACTAAAATACGCAATGACTTGTTGCATTAAAAACGGAAATAACGTCTATATTAATTCCATGTTAGTATCATTATCTAAAGTTTAATATTTATTTATTATATTCATACAAGCAACTATATACAACCATTGGGTTAGAAATCAAACCACTATAATAGGAAAGTAAACAATCTTTATTTGAAGCTTTCATGACTGCAGGAATCCATACTCTTTGGATCTTTCGGTAAAGTCATGTAGATAGAAAAAATAATAGATCACGACGTTTCGATCGCCACACAAGCAATCGTCTTCAGGTGGGAGAGAGAAACAGGCTGCTGAAACAAGTCCTAATATATATAGAGCCTGCAGGGGGGGTTTGCCAAATCGGGCAAGAGGGTGGGGGCTAGAGATTGTGCCAAAGCGAGTGGGAAATCCAAAGATGGGATTAGGCACAATCCCACCTGAAGACGATTGCTTGTGCGGTGATCGAAACGTCGTGATCTATTATTTTTTCTATCTACGTTACTTTACCAAAAGAACCAAAGAGTAAGGAAAGTAAACAAATGTAATTATCCAACAACAGACGGGTTGTGCAAGAAATTAGGCGTTTATGTGTCTGTGTTGTGTGCATGGTTGTGTAGTGTGTGTGTGATGTGTGTGCATGATGCATCACATGTTGTGTGCCATATCATATGTTGTATCGGGAGCGGTAGTGTCGTGGTTAGTGCACTGCGATACGAACCCGGTGACCCAAGTTTGATATCTCACGACCAATAACAGTGGTGAATATTTGAACCGGTTTTGGGCCTCCTCTACGTCAACTCAGCTTCAAATGAGTACCTAGTGCGGTGGTTGTAAGCATCAGCACTGGGGTGTCAAAGGCTACCGAGCATGGTGCTGGCCACCTACCCCCTCGTGTGCCGTGCCAGCCTTCATAGGTGCAACTGTCTAACATCACTTGTCTCACCGGCATGTTAAGGCTACACGGGGGACCTTTGTCTTTAATGTGTGTGCCGGTGCTTAGGCTATCCATGGGGGTGATGCTTGTCTTTGCGAACGATGTTGTGTGCCGTGTGTCCGTATGCACTGTGCCTGCGTCGCAGGTGGCGGAGATGCTGCTGGAGCTGTGCGTGACGGAGCTGGAGGACGTCGCGTCTGATTCGCAGAGCGGGCGCCACGCGGCACAGCCGGCCGTCGTGGAGAGCAGCCACCCCTACACGGACGATACCAGCTCCAGTGGCACCGTCCGCATCCCCGGTCACTCCCACTGCGCCAATCGCCACCACCGCATGGCGCCATCGTGCACAATACTATACTGTTCAATACCACCTAAACACCAGTTAATACTGTAACAATAGCATTCATACTGTACAACAGCATCCAGACGGTGAGATGTTAAGCAATAGTATGTAATTTAAAACCTTAGAAAGATGTTGGAAATCTTTTGGGGTTAAGTGGGGGGAAGGGGATAGACTGTTGATGAGCTTGCAATGTGAGTGTTGCCCCGTGCCCACACACTATCTTCACCGTGCTCGTGCGACTGACGGCGGTTGTTGACGTTTGCACGCTTGCTCACGCGCGCTGCCGTTACTCGCATACCGTCCCATCCCTCTGTGGCCCAGGAGCCGAGGGGCTGCGCGTGGAGTTTGACCGGCAGTGCTCGACCGAGCGGCGCCACGACCCCCTGACCCTGATGGACGGTGGCAGCCGCGTCGTCTCGGTGCGCTCGGGTGAGAAGCGGGAGATGGCGTCGCCGTGTGCGGTGGGCACGCTCCTACGCGGCATCAACACGGTGTCTGGTATCCAAGAGGTCGTGGGTTTGATCCCGACCCTGACGCCTGTATATTTGGAGTTTGCATGCTCTTCCTGTAGTTGCTTGGATTTTCCTCTGGCTCATCTGGTTTTTCCCTCCACGTTTAGAATAATAATACAATTTATAACGTGCGCAAGGTTGTGGACCAAAGATGCAATTCTGAGGCATGGAGCAGAGTTCAGTGTCAGATCGCGTCGTGCGGTTCGAGGGAGACTAAGTTAAATGTCGAGCTGAACAGATGTCTTTAGATGGTTTTTGAACGTTGCGGATGTGAATTGGGATGGAGTTCCAAATGACGGGGCTACCACGGAGAACAATGAGAAGCAATTACAGTCCTTATCCTGGGAGTTTCAGGGAGATTCTGCGTCGCACTGCGAAGGTGGCTATGATTCATTGAAGTGTAAGGCATGAGCAGAGAACTTAGGTATGGTGGGTAGCTGGATTTTAGGGTGCAGTTGCAGAGGCAAATGATCTTTAAGGTAATTTTGCTTGAAATGGGCAGCCAATAAAGGGCATGAAGGATGGACAGGGAGTCAGGGGGAGGGTGTGGGAGCCGTGGACAACTCAGGCAATGAAATTTTGGAGGCGTTGCAGCTTATTTTGGTTGTTTTGAGTGGACTGGACGCTTACCGCTTTGCAACAGTTGAGTCGTGACCCAACGATGCTGCAGGCGAGAGTAATTTGCTTTGTTGGAGGTGATGAGTGGACGCAGTTGGCAGAGGGCCCAGAAATGGTAGTTGCAGGACTTGAGAACGAGGTTGATTTGGGTGTCAAAGGAGAGAGTGGGATCCAGAATGACACCGAGAAATGTCAGCATCACTGAATGAAGGAACCATTCGTTTAGAGTATTTGGCTGCTCTAAATTTCCACAGGATAAACCACTTTGTTGAGCTATCATCTGAAAAAGAGCTATGTAGCTCAGTGGGCCTTATCTTGTAAAATAAAAATAGTTTAGATTAGTTTAGAATCACGACTTGGTGCTTGGAGATGAAAAGTTATTTCTGGGTGTGCCATCTCTCACGAGTCGGTATCTGCACACGTGTGTCTGTGTGCAGCGTGGGCTGTGTGGCCCCGCTAACTCGGCGCAAGGATTCTTGGTCGACCGCAGTAGCGACTACTGTGTGAATGTAGCGCGGACCCCTGCTCTGCAGCCACAAACAGAAAGGAGTGTCTGGTGAATCGCTGGGGAGGGGGAAGGGACTGAGCGCGCGTGGTGCTAGCGATACCCGACCAGCCTTATGATCTGGTGAACAATACCACTTACCCTGACGGTCCATCCTGGTCGATGGGTCATCTTTGTAGGTGTATGCCTCTGTACATGTGCATGCACCCGTGTGTGTGCACACGCATGTGTCTGTGATTGGGTTACCGAATTCTCAACTCGTGACGTCCAAGCCTATTTCATGACCTCTTGCTGCTTCATGTGGCCACAAAGATGAAATCCATGAAATCATAGTTTGGCGTGATTCTGCATACTGCTTAACAATTCGTACATATAATTTTTGTTTTTGCATTTGCACACCCTGTTTGGTGGTTGCCTGTCTCTCACACGGAATTTTTTGAGGTCATATTTGCCTCAAACAAATACTTGGAAACCACAGTGGCAGACGATGTAAAGTATTTGGTGTTGTGTGTAGTATGTTGAGGACATGTCAGCACCACCAGTCGTCTGAGTGAGCACTTGGAGTACCCGTCTGAGCACGCTGTCAATGAGAGCTGTGCGTCGGTCTGTGCGTGCATCTACGTAGGCCGTGAGTGGTCGGACTGGTCGAGCGAGCTGCGTATTCCGGGTGATGAGCTCAAGTGGAAGTTCACCAGCGATGGTTCAGTCAATGGCTGGGGCTGGCGCTTCACTGTCTACCCAATCATGCCGGCCACAGGTACCTGCAGCGGCCAGCAGGACCCCACGGGGCACACGGCCTAGTGTTCACACATTCCCGTGGCCGGAGAGTGCCGTCTGGGCATGGATAGAGAGAGGCCGTGTCAAAACTACAACACAGGCAGCCAAGTGTTTCTTGGATAATGAATCTCTCCTTCTGCCACTTAATGCAACTGATGTGTAGTCCACATCTCATCTTTAAGATCTGCTCTCAATGTTTCTCTACCTATGGCATCAATAATCTGACCGCCATCTACACCTACAACACTTGCAACATTATTTCATGAACGTCTACGTTTATTACATTTTACTGCCATGAAATTCCGAGCATCCTCTTTGTGGACTTGTAATCAAAGGCAAGACCTGTATTTTCTCGTGCACATTTTCAACCATCTGGCCATGCATTAACACGGTCACTACTCCTGTCTTAAGCGCCCATGTCAGAACCAATGTTGACCTCCCCGCTTCTCCAAAGTTGCACGTGCAGTCTATCACAAACCCACCCTGCGAGCGCAATACTTGCTTGACCTCCTCCTTGTCCTCCTCCCAGTCTTTGGCACAGCTCTGGGAATAATCTGACCACAGGCCTCGACCACCTCCATACTCTCACTTGCTGCTGACACACGCGTGGCAAAAGCGCCTGAGGCCCATCCCTAACCACGGCTATCAAAATCACTCACTCTTAAGGCCCCGTTTCCAGCCCTGGCACGCAGAACCGCCAAGAGTGAGGGTCCGCGGGCCATGGCCCTCGATAGGGAATCTGTATCATTCGCAACGTCTGTCTCATTTGAATCTTTACTTTTCTTTCCATCCTATTACTTCTATCAACAATTAAGAGTAATTTTGAACAAAGTGCCAGTTGCCTCTTATAATTCCTCCACCATTGCTGTGTGTGAATCATACAGTATCTTACAGTACCTATAAAAGTAATTTTTTGTCTGTCTGTGTGTCTGTCTGTGTGTCTGTGGACACACCTTATGACGCTTTTTAACTGACAAACTGCTGGCTTTACTTTTTAAAAAAACTACACACATATGACGCAATAAGCCCCCGGATGAAATATCACTATTTGTTTTTCCCATCCGTCAAATGTGTAATGAGCGACTTCCGCGACACGTCGTGCAAAGGGCCAGTACCAAAATATGAGAATAGGTTTTCCCCTTTTTCTGGCAACAAAACAGGTGTTGAGATGTTAAAACACCAAACTGAAACTTTTTACAAGGAATCATGTCTGCATTAACCACAATACTTGTGGTCAGAATGCAAACAAAAACATGCTCTGATAATATGATGCATTGTCTTTGAAACTGATTGGTCCACACCAGAGACAGCTTTCTTTTGAGCCTAGTCTTAAAACGGTGTTAGACCAGAGAACACCAAAAGGTGTACAGGCTCTACTGGCTACACACAGTCGATCACTCTGCATGGTCCCACCGCCCTCACTCAGCTACGCCGCTGGCTGGTGGCGTGACGATGATGGCGATGGAAACCCTGCAGGAGATGTTCCATGTAGCCGGACGACGGAGAGAGATGTTGGCTAGCAGCGACGCAGCCAGGACCCAAGAATCCACACACGAACCCCGAGCCCTGGGTCCACTCACCCTTATTTCCCCCCAGGCGTGGCTTCGACCTGCCTCCAGCCACGCCCTCTCGTGGAACTTTCGAGCAGGTTCCCGGAGTATCTCGGCTAACTCCACCTGTTACCTATGCCTCAGATACCTCTCCTCTGATTGGATGTTACTTTAACTGTGCCCATACCCGTGCTTCTCTTTTCTGGCCAGCAGGTGTCACCATGTCATTACAAATGTAAAGTAGTTACATTAATAAATTATTACTATTTACTATTATATCACTACGCTGAGCGCGGCACCAAAGCACTGCTATAGTCAGTATATACTACTGTAGTGATTGTAGATACTACTATAGTCAGTATATAGTAGTATCTAGTGACTGTACAGTCGTATATTCTGACTATAGTAGTATTGACTAACTTTACAGTAGCATATACTGACTATAGTAGTATCTACTGACTCTACAGTAGTATAGAGTCAGTAGTTACTACTATAATCAGTATATACTACTCTAGTGATAGTAGATACTACTTTAGTCAGTATATAGTAGTATCTAGTGACTCTACAGTAGTATATTAACTATAGTAGTATTGACTAACTTTACAGTAGTATATTCTGACTATATTAGAAACTACTGACTCTATACTACTGTAGAGTCAGTATATACTACTATAGTCAGTATATACTACTCTAGTGATAGTAGACACTACTTTAGTCAGTATATAGTAGTATCTAGTGACTCTACAGAAGTATATACTGACTATAGTAGTATCGACTAACTCTACAGTAGTATATACTATCTATAGTAGTATCTACTGACTCTACAGTAGTATAGAGTCAGTAGTTCCTACTATAGTCAGTATATACTACTCTAGTGATAGTAGACACTACTTTAGTCAGTATATAGTAGTATCTAGTGACTCTACAGTAGTATATTCTGACTATAGTAGTATCGACTAACTCTACAGTAGTATATACTGACTATAGTAGTATCTACTGACTCTACAGTAGTATAGAGTTATTAGTTACTACTATAGTCAGTATATACTACTCTAGTGATAGTAGACACTACTTTAGTCAGTATATAGTAGTATCTAGTGACTCTACAGTAGTATATACTGACTATAGTAGTATCGACTAACTCTACAGTAGTATATGCTGACTATAGTAGTATCTACTGACTACAGTAGTATCTACTGACTATAGTAGTGTAGAGTGAGTAGTTACTACTAGAGTCAGTAGTTACTACTATAGTCAGTATATACTACTGTAGAGCGAGTAGATACTGCTATAGAGTTGATGGATGCTATCATAAAGTTGGTAGATATTACAGTCATTAGATACTACTGTAGGGTCACTAGATACTACTACAGTCAGTAGATACTACTATCGAGTCAATAGATATGACTATAGATTCAGTAGATACTACTATAGTCATTAGATACGACTGTAGAGTCATTATTTACTACTATAGAGTTGGTTGATACTACTATATAGTGAGTAGATACTACTGTATAGTTGGTAGATACTACTACGGTCAGTAGATATTACTACGGCCAGTAGATATTACTACGGTCAGTATATACTACTACAGGCAGTAAATACTACTGTAGAGTTAGTAGTTACTATTATCATCAGTGAATGGTACTATAGTCAGTAGTTACTACGATAGCTTCGGTAGATACTACTATAGAGTCATATAATACTACAGTCACTAGTGACCACTATAGTCAGTATATACTGCTGCAGAGTTGGTAGATACTACTATTGGATCAGTAGATACTGCTATAGTCAGTAGTTACTACAGTCAGTAGATACTATTATACAGTTAATAGCCACTACTGTGCTCGGTAGATACTACTGTAATGCCAGAAACTAAAATAGAGTTACTAGATACTACTCACTCTAATGTATGTAGGGTGTGTAGATATATTTGCCTACGTGGGGATACAATTTTTTTGAGGGGGGGGGTCAACAATTTTTGAACGCCTTTTAGATAAACTATTTACCCCCCACTTTCTATAACTTTTTGGACTTTTGCAAGCCGCCTATAATTTTGACGGACAAATGGACAAACGTAACGCCGGGCTTTCACAATCGCTTAGTATTTGTGTATGTTATGTTTTTAAGAGAAAACAAGTTTTAAAATATATTTTTTCCCCTGGGCAATACTGGGTACTTCCCGCTAGTTGCTCTATAAACTGTTTAGTTTAATTTTTTTACTTTTTCAATGTCAATTCCTTTGAAACTGTGATATATAATTTAATATAAATGAAATCAAACTGAATATGCACCTTTACCTGATTGCTTCTTTGCAAGTGTTCATTATTATAAAATAAATCAATAGAATTACAAATGTAATAATTTTACAAGCTACATTACACTAAGGCTATATAATTTCAAGTTTAAGAATAAATTGCGTACATATAATAAAAATTGTCATCAAACCGATTATACCTGCTTATCACGCTGTATTGCCACTGCCCCCATTGCCTCTAGGGCCCAAAGACTTCCTGCTGTCGGACCGCTGCATTCTGTCTACGCCTTCCATGGACCTGGTCACCTGCCTCCTCGACTTCCGCCTGGACTTCAGCACCACCAAGAGCATCATGCCGCGTCTTGCTGCGTCGCTGGCCGCGTGTGCCCAGCTCAGCGCACTGGGTAGGTCGCCTCTCCACTGCCCACGTGGCTCTTCCAGCGCCGCGGGGGTCGTCACTGCTTGACGAACGGCGCTGCTTGGCCCCGCTCCCTTACCTCGTCTCTGTTTACCGTGTCATCTACCGCGCTTAATTATTCGTCTTAGCCGATGAATGGCGTAATTTTAATTCAGCAGGAAATATGCAATGTTTTTCTGTTCACAAAATTCACAGGCAATTTGTTGTCCTATTGAAACAATAAATATGAAAGAGCGGAATCCAGTAGGGTTTGGACAATTTTACTTTTAACTTACACAGTGTAATGGGATGATGGGGTCATGGATAAGTGGGTTAGCAGGCACTAGGAGAAATGATTTGAGGAGCACATTGTATGCAGTGCAGCAAAGCAACAGCAAGGAAAACTCAACTTATGGCTGCTAGTGTCCATAAAACTGCCATAAGCTGCAATCCTCGAGCCAGAATCTTAGCAAGCAAACCCGAATCACTCTCAGCTTCCATATCGCTCAAGTCCAAACGATCCATTGAATGTTGCCATCACAAAGTCAAGCACGACGTTAAGTACTGTAATGGCAAAGTAAACCCCTGACCGCACCGCACGCTTGTGGATTTCCTTTTGAATGCAACAAGCCATTGTCTGAGTCACTTGGGTCAGATTCATCTTCACGCATATTGGATGTTACATTCTGTTGTATGGCCTATGAAGAGCAACTATTAGAAATTAATTTGTGATTTAGCCAATCCATATTTTTGTCTGAGTTGATAAAATGCGGACACCCACTTAAATGTATATTTAGGCAGTGTGAGGTTACATGGTCCATTTTTGAAGTTCTGAGCCACAGTTGCACACAGGAAAGAGTCTCCGATTTTTCTATTCACATCCTCTGCATCGTGATTGTGTGCGATGCCCGTGTGGCTGAGAGCTGGCGCTAACGGAATCTGCGTCCCTCTCTCCGTGTGCCGTGACGCTGTGTGCAGCTGCGCCTCACCGCATGTGGGCCCTGCAGAGGCTGCGCAGGCTACTCACCACGGAGTTCGGCCAGTCCATCAACGTCAACGTGCTCCTGGGAGAGCAAGCGGACATGGGCCGTGCTCTGGTTGGTTTCAGTGTCTGTGTGCTGCCTTACAGGCCACCGGCTTGAATGTCGTATACCAATACCATTCTTTGCCTTCATATGGCATTGCTTAAATACCGCAGCAACTCAAGCGCCTTGCATCACATTTAATCTTAACCGTTTCCCGTTCTGAGACATCTGCAAGTAGCAGGGTTCACCCCTAAATCTCGCAAAGCGCAAGAGGTTTGGCGTTAATTTTATTTAGATAGGTGTAGCACCACTTTTTTAAACCCATTGTATTCACCGCAGAGAGCTGTAGCGACATGGTCGCACTCTATTACAGCTGGCGCCAAACTGTGCCACACGCCCTCCCACATGTCCTTTTCCTTCAGATTTTCTTCTGATGTACACGTACATACATATCAGTACGTCATCGAAATGGGTGAGGGTTCAGCATTTGAAGGGTACCTCCATTTGGCAGCTGTCCCTCTGTGACACAACATGACTCCGGCCTGCAAGTGGGCAATAGTCTGCCAGAAGCGGGTGAGTCCAACTGCGTCTACATTTATTTCTATCGGTTCTGTCTCCATGGCCTGCGCACATTCTGTCAGATTCCCAAAAAGACAAATGAATATGAAATGCCACTATGCCTGGCTTTTGTAGATGATGAAAAGTCATTTGATTCAATATAAACTTATGCAGACATCTAGCGTTTTCACAAACTAATTACTTAATAAACATTAAGGTGGTCCCCGATTTTACTACACACTGCCTGTATATAGAAACATTACAAAAGGGTTGCTAGCTTATCCAGAGATCAAATACAAACAAAACCAAACTATTTTTATTTGATCAGAAGCAACCTAGCCACAAATGATAGCTCAACGAAGTCACTTATCACGTCAACATTTATAGCAGCCAAATACTCTAAACCAGGGGTTGGCAACCTATGGCTCGCGAGCCAGGTGTGGCTCTTTTGATGACTGCATCTGGCTCGCAAATACATCTTAGCTGACATTTATTAACATGATTAGACTTACCATGTTAAGAAAGACTTATCATATTAAGAAATGTCAGCTAAGATTTATTTGTGAGCAAGATGCAGTCATCAAAAGAGCCACATCTGGCTCGCGAGCCATAGGTTGCCGACCCTGCTCTAAACGCATGTTTTTAAACGCGGAGGGACAAACCGGAGGACCTGGAGAAAAATCCATGCAACCACGGAGAGAACATGCAATTACCAAATATACAGGTGTCAGAGTAGAGCTCGAACCCACAACCTCCCTTATACCGAACACACGTGCCAAGTCCCGGAGAAGTGACAACCACATTTATTGAAATGGAAATAGCTTGGCTCCTTACAACTAAATCAGGGATAACGATAGGGCGAGTCTTGATGACTTGTTTGAGGGACACAACGAGGGCTTGTTGGGCGCTCTGCCAAATCAAGGTTATTGAGGATGTTGCTATGAAGAGAGGCTCGCGCCGGGTGAACTGAAGTGACATAGCGGCGGAGCTGTGTGTTGCGTTGCAGACGCTGAGCGGCTGTGCGCTCGCCGCGCTCGTCAAGGGGCTGCCTGAGGCCCTGCAGCGGCAGTTCGAGTACGAGGACCCCGTCGTGCGTGGTGGCAAGCAGCTGCTGCACAGCCCCTTCTTCAAGGTGCGAGCCCAGGCCCAGGGCTGCTTCTGGCTTTTGTGCTCTCGACACGAAATGTTCAAGGCGTGCCAAACCGCCATTTTGAGGTCTCTGGCGGAGCCACAAGCTTCGAGTTCTAGCAGCCTGTTGTGGCTGGAAGGGGGGATGGATGTTTGTCTCGAGTGTGCGAGGGTAATGTGGGGAGCGGTAGTGCAGCGGTTAGCGCGCTGCGCTACGAACCCAGCGACCCAAGTTCGATTCCCGCTCACGGCCACCAACACTAGTGATGATTATCTGAACCGGTCCTGGGCCTCCCCTAGGTCGGCTCGGTATCATGAGAGTATCAGCAGTTGGGGAGACAAAGGCGGCCGGGCATGGTGTTGGAAACCCACCCCCTCATATGCCATGCCGGCCTTCATAGGAACTCGCTAACGATACTTGCCCCAACAGCCTGTTGAAGGCTATACTGGGGATCTTCGGCCTGTATTCTTCTGGATCCATTCAATTTTAAATCTAGATTGAAAACTAATTTCTTCAGAACTTATTTTTTTTATTAGTTTGTAGTCCTTCCTCCACACCTCCGGTTAGCATAGTTAGCTACGTACGGTGCGAAATAAGTTCACGCCGCTGTGTGCGATGCCAGTTGAGTGGTTTTCAGGTGATTTTTCAGCATTGGAATATTTGGTCCAGATCAGTTAACATTGTGTGTGTGTGAACTGTGCGTGCGTGTTTCTGTGGGCAGGTGTTGGTAGGGCTGGCTTGCGACCTGGAGCTCGATGCACTGCCCTGCTGTGCCGAGACCCACAAGTGGGCCTGGTTCCGCCGCTACTGCACCGCGTCTCGTGTCGCCGTTGCTCTCGAGCGCCGATCTCCACTGCCACGGCACTTTCTAGATGAGGTCAGCTGCCAAACGGCGCCACTGTTTACTTTCCGGCAGTGTGTTTTTGTTCTGGCTTTTCGTCACGAGGAACCCCCGTGACCGATGATGACGATGATGATGACGATGGGACGCCGTGCTTTGCCGCAGGTTGCCAAGAAGGTATTTGAGCTAATGGCAGACACGGAGGAGATGAACATGCTGCACGAGCGGCACGACCTCTTCAAGCGCGAGCACGACGAGCAGCTGGTGCAGTGGATCAATAGGCACGTTGCAGCAGCAGCAGGACACTATGCTGACACTACCCCAATACGTGCCGCCCTCACAATGCCTCCACTTGCCGCCTCCTTATAAAACTCCCTCCTTGCAGTGGTACCTCTTTTGTACCACCCCTCCCACCCGTGTGCACTTCCTCTTCATATTCCACCTCTCTGTGCCACATCACTTCACGTCCCCTATCCCCCTATTCACACTACACCCCTGTTTCACCCTCGTTCACACCACACTCTCGCATCACCCCTATTCACACCACACCCCCATTCACACCACACTGCTGCCTCACCCCTATTCACTGCTGCCCGCGACACTGCGCTCCCGATTGTCACCGGTACGAGAGCACCGGCCAGCCGGGAGCAGCGGACGTCGCAAACGGCCTCATTCACACGGCCCCATTCACATGGCCCCATTCACATGGCCCCATTCACATGGCCCCATTCACACGGCCCCATTCACATGGCCCCATTCACACGGCCCCATTCACATGGCCCCATTCACATGGCCCCATTCACACGGCCCCGTTCACATGGCCACATTCACATGGCCCGCTCGCCATTTGTCGGTTTACCTTGCGGGTGGCGGTTGTCGCACGCCGCCTTGCAAGGGCCTCCTCATGAAAAGACGCTAATTTTTCTGTTGTCGGGCTGGCGGCAGGCGCCCCGACGACTGGACGCTCTCCTCCGGAGGGAGCGGCACTATCTACGGCTGGGGCCACAACCACCGCGGGCAGCTGGGCGGCATCGAGGGCGCCAAGGTGAAACTGCCATCGCCGTGCGAGGCGCTCGCTGCTCTGCGGCCCGTGCAGCTCGTGGGCGGGGAGCAGACGCTGTTCGCCGTCACCGCGGATGGGAAGGTGCGTGCTGCCCGCTCGCTCGCTGGCTTGTCTGTGTTGATTTGTTCATTCGGCTTGTTTACCGGGGAAACTTCAACGAATCTCAAGATTCTTCTCCAGGGGTTCGGCCCTGCTGTGAGGAGAATCTGCCACGGTTTTTGTCGCAGCAGGGGACGATGTCGCTGCAAAATAAGCGATCGAGTTACTTAATTTGTCCTTACACTGCACCTCCGATTTGCACGGTTGGCAACGTACGGTGCGAAAGTTCAGAATACATTCACGCCGCTGTGTGCGAAGCCAGTTGAGTGGTTTTCAGGTGATTTTTCAGCATTGGGATGTTTGGTCAAAATCAGTTAAGTCGTGTGTTTCTTTAGCTATGGGAGGAAACTGGAGAACCCAGAGAATATCCACGGGTTGGTATGATGATGGCTGTGGTGATTATCGTGAAAACGGTGGCTGAGGCAGATAGACTGAATGTGATGGCGCCGTTGTCGTGCGTGCGCGCGCAGGTCTACGCCACAGGCTACGGCGCCGGCGGGCGCCTCGGCATCGGCGGCACGGAGTCGGTGTCAATGCCCACGCTGCTCGAGTCGATCCAGCACGTGTTCATTCGCAAGGTGGCGGTCAACTCCGGGGGCAAGCACTGCCTGGCGCTGTCCGCCGAGGGGGAGCTCTTCTCCTGGGGGGAGGCCGAGGACGGCAAGCTCGGCCACGGCAACCGCAGGTCGGCCATCGCTGCCGCCGCCGTCATCGTCCACGAGCCGCGTGCGACCGCACTGACTCGCGTCTGATTCGTGCCGACCCCATCCACGTTGCGCCTGATGAACTTCCCGTTTCCAAAGCTTGGAGCGCTTCTCATCAGCAACAAACCTGATAGTGCATTGACAACAAGTGCACGTGACCTTGGGGTCGCCATCGATCCTGATCCCCCGTTCTCTTCCCCTGCGCATCTCACCTGTACAGGAGATCTCACCTCGATCCGCGAGACATCCCTCCATCTTCGCAACAACCTTATCCCAGCTGTCGCTGAGACGTCATCCCACTTGATTACTGCACTTCTCTCCTACGGCCTCTCCAAATCCCTTTGTCACTAAACTCCATGTGATTCAAAATGCTGTCGCCAAACTTCTCCGTTGCACCTATAAACATGGCCACAACACCCAAAATCTTGAATCCCTTCACTAGCTTCCAATCCGGTGGCACACATCACACCTTCGATTAGCATGGTTGGCTACGTACGGTGTGAAAAAAATTCAACATACATATACAGTCTGTTCTCCTATAACGCGGTAGTTGCGTTCCTGAAGAACACCGTGTTATGGGAAAATTGCGTGATAATAAATAATATAAATAATATAGGTTAAAGCACAGTCTGCGATAACATGTCAGATACACGCGCAGGCTGAACAAAGACTGAGGCACGTGGGTAGCATCTAAAAGCATCCAGCAGCATCCCGTCGTGATACTATGCCAAGGCAGCCGTACAACCGCTTATTCCTACTCGTGCGACATAGTTCGGTTCACTGCATTGGGTTATATCCAATTTGCTTCCGCGTTCTAAAAAATCTGTTCCATAATACGTTCAAATTACGTCCAATCGCGTTATGAAAACACGTTACAGGAGAACAGACTATACACCGTCGACACGGTCCGCAAGGCTTTTCGTCTGTCACTCAGTGGGAGGTCGATCATTTCCCTCTGCGTCTGGGCGTGGTGTCTGTCGCACCTCCCCACGTGTGCCGTGCTGACTTTGGCGAGTGCTGATTTGCGGCACCGGCCCCAGGAGTCTGCATAGGCCACACGGGGGGATTCCTTGTCTGCGTGTGTTGTCCGCTCAGCCCGTGCGACCGCCCGCGAGTGATCGAGTCGCTGCGCGGGGTGGAGGTGGTGGACGTGGCCGCGGGTGGCGCCCACAGCGCCTGCATCACATCGGCCGGGGAGCTCTACACGTGGGGCAAGGGCCGCTATGGGCGGTTGGGACACGGGGACAGTGAGGACCAGCTAAAGCCGAAAATGGTGCGTGTGCCCTCCCCGAGCGGCGCTGCTGCCGCTCGTCTCACTCCGATGCCTCACTCTGCGATGTCTGGGCCAACGCTGCATGCCCACCGGCACCCCTCTGTGGAGAACCCCTGTATCTCTTGATTACATGGCAGTTCGACTTTCCCCGTCACATTTCACAGTTCATTCCCCTAAACTCAAATCCGGAATCCCTTCCCATCGTCTAACTTTGCTCAAGGCAATAAACATGTTAACGCTTATCTAGTTTGTTTCCGCTGGCCTGCGCTGTTAACCTTTTTAATCTCCTTCCTCCTCCCTTCGCCACGGTTGCCCACAGGTGGAGACCCTGAAGGGTTGCCGTGTCATTGACGTGGCGTGCGGCAGTGGCGACGCGCAGACGCTGTGCCTCACGGACGACGACAGCGTGTGGTCATGGGGCGACGGGGACTACGGGAAGCTGGGCCGTGGCGGCAGCGACGGCTGCAAGGTCCCGCAGAAGGTACTCTCGTGCGCTTGAGAGGAACTCGCATAACCTTGGAAACACTGGAATCTCACTGACACACAGCCGGTTGATCAACTTATCTCAACAATGCCACCCACCCACCCATACCATCACTAAATCTATGCTCATCTGCTATGGACCGGCTGCTGCTCAGTGTGAAATGTTATTGGATTAAGCCAGCAGAGCAGAGCTTCTCATCTGTCTGGAGCAGTCTTTGCCGACTGAAGCCCGCACAGCCGTAACAAACAGAGCTCTCAAGACCAGACTAAAAACATTTCTCTTCTCTTCTGCTGCTTACGTTTAGTCGTATTTTATTTGTTATCATTGTTTATTTTATTCATTTTCTGTCTCGGCTTTTTGCTAAATATGGCCGCACATTACAAATCTTGGATCGATTGATTGACAGTAAATTATAGTTGGCTGATGCATTTATTATTGAGCAGTAAGCTACGTGGGACAATGGCATTAATTTAACCATCAGACAATACATTTTACAGATTTTCTTCAAATTAAGTGTTTGTGCCATGTATTTAGTTATGGAAAGTAACAAATTCAAGTAGATCAGGTATTTTATTAACAATATGAGGTCTGTGTGAGGTGTAAGGTCTGTGAAGCAGCAGCAACAGCAATTCACTTCACATGGCAATAGCTGGTTACCATTTCCGTTACCATTACTGTTGTTATTACCATTACTGAGACTCTTGCAACTTCTCTGTTACTGTTGACATTGCCGTTACTGTTGCCATTAACCTTGCCGTTGCTTTTAACCTTGCCTTTACTGTTGTCGTTACCCCTACCATTGGCGTTACCATTGCCGTTACTGTTACCATAGCCGTTGCTGTAGCCATTTCCGTTACCATTACCATGACCATAGCCATCGCTGTAGCCATTGCTGTTGCCGTGTGCGCTAATTCCACGCGTGGTGTGCGCTGGTGGCGTGTCTTAGATCGAGTCCCTCGCGGGCCTGGGCGTGGTGAAGGTGGAGTGTGGCTCCCAGTTCTCTGTCGCGCTCACCAAGTCTGGCGCCGTCTTCACGTGGTGAGCATGCTCACTTGCCTGACGGTCAGCACACTGAGTACGATGCCTCTCGTATAAAAACAAATATTTTGTTGCCTCTGCCCGGAGACACAAACATTTTCAAAATCAGAATAGTGAACAAAGTCAGAGTCTCTTGAAGTGCTCGTGAGTGTATGATGGTTTCCAACTCTCAACTCTGAAACTGGAGATAAAAATTTCGACAGAAAAAAACGTGATTTATCGTTGAAGGTTGTACAAAAATTACGGAAAAAAAAGTGGACAGGAGGGAATGTGAGACATAAAAATACACCAGGGTCATCATAAACAACAAACAAAAATCATCGTGCAGGCAATACCTCGCACATCCAGGGGACAATCAGCGAGTGACGCGTTCAAAACATGGGCATTTCTTGCGCCAGTGTGAGCTGACACGCACGGAGTGAACACCTGCAAGCGTGCGCACTCCGCTTTCTCAAAGCTCGCCCTCAAGAAGCTGGGATTGAGCGTTTGCACCTCCCGTGACTCAGGCCCCCATAGCTCAGGAAACCCTGGGTACATCGACAGTAAAATAATTAGCCCGTGCCACCACGCAGAGGTAACTGTCTCCAAATGGTCAGCGAGTTAAACGAGACGACGACATATGCACGAGCAAAGTGTGAGCCATCGGTTAGATCTGAACTTGGTTGAACTTGAACTTATTTGGCACCGTACCTAGCCAACCGTGCTAATCACACCTAAAAATCCGTCCTCCTCTAACTCTCTGACCAAGTAAAAACCAAGAACCATATTTTTCTTTCAATGACTGTTGTGTTTCACCATCATGCCTCCGAGCTTTTTGCAACTTCAGAACAAAAACAACAGCGGGAACATCACTTGCGTACCAAATGCAGTGTTATCCTTCATTGCACATTGATACAAGCTGCAGTATCTGGACCCCGTTGCTCGGCTGCCAGGCTGCTAGACAAGCAAAGGTACCGGAGCTGGGATTTCCATTGCGCTGCCACAGAGGTCGAGCAGCACCGGAGGCTATGGGTTCATCCGAGTTCTCCACCTCAGTCCCTACCCCCCCCCTGTGGCGACGGTGTCCACCCGGTGCCTGCGCGCAGGGGCAAGGGTGACTACCACCGGCTGGGCCATGGCTCGGACGACCACGTGCGCCGCCCCCGCCAGGTGCAGGCGCTCCAGGGCAAGAAGGTCATCGCCATCGCCACCGGCTCCCTCCACTGCATCTGCTGCACGGAAGACGGTGAGGAGCGCCGTGCGCGCGCCGCTGAGAACGCGGGGTTCGTTTTCAGGGGGGCAGCCACTCACAATTATTAGTGCAGCTTCTCTGGTTCAACAAGCCGATGCTCTCAGCTGATGAGGATCACTTGATGAAAAAGAAGGCAGCGGTTCAGGACTACTTGGGAAGTTTCTCCCCCAAATTTTGTGATATTCCAAATCAAGATCACGGTGTCATCTTGGCCAAAACCGGGACCTTAGTTCGGTGTGAATTTACCTTTTGATATTTAGACGTTTACTCTAAATCTGAATACTTTTGAATGTGATCTGTTGTGACCGATGCAGCAACGCATGTGATGTCGGTTCCCGAGCACAGCCGGTATCAGGTAAGCAGAGGCCTTCATAAAATAGTCGATGACAGAGGATTGTAAAATATGATTAAACTTGTAAGGGTTGGGTTTGTGGTTTCAGAGCAGATGAGGATAAAGATAAATGTGTGTGTAATTGAGTATATATCGCTCGGCTCAACATTAGTGTTTTTTTCCCTCCAGGGAAAATGAATAAAAAATACACTTTAAATTATGTTAATTTGCAATTGGCCAATGTTACATTGTGGGACCCTGAAAGAATGGCAGTGGTTTGGGGAGGCTTTCATCCAGCAGTTGATTGATCATGGCTGATGATTGGCTCCGAGAGATTCAAGTATGGACTACAGTATCATCTTCTAGGGCTCCTCCCTGATGTGATGCTCTACAGAACTGACGGAGTTTCCGAAATCCATCCCTCACATCGCGATGTAAACTGTGACGGCACGAAGAGAGTCCTGGGGCATGTGCGAGGGGGGGAGGGGCTCCTGGACCGGTGCGCGGTTTTTCCGCAGGTGACGTTTACACGTGGGGCGACAACGACGAGGGGCAGCTCGGGGACAGCACCACCAATGCCATCCAGCGGCCGCGGCTCGTTGCCGCCCTGCAGGGGAAGAAGATCAACCGCGTGGCGTGCGGCTCGGCCCACAGCCTGGCCTGGTCGACGAGCAAGCCCGTGCACGCCAGCAAGCTGCCCATGCAGGTGAGGACCGAGACCCCACGAGTTCACCCAGGTCACCTGTGCCAATGAGCCCACAGACCCTTGCCTCTTGAGTTCTCACCTGGTTAAACGAATAGCGATCGTGATAATAAATCTTGGTATTTGTAAAGGAGTTTAAGCCGGCAGCTTGGGTGGGTCTTGAACTGGGACTCTCTAACAATCCCATTCTTTTCCCCTAACGGTTCGCAACCGACTCATTTCCATTTAAGTTTTCCCTGACGACAAATCCGATTGGAATCTTCTCCACCTTCAAATCCGATTGGGTGCCCCCTATGTCAGCTCCTCCTGTGATAGTTCACCGATGAGAGTCGCGCTATTGGAATTTGCGAGCCGTTAGAATTGGTGAGTGTTTTTTTTTTCTTTCCAAATGGGGTTTGCCTATTGGCAACCGTGACACATTTATATTGTGCTTTAATGCAAAGAAGCTTTACATTGAATATCGTCGCAAATATTGGGAGGGGGGTACCCCAGTGGCAGCTGTCCCTGTGCGGTACAAGGTGACTCGGCACCAGCCTGGATGTGGGCACTAGTCTCGAGTTCCCTTCCACCTTGTAGAGACGCTGGCGCTGAATAAGATCTCTCCCTCCTGTCTCTGTCTCGCACCATCTTCCCAGCCTCCTTCATCCATGCACTGTGTGATATCTGTCTAAGTCAAGGATTGGCAACCAAAACAACAATAAGAAAAAACATTGGGATTGAGTGAAAAACTCTATTTCAAGAGCCGCAATGCACGTTAATATGAATAGCGTCAAGAGGCAGGCCTTAAACAGCCGCATGCAGCTCCGGAGCCGCCGGTTGCTGACCTCTGGTCTAAGTGGATTCCATTGATTTCAACGGTGCCTTCCTCCTCCAGGTGCCAATGGAGTACAACCACCTGCAGGAGCTGGCCATGGTGGCCCTGAGGAACCGCCTCGTTCTGCTGCACCACTTCTCTGACCTCTTCTGCCCGTGCATCTCCATGTTCGACCTGGAGGGGCAGCTGGGCGAGCTGGGTCCCCTCGTGGGGCTCGACATGCTCAGGGGAATCCTCATCTCGTCGGGAAAGGTGACCTCCTGATCGCAGCACGCACACTCATTCACTCACTTGCGTACGGACTCACGCACTCGCGCATGCACTGACTCACGCATTCTCACGCACTCCTGCACGCACGTGGGGCTCCGTGGGGTGTCTGCCCCGTGACCCCAGGCGGTTTACGTGCCTCGTACGCAATCGGTTGACGTGGAGCTTCATTAAGGGGAAAGGTGTTCTGCAACCCTAAAGCTATTAAGCTATTTTTTATTTTATCAGGTAATGCTCATTGAGCTATGTAGCTCTTCTTCAGAAGCGACCTGGCCATCACAAATGATAGCTCAACGAAGTGGCTTACCATATGGAAATGTATAGCAGCCAAATACTCTCAAGGCATGTTTCTCATGTGGAGGGAAAAACCGGAGGACCTGGAGAAAAATCGACGCCACCATAGGGAGAGATAACATGCAAACTCCAAATATGGAGAAGATGTCACATTTGGGATCAAACCCACGACCTTCTGTAAACCAGGTGAGCTAGTTAACATCTCACCATCGTGGCGCCCCTAGGCAGGTCGTAGGGGTTAAATACATAAGGTGTAAAGCTCCGCCAAAGTCACTGGACATGACCCTCCCGATGAGACATTGAATGTCGAAAACGGTCCAAGGTTTGCTTGTGTTAAACTAAACTCTTTTTTATTTTAGCAGGTAAGGCCCACGAAGCTATAGAGCTCATTTTCAGAAGTGACCTAGCTACAAATGAAAGCTCAACGAAGTGGCTCATCACGTGGAAATGTATAGCCGTCAATTCCGCTGAAATTATTATTTGAAGGAGGCGAATTGTCTGCTCAGTCATTTTGTTACTTTTATTTTCCAAAACGATGCTTATATTTTTTATATCCTGTAGCGTTTAATGTGGTACCTGATGGGCATTCGTTTAAACAAGGTACTCAAAGACCTGTGGCATCGTCGTTGCATGATGGTGTGATATATCAAATATGTAAAATGGCTCCTTTAAAATATAAAATTACATACTTCTCCTTTTAGGGCCACGGTGCTATCGACGAGTGTGCTGGGGTGTTTTTTTACCATTGAGAGAGGAGCTCACCAGATGTTTGTTTTTTCTTTCGCTTCGCAGGAGACTGCCTTCAGGAAGGTGGTGCAAGCCACCATGGTGCGTGATCGGCAGCATGGCCCAGTGGTGGAACTCAACCGCATTCAGGCAAATACTGTGCACCGTGTCGGTTCACTGCAGCGGAAAACCGAACGCGGAGAGCGCCTCCTAAGCATCCTCAGCCCACAGCGACGCGTCTCGTGTTATCAACGCTGCTCCGTGGCTCCCACGCAGCTCGGTTGGCAGAGCGGCGGGACTCGGAGTCGTCTCGTCGTGACACCAAGTCCGCGGCCGGGGTCGGCTCGGCCTGAACCATCGTGTTCCTGGCCTCAGGATACAGATACCGGTTCAGTGGTCAGCCGTGCCCCGGGGGGAGATCAGTCCCAGCGAGTAGCCACGAACACAAAATCGGCTGCTCATTTTAGCGTAGCACTTGAAGGTTTTTGGTTTCCTAACAAACGCTTCGGTAATGACACAGGGTGGTCCCATAATAATACCTCCCACTGAAATATCTGCCTGTGTTCTCAACAGGTGATGGAACATTGTGAAAGCGTTTGCTCCCTTATAACACACTAGAGGGATTCATATTCTTGGTTCTTTCGGTAAAGTCACGTAGAAGGGAAACAATAAAATAAAAATATATACATATAAAACAATAAAATTCTCACGACGTTTCGACTGCAACACAAGCAATCATCACCTGATGATGCAATCATCACCTGATGATTGTGTTGCAGTCGAAACGTCGTGAGAATTTTATTGTTTTATATATGTATTTTTCATCAGGTGATGATTGCTTGTGTTGCAGTCGAAACGTCGTGAGAATTTTATTGTTATATATATTTTAATTATTATTTTATTGTTTCCCTTCTACGTGACTTTACCAAAAGAACCAAGAATATGAATCCTTGCAGTCATAAAAGCTTTAAATAAAAATGTACACTAGAGGGAGTTAAGGAATTGAATAAGTGCATTTGGGATTATTAGGAGATGTGAACAAAGCCTTGAAATACAATGCTGTTTTCTCTACAGCGTGACCTTGTCACTTCAATGGGGTGTATATAAATAGATCAGACTGTATTTGACCAATATATGAGGGCACCATCAGAAGACCGTGTCTTGTTCATTCATCGCACCTCACAACTCAATTGTGCCTTTGAGTGTTTGCACGTGGAGTCACATTACCCCATCAGTAGGGTGCACTGCATTCTATTACACATGTACATAATAAACAGGAAACATGTACAATCAGTGTAGTGCAAGTTGGGCTGCCGCTGCTGAAGTGGGATGTTGCTGTGTGCAGGTGAAGCGCTCGCGGAGTAAGGGCGGCCTGGCCGGGCCCGACGGCTCTAAGTCTGTGTTCGGGCAGATGTGCGCCAAGATGAGCTCCTTCGGGTCGGACTCGCTGCTCCTGCCGCACCGCGTTTGGAAGGTCAAGTTCGTGGGTGAGCCTTCGCCTGGCTCCACATGGGGTGGAGAACCACGGTGGCGAGATGTTAACGACCTCGCCTGGTATACAGGAGGTCGTGGGTTCGATCCCGACCCTTCTGACGCCTGTATATTTGGAGTTTGGATGTTCTCCCTATGGTCGCGTGGATTTTACTCTGGGTCCTCCGGTTTTTCCCTCCACATTTAGAAACGTGCGTTTAGAGTATTTGGCTGCTGTACATTTACACATGCTAAACCACTTCGTCGAGCTATCATTTGTGGCTAGGTTGCTTCTGAAAAAGAGCTATGTAGCTCAGTGGGTCTTACCTGGTAACATTTTTAAAAGTTTAGTTTTACAATTTTAGGAGTCACGTTTGCCCGCTGAGAGGGACGTGCTCATCAAGCTCGTCTCTCGTGTCTGGAGTCTCCGTCAAATGTTCCTTTTTGGCCCCTGTACCAGCAGCACGCACTGCCTTTGACAACAAAATCACAGAGAATTACAACGCTACTCACATGGCTTAAGTGGCATTTTCAATCGACCTAACAGATTGTAATAAACTATTTGGTTATTAATTCAGGAGCCAACTTTGGGATGTATGGTCATTTCCTCTTCTCAATGTTATTTTATGTTATTTTATATGGGGTTTCGCGGAACACTTTACACGCAATGATCAACTTGCACATCACGTCTAATCTCAAACTTTGGAAGGGCACCCCAAGTGACAACTCTCCCTGTGCTGTACAAGTTGACTTGGTACAGGCCTGTATGTGGGTATTCGTTTTAAGTTTACTTCTGTCTTTTTGTAGAGACCCTGGGGCTGAATGAGATCTCTCTTCCTCCCGCAGCAGCTTCATGGACTCCTTTGCTCGACGCCGCCCCCCCCCCCCCTATTCGAGATTGTTTGGCACCATGTCAATCCGGCGCATCCTCGCTCTTCCTCGGTTTCTTGTTCCCGTGCGCCGGCGTACCACGATTGTGAAGCTTAAGCGGGGGCAGTCCCGCACTTTACTAACACGATGGGTGTGTGTCCTGGCACAGGGGAGTCCGTGGACGACTGTGGTGGTGGCTACAGCGAGTCCATAGCCGAGATGTGCGAGGAATTGCAGAATGGCCTCACGCCGCTGCTCATGGTCACCCCCAATGGGCGTGACGAGTCTGGCGCCAACCGCGACTGCTTCCTCCTCAACCCCGCCGCCAAGTCTGCCGTGCACCTGAGCATGCTGCGCTTCCTCGGTACGCGCACGCTCGCAGGCACGCTGGCTTGCATGCTGGCTTGCACGGTCGCTTACACTCTGGCTCACTCGCTCACCGTCCCTCCCTGTTACTGCTGCCCGCTGCGTCCAGCAGCGCAGCTTGGCTGGAAATGCCTGTTGCCATGAAGGTGTAGGATTTGCCAATTAAGCAATGGCCCTAGTTGTCTTACCGTGGTGGAGAGATGTTAACTACCTCGCCCGTTATTCAGGAGGTTGTGGGAACGATCCCGACCCTGTGGTCATCCTGTTTTTCTCTCCACATTCAGAAACATGCATTTCGAGTATTTGGCTGCTATACAATTCCAAATGATAAGCCATTTTGTTCGGCTATCATTTCTGGCTAGGTTGCTTCTGATGATGAGCTATATAGCTCAGTGGATATACATGGTAAAAAATTTTTAAAAGTTTTTTATCGTTTTACATTTATCAATCGCAGTATGGGCGTCCCTCGCATAACATGCCCCCCCATCGCGCGAATTCGCAGTTACGCGATTAATATTCTTGGGTCTTTCGGTAAAGTCATGTAGATAGGTTCAAAGAAAATCACAAAAAAATTCAAAAAATCCGACGTTTCGATCGCAACACAAGCGATCGTCTTCAGGAAAAGGGGAGTTAGCTGCCAAGGCAAACTCTTTAAAAGGGGTTTTAATGGGTGTAGCACAAAGTCAGCAGCCAATGATAATGTAAGTGGCGGGTGGTTGGTTTTCCAACAATAAAAGGGCTGCCAGGTCAAAATCAGCATGTTAAAGAGATTAGCATGTTAATGGGAGATCGCAGAGCCGCAACCAAGGGGTCGGCACACGAAGTGACTGAAAGCGCAAGTTTGAAATGGGCGTAAAGCATACCTAACATTGGAAGGTGGTAGGATGGGAACATCATATCAAATTACGACTTAAACTGGTTGATAATGAATTTTGATTTAAAGCTTTCGTGACTGCAGTAATTCATATTCTTAGTTTTTTCGGTAAAGTCACGTTGAAGAGAAACAACAAAATAACAAAATATATATAAAACAATAAAAAATTCTCACGACGTTTCGACCATAACTCAAACGGTCATCATCAGGTGTGTCGGTTTGCATAAATTTATTTTGAAAACGGCATATTTATTTATTTATATTTATATAAAAAAAACGTTTGCGTCACGCGCAACGATGGCAGTTTGCCAGGACTAGTCCATCTATTTTTTGAAAAGAGGAGGGGGGAGACGAAATTTGTTTTTATGTATGCTGTCTGAAAGGCACTGTAAGCGTGAACAATCAATCAAGAACTGAAATGATTTATCAAATCTTTCCAATGATTGCTAAGATAGAATCCATCTTCTCGGTTGAAATTGTCTCTGTGTTTGTATATGTGGATAGCCTCATGAACGAATCTCTCATGGAAGCCAGATGGCTTACAAAGAACCTCCGTCTTGGAAAAGTCAATGGCATGTGAGCCTACTGAATTAGAACAATGATCTGCTACGGCCGAGGTGTTGGTCCTACCGTGTTTAAGGTCTGCTTTATGTTCACGAATGCGGTCCGAGATATGGCGTTTGGTTTCTCCAATGTAACTACTACCACAGAGGCAACTTAGTTTGTAGACACCAGGGTATTGTATGTCCGGAATCACATCTTTTACAGACGGAACCAGATCACGGATTTTATGTAATGTGTTGAAACGGACCTGGATCTTGTGTTTATTCAAGATTTTGGAGATCTTTTTGTGATCCCAGCAATGTAGGGTAAAGTGATGGTTTTGAAAGGCTCCTCAAGAGGGTTCTTCTTCATGGTTTGAGTGATAGCTTTGCAGATTGTATAGTCGGAGTAACCATTAGCCCTAAGAGCTTGGTGTACGTGCTTGAGTTCACTGCTTATGTGTTCCTGGTCGGATATGCATTGGGCTCTATGATACAGAGTCTTGATGAGAGAATTCTTCTGTGATGGATGGTGGTGGGAATCCGGTTTCAGATAAGCATCCGTATGGGTAGCTTTCCTGTAGACAGAGTGGCTCATTGAACCATCAGGTCTCTTTTTAATTAGGACATCCAAAAAAGGTATCTTGCCATCTATTTCGACTTCCATGGTAAATCTGATGGCTGGGTGTATGGAATTGATGTGGTCGAAGAATTGGTCTAGAGCAGGCCGGCCATGTGGCCAGATGACAAAAGTGTCATCCACGTACCTCTTCCATAAGGTTGGGCGCAGAGTGGCAGTCTGGATGGCGTCAGTCTCAAATTTCTCCATGAAAATGTTAGCTATAACTGGAGAAAGGGGGGAGCCCATTGGGGTGCCCTCAGTTTGTTTGTAGAAAGTTCCATTCCAAGTGAAGTATGTATTGGTTAAACAGTGTCTCACCAGGGGGGGTACCTCAGTGTTTAGTCCTTGATGAACCAAGTCTTCAATGATTGCAATGGTGTCAGGTACAGGAACCTTGGTGAATAAGGAAACTACATCAAAACTGACAAGCAGGTCGTCTGGGGACAGGGAAATACCCTTGATTGTTGATACCAGGTGAGTAGAATTTTGTACCGCAGAGGTGGTCTTTCCAGTGAAAGGACGCAGGATTTCAGACAAAAAACGAGCTAGTTTGTAGGTGGGGGAGCTGATAGTAGAGACTATGGGACGAAGAGGTGTATCAACTTTATGTATTTTTGGTAAGCCGTATAATCTTGGTGGCCTGGCAGCAGAAGGTTTCAACGAAAACTGTTTAGATTGATCAATTAATGCGGTTGAATCAGAAATTATTTTGTTGGTTTGTGTGACGAGGCTGTTGGTGGGATCTCTTTTTATTTTTGTATAACTACCATCGTCGAGTAATTCTTTAATTTTGTTGTTGTATTCTATTTTATCCATGATAACAGTAGCATTGCCTTTGTCAGCTGAGAGAACTACAATATCATTCCTCTTTTTTAATTTATATAATTCAAAACGCTCATCTTTGCTGAGGTTGCTAGCTGGCATCTTAGCGTTTTTGAGGGTTGCAGCGATTTCAGATCTTGCTACGTCTGCAGCGATGTGACCCAGGCCCCTGAGAGCAACGTCTACTTGGGCAATTATATCATTAACTGGTATGTGTTTAGGTGTGACTGCAAAGTTTAGACCTTTAGCTAAAACGGATTTCAGACCATCGGAAATAGAACTGTTACTGCGATTAATTACGACTTTATTAACGTCTAACTTTTTGGTGTGTGGGTCCGGTCTTTTGTTGAAGAGGAGGTTAAATTTGGAAATCAGGTTTTCCTTACATTTGGTCGACATAGTAGCAGCTGAAGAGGCAGTCATATTGTCTACATGTTCCCAATCCGATGTGGACATTATTGCCGTCAATGATAAGTGTGATTTGTAGAGTGTCTTGTCTAACTGATCTAGTTCTGTGCGTATAAGTCTGATTTTTTCTGAGATAAGAGCTAAGCTAGTTTTGAAAAGAATTCGTTTCGCATTAGAAGAAGTTACAGTAGCAGAGGTGAGTGTAAATGCGATTGGTATTACCCCAGAGTCGCGGCATCTCTTCAGGAAGGTGAGAGACTCGATCAGCTGAGCTTTCTTATCCGGAGTTTGTTGAAGGATCTTTAAAGTTATGTGAAAACCCTCCCCGTAGAGGCGATTAAATTTTGATTTAAAGCTTTCGTGACTGCAGTAATTCATATTCTTAGTTTTTTCGGTAAAGTCACGTTGAAGAGAAACAACAAAATAACAAAATATATATAAAACAATAAAAAATTCTCACGACGTTTTCGACCATAACATAAAGTTGATACACCTCTTCGTCCCATAGTCCTCTACTATCAGCTCCCCCACCTACAAAACGAGCTAGTTTTTTGTCTGAAATCCTGCGTCCTTTCACTGGAAAGACCACCTCTGCGGTACAAAATTCTACTCACCTGGTATCAACAATCAAGGGTATTTCCCTGTCCCCAGACGACCTGCTTGTCAGTTTTGATGTAGTTTCCTTATTCACCAAGGTTCCTGTACCTGACACCATTGCAATCATTGAAGACTTGGTTCATCAAGGACTAAACACTGAGGTACCCCCCCCTGGTGAGACACTGTTTAACCAATACATACTTCACTTGGAATGGAACTTTCTACAAACAAACTGAGGGCACCCCAATGGGCTCCCCCCCTTTCTCCAGTTATAGCTAACATTTTCATGGAGAAATTTGAGACTGACGCCATCCAGACTGCCACTCTGCGCCCAACCTTATGGAAGAGGTACGTGGATGACACTTTTGTCATCTGGCCACATGGCCGGCCTGCTCTAGAACCAATTCTTCGACCACATCAATTCCATACACCCAGCCATCAGAATTTACCATGGAAGTCCGAAATAGATGGCAAGATACCTTTTTTGGATGTCCTAATTAAAAAGAGACCTGATGGTTCAATGAGCCACTCTGTCTACAGGAAAGCTACCCATACGGCTGCTTATCTGAAACCGGATTCCCACCACCATCCATCACAGAAGAATTCTCTCATCAAGACTCTGTATCATAGAGCCCAATGCATATCCGACCAGGAACACATAGCAGTGAACTCAAGCACGTACACCAAGCTCTTAGGGCTAATGGTTACTCCGACTATACAATCCGCAAAAGCTATCACTCAAACCATGAAGAAGAACCCTCTTGAGGAGCCTTTCAAAACCATCACTTTACCCTACATTGCTGGGATCACAAAAAGATCTCCAAAATCTTGAATAACACAAGATCCAGGGTCCGTTTCAACACATTACATAAAATCCGTGATCTGTTCCGTCTGTAAAAGATGTGATTCCGGACATACAATACCCTGGTGTCTACAAACTAAGTTGCCTCTGTGGTAGTAGTTACATTGGAGAAACCAAACGCCATATCTCGGACCGCATTCGTGAACATAAAAGCAGACCTTAAACACGGTAGGACCAACACCTCGGCCGTAGCAGATCATTGTTCTAATTCAGTAGGCTCACATGCCATTGACTTTTTCCAAGACGGAGGTTCTTTGTAAGCCATCTGGCTTCCATGAGATATTCGTTCATGAGGCTATCCCATATACAAACACAGAGACAATTTCAACCGAGAAGATGGATTCTATCTTAGCAATCATTGGAAAGATTTGATAAATCATTTCAGTTCTTGATTGATTGTTCACCGCTTACAGTGCCTTTCAGACAGCATACATAAAAACAAATTCGTCTCCCCCCTCCTCTTTTCAAAAAATAGATGGACTAGTCCTGGCAAAACTGCCATCGTTGCGCGTGACGCAAACGTTATTTTTTTATATAAATATAAATAAATAAATATGTCGTTTTCAAAATAAATTTATGCAAACCGACACACCTGATGATGACCGTTTGAGTTATGGTCGAAACGTCGTGAGAATTTTTTATTGTTTTATATATATTTTGTTATTTTGTTGTTTCTCTTCAACGTGACTTTACCGAAAAAACTAAGAATATGGTTGATAATGGTTGAAATTGTCTGTCTCTATATATATGGATGTATATACAATATATAGACACAGATACAATTTTAACCGAGAAGATGGGTACAAACTAAGCAATCATTGGAAGGACGTTATCAACAAGTTTAAGTCATAATTGGGTCAATATTTTTTACGCGATTCATCTTTTAGGGACATACTTCACACTCACGCTGTGCATTTCACAGTTACGCGCTCTAGAAAAAAATATATAGTAACATTCAATAAAAACACATTTTCAACGATAATTTTTTTTAAAGAAAATATTTCTGATGGCATCACCACATAATGGCAGTGCCCAGTGTCAGGGCGTAACCATAGTAGATCTGCTGCCTTTGCATCACGAGTGCTGCTACAAACAGCCCACGGAAGCATTCAAGACCTGAAGTTACTCCTTAGAAAGTAATCTTTGTGAGTTCCAATCTTTTAAATCTTAATTATTATTGCTTGTTACTAAACTCCCTATTCAATATTTTTGGAATGTTAATATTATTACATTTATACTTATTTTAGTAAATCCAGAACTAAAATAATGAAATTAAATTATACTTAATTTTTCTTCGGTTACGCACGCCCCCATATAACATGTACTTGTGTCTATGGGAAAATAGCCTTCATACAGCGCTGTTCGACTTACGCTGTTTTTCAGTAACGCATGTTATGCGTTATGCGAGGGACGCCTGTACTCTTAATCTGTCCTCACGTCTCCAAGTTCGCGGTAAACAGACTCAGAATTTAATACCGTAATCATAATACACGGATGAATAAAGCAGACAAGACGTCCAAAGTCGCTTTGAATTTAAATATTTAAAAAAAAACTCAGAATGTTACTCGGTACTGCACGATAACATTGGCTCCATGCTTGTGTTTGCTGTGAATTATATTTGCTCCATTCATTAACTTTATTGACATTATCGCTTTGGTCATTTCGGTGACCCGGGTCGCCTCATGCCATTGAGGCTCGTCCTCGTTCTCTCTCTCTCTTTGAGTTCTGACCTTGTTGCAACAAAATAGACCTAAAAAAAACGTGGAATGTTGTCGTGTGCTCCTGTCACCACCACCGTGTGCAGGGGTTCTTCTGGGCATCGCCATCCGCACCGGAAGCCCCCTGAGCCTGAGTCTGGCCGAGCCGGTGTGGAAGCAGCTGGCTGGCATGAGCTTGACCATCGCCGACCTCAGCGAGGTGCGACGGCGGTCGGGCAGCGTCGTGCGGCCTCTCTTGGTGGCGACGACACAATGCGGACTCAAACCTGAAAACCGTTTTGCGTACAGAAACGATCGTGCGGGGCTGGGATGCGACAGCTCCTCCGGCCTTTTCGAGACCACCGGCTCAAAAGGACAGTAAATAGTGCAGATTGGTGTCGGGATTTTCCTTACGCAGGATCTTTAATTAACAGTGTTTTAATTACAGTATTAATTTAGTGTTGAAATTACAGCACGGAAGGTGACATCAAATATTCATCAAAACTAACAAAGGGCTGTGGAATGCGAGGCCATTAACCTTGCATTTAAAGTCAGAGTGATTTCCTCTTCAAAAATTAGCCACTGTTCACAGAATGGCAGCCAAGTCAATAATCAAACTCAGGGCCTTCTTGCTTTGAGGCGCAAGTGTTATCATCATGCCACCCTGCAGCCCAAATAACAACATATAAAAACAGAGCCAGATTTTACACAACTCCATTCATTGCAACCAGGACAAGCCCACGCAGGCAGAAAATGAGAAATGACAAGCCAAAGCCCAGAGACCCGGTGAATTCCCAGGATAAAACCCACTGATAAGACAGACTTAAAACAGCCAGTTCACTCCACTGGTCACTGCACCGTCGCTGAGACCTTGGCATCATCACTGAGGCCCCGTGTTCCCACTCGGGCAGGCCCTGGGAGAGTCCCCACAGTGCCACGGGAGCTTCCCCTCAATGTCAAGCATTGAGAAATTCTCCAGACTATCAACTCCCACTCCTGCACAGTGCCCATGCCTTCAGTTTATCAATTCGATCATTTCATAGCCATCCATGGCACTGCTCCATCACTTTCTCCCCTTCGGTATTTGCCTCGGTTCAGGAATCCTGACTTGCCTTCTGACAAAGGAGCTTCTTCAGGTTGCCAGCTGCAAAGTATCGCTTTGCAGGTTTTGAATGAAGCTTGTAATATTGATCTCCTTGTGAAATGGGTATGTGTTTCATGTATTATGCTCTGCAATGGACAAATGCTTTTTACACCATAAAAGTCAACAATGTTTTCTGACAGTAAGCTTATTCAGAGAGAGTAGTGCGAGAGCAGGGTCTTTGAAAATTAATCAGGGCCACACTCGTATCTGTAGGGAATGTGGAGATAATGCTCTCCTGACCTTATTTATGTTCAATAATATATTATGTATTGGGTATATTGCCAGCACCACCAGTACTTATATAAACCACTGCAAGCACATTCTCACCCAATCTTTCAGACGGATAGTCGGTTTATATGTGGAATTATTCAGCTTTGTAAATTTTTCGAATGCTTATTACAACTGTAGCCTTAGTTGTTGTGATCGGCTGAACCGAAGTTTTAATTCTAGCCTTGGCCATATCCATCATGATAACTATGCCTAACCTTAACCCGCATCCCCAACCTTGAATCTTGTAGGTCCACATGTATGGCTCCAAGCCATCTTCATGAATCAATTCGATGTTTGGATGAACCATTGTCAAACATCAGGCTGCAATGTACATCCACACTCACTGAGGGCACATTGGTTGGTGTGGAGTTTACCTCTAATGCGCTGCAGATAACTGTTCATTATGATACAAATCTTGAGTTGTCCCTGCTAATTTTGTTCACATTGATGGGGATTATTATTGACGAGAAATAATTATCTACGCATCAGTGTCTCTTGTTAAAGACAAGGACGGAGCAGGTCATTGATCCGTGGGATACTTTTTCTCATTAAAGCACCTAAATTGTTCCATGCTTGATCGAGTCATTCCACAGTAATTTAACGTCAGTCAATTCACCATCCTTTTATTAGGTTTAAACAATTTTGATGCATGTTCTGTTTTCCAAGTAGGACTAGGGTGGCCATAGTTCAGGCGAGTCGTTATTAAAGTTTAAGCGCTCTGTTGTTCCCCGTATTTCCTGGGTGCTGGTGGCGACAGATGCTAGCATTACAGTAAACTTAAAGGACAAAGGTTGGTGGATCTTTTCGAGATTGAGATCTATGATATACATGATGCAATGGACATCTAATTCAAATCGCATTAGCCAAGGAACAGTATGGATTTAAAAAGCAAGAGATTATTGAATGATGGCTTGGAACTCCGCTCCAATGTTAAATGTAAATAGCTGTTAAATTCCGTTTTTGCCAATTAAGAACCCGCAAACAGGCCGAACTCCCAACAGAGGCGGGCAGACATGAGCTGACATGTCACGCGCAACTCGTGTAATCGAGTTGCCTTGGTTCCAGAACGAGACGTCACACATTTGTCTCTCTCTTGTTAATTGATCTTCTAGGCAGAACGATGGGAGTGATGGATTGACCTCATTTCTCTTTCAGAGTAGGAGGAGCAGTGAGCCACGGGGTACCCATTTACTCTTTCTCGGCAGCAGCAATGACGAGTGCCGCCGTGAATGTAGTGCAGAGTTGCTTCGGAATGTTACAATCCCTGTCCAGGGCTCATCTTTTATCTAAGCACGTTGTTTTTGGCCCACACACAAACAATATCATGAATTGTGAGTCCAGTTTGGTGCTGGATGGATTGTTGCTTAGCAGGAGAGTGAAAGGTGGCAGGGGCAGCTTGAGGAGGCCTCCATCCAGCAGTGGATTGATCACTATTGATCATGGCTGATGGTAATAATGAATTGGTCGTCCAAAATTCAATAGAGGCTTTCCTCGATATTGTTCTTGTTTTAAAATGATGAGTATGTGACCTGCATTTATAAATAACTTACTGGCTCTATAATTGACATTGTATGGCATTGCACGCTGTGTACACATGCATATGGTGACTTGTGCTGGCGCTCTTCACAGGTCGACAAGGACTTCATCCCGGGGCTCATGTACATTCGGGACATGGAGGCATCGGCAGCCGAGTTCGAGTCCATGGCCATGCCCTTCACAGTGCCCAGCGCCAGCGGGCAGGACATCCAGCTCAGCACCAAACACAGCTACATCACCATGGAAAATCGCAGCGAATATGTCCGCCTCGCCATAGGTTACAGGTACCCATGATGCCTAGGGGTTTGCTACCTGTCCGGGAATTACCATCTGTTCTTGGGTGGCAGGAATTGATTTGCAGGGGATAATTACAAGCGGATCGTTTTTGCTCTCATTTCTATTGTTTGTGTTTATTGCTACATTGTAACTTTACGTTCTTGCTTTTGTTATGTTGGTGACCTAGGTCACCCTTGCAAATGAGACTACTACCCTGGTCTCTCTCGAGTTCTCACCTCTTTCAACAAAATCAACTTGAAACTTGAAAGCAGCATTGGGCGCAAGGCTCTGATTGGGACATCAGTGCATAGGGTCCAGACATTTTGCTCGCACCACATTTTGGCGGAAGGTCAAACTCACCGCATGGTCCTGGCTGCTGCGTTTGGTTTGCGTCGCTGGTGTGTGTGCGCTGCCCCCGGTCCCCAGGCTGCACGAGTTTGACGAGCAGGTGGCGGCCGTGCGCGAGGGCATGGCCAGGGTGATTCCCGTGCCTCTGCTGTCGCTCTTCACAGGCTACGAGTTGGAGACTATGGTACCAAAACCAGATGAGATTCCTCCTTCATATAATGGTTCCTCCACATAAAATAAATCTGAAGAATGTAATTTGTACACATCTCTTCGACCACACGGCCTTGTAGGAGTATGTCATTTCAGCAGCTTTGGTTCAACACAAGCAAACTCTGGAACGGGTTTGACATCCAGTATCTCATCAGCAGTCAGGCTTTCTTAAACAATTCTGGTAAACGGACAGATGTTTCTAGATTTGAAGCTTTCGTGACTGCAAGGATTCATACTCTTGGTTTTTTTTTCGGTAAAGTCACGTAGGTAAAAAATTTAATAAATGAAAAACTAAATTAAATCGCCTGAATTTAGTTGTTTTTCATTTATTTTATTTTTTACCTACGGACCGATGTTTATCGGCAAGGGATCTCTGTATTATGTATGATTTGTAGCTTGACGCAAAACTATTTCATACGTAGTTAATGAGTGCAGTAGAACCCCTCTTAACGATGGTAATTGGTTCCACGAAACTGGTCGTTAAGTGATTTGGTCATTAAGCGAGTATAGGAAATACACGTGAAAGGATTCATTCGTTCCGATAGCATTGAAAGTGATCTTTTTTCACCGAAAAAACATACTTTATAATATTTAAACAATGGATATTAATACATAAAGATACTAACAATATTATAAACCATATTTAAAGAAACATCGTTAATCGATGTATTAATTAATATCTACTGAAACTACAACAGCCGGTCGTTAACTCGGGAATGGTTGGTCAGAGAACTATGGAGGCCTGTCGTTAAGCGATTAGTCGTTGACAGGGATGATCGTTAAGAGGGGTTCTACTCTACACTACACTACTTTCCACCACTACTATACACTGCACTACTATACACTACACATTGGGCTCTATGGAAGTCCCATCGTTAAGCGATTAGTCATGAACAGTGGTAGTCGTTAAGAGGGGTTCTACTCTACACGACTATACACTACACTATACACTACACGACTATACACTACACTGTACACTACACTGTACACTACACATTGGGCTCTATGGAGGTCCCGTCGTTAAGCGATTAGTCATAAACAGTGGTAGTCGTTAAGAGGGGTTCTGCTCTACACGACTATACACTACACTATACACTACACGACTATACACTACACTATACACTACACTACTATACACTACTATACACTACACTATACTCTACACATTGGGCTCTATGGAGGTCCCGTCGTTAAGCGATTAGTAATGAACAGTGGTAGTCGTTAAGAAGGGTTCTACTGTACTTTGGAGACCACGGTGAGTGGCACGATGAATGCCACGCATGCTGTGCAGGTCACAGCCAGGGACTCAGAGTGGGGCAGAGGGTGACAGAGTGCAGCGAGATTAGCCAAGGTGCAGTCAGAAAACAACACGCTTGTTTATTTTTTATTTTGGGGGGTCAGGATTTGGTCAAACCCAACCAGTTCCCCACGGCCACATGCTTTTGCCAAGTGCAGAACGTACGCGAGCACCCGGAGGGTAGGTGGGAGCTCGTTATCCTTGTGTGTCACCGCAGATATGTGGCAGCCCGGACATCCCACTGCACCTGCTCAAGTCGGTGGCCGTCTACAAGGGAATAGAGCTGAGTGCGCCGCTCATCGTCTGGTTCTGGGAGGTCATGGAGGCCTTCTCCAACACGGAGCGCTCGCTCTTCCTGCGCTTCGTGTGGGGACGCACGCGACTGCCGCGCACGATCGCCGACTTCCGCGGCCGGGACTTTGTCATTCAGGTCGGTGCCACTCACAGCCGCCCTTGGGTTGCGCTGGTGCTTATTAGAGCAGCAGTATTCAACTCAATTTAGTCTCTCCATGACTAATAATGTTAAACGATAGCCGGTAGCTGTTTTCAGACTCAATTACCAGTTCTGAGATTTAGGAAGCGGTTATCGTTTCCGGTGTAATGTTTGTAATGAATGCACTGAGAGGGAGCTCGAGAGGGTATTTGGTCTACTCTTCCATACGGATCTGACTACGATGCGCAATCTGCCGATTGACTGTGGTGAACCTATTTACGCTTTTGGGTGGACAGAGGCCGTCATAGAAACTTGTTTCAACTGCTCTGCACCCTAAGATGGAATCAAACCGGTGACCTCTGGACTGCAGGTCCAGTGTGCCTAACGTTACAGCAAGGCAGCTCCCTATAATAATAACAATATTACCCCTTTACCTAGGAAGCAAATTCGTCAAATGGATGTTAACCCATAAAATAATGAGAACAGTAACATTTCTAATAGACGTGGTACTGAAAGTGCAGGGCAAAAAAAAGCAGTACATGCAGTCCCCGGGTTAACGAAAGGTTAGGTTCCCGAGAACAATCCATAACCCTAATTTTTCCGTATGTCGGAAACTGAACAATTTCCCCCCAAAAATTAAGATGAATTCCATTTACTTAATCCTAGTGAATCTCGAGTGAGGCGTAAGGCAGCTGCCCGTCTTACACACTACTTGCGCTTACGCAACTAATGCAAAAATATTCCACATTTAATTTTTTTAACATGATTTATGGGAGCATTTCCGTAAGGTCGGATTTCCGTAAGTTGGGTCTTCTGCAACCCGGGGACTGTCTGTACTTTGAAGTTTAGCCATGTACATTCTCAATGTACTTTTGAAAAACGAGTTAATATAATTTCACAACATAAAAGCGTAAATCTATTAAGATTGAAATTTTGAGTGTGAATTTGATTTTAATTTGAAAGGTAGAATATTACACGGACTCCTCTTGCATTTCCCAAACAATTCACTGGGTTGTGCTGTTTGATCTTGACATGCCCAGCAATGGCAGCTGTACAAGCAGTGCTTGTCTTGAATATTTTTCAGGATGTGGTAATTACAGTGATAGGTAATTACTACTTATAGGCACAGAGGCTATTACTTAAATTACAGTGTTTTGGAAAATGTAATAAGGAGGCTATTCATTTCCATTAATCTTGATCAACCTGAAGTACAATTACAGATATAAATAACAGAATTATGTATTATGAAAATTACATTTATGCACACAAAAAAATATTAATATGGAGATGTGGTGGTGCGGTGATTACACACTGTCCTGTGAACCCAGAAAAACTAAGTTCTATTCCCAGCCTTGTCCAACATACGGTAGCGTTGAGAAATAGCTGTAATTAGTCCGAGGCCTCCCCTTCACCAACCCCCACTGACCAGCATGGTGAAGTGTAGACAAACAAGCCCGTGACCAACCCACCAGTCGGATGAAAAAAAGGACACTTATGCAGAGAAGTAATTTGGACAATGGCGACGTGTCGCAGCGGGGAACCGCCTTCGCCGCTCATTGCAGGGGTTTGTGGTTTCCGAACCGCAAGGCTGCTCTGGTTGGGATTACACGCAGCAACATTTCCCCGACTGTGAAGCGACTGTAGACTGTGCAACGCAGTGCCTTCGTGATGACCCTGAGCTATAAGTATGGCGTGTTTACTCAAATTTTAATCGCCGAGCCAGGCATTGATCCACCTTGTGCCGTACAGTGACAACTACCAAGAAGGGGAGCACATCGTCTGTGCGAGTTCATTTGCTAATTCATGACCCCCTTTGTTCCTCCCTTCCCTTGCAGGTGCTGGACAAGTACAACCCGCCTGACCACTTCCTGCCTGAGTCCTACACCTGCTTCTTCCTGCTCAAGCTTCCGCGTTACTCGTGCCGCCAGGTGCTGGAGGAGAAGCTCAAGTACGCCATCCACTTCTGCAAGTCCATCGACACGGATGACTACGCTCGCATCGCGCTCACGGGCGAGGTGCCGGCCGACGACGACAGCAGCGACGACACCGACAACGAGGAGGACGGCGAGTCCGTGGGCTCGGCCTCCACGCAGGACTACTCGGCGGGCCAGTAACCGGCGGCTGGCAGAAAGCCGCCCCGTCTTCATTCTGTTTGTGTTTTTTTTTACGCAGTTGTACAATAGACAGCGGCAGCAGCCGTGGGTTGTTCCCGTGACATCATTGTGCGAGGCCTAAGTCTTACGTTGCATTTAGCTGTGCGTTGTTTTGACGTTTTTGTCCCGGCCTGCACACGCTTCTTTATTTTTCCAGCTGATGGGAACTCTTGTCATTGGCTGGAGAAGGCATTAGCTTGTTTTTAACAAGCGTTTCGGCTGTGCCAATTCCTCTTATTGTGGAGGCCCCACTGGTTGGAGGGACAACTCTGTGTTTGTATGTGTGTGTATAACAGCACTAGGCACAGTCAAAAGCACTACGGCTGCAGAGTTACACTGCACTGATGATCCATAATATGAGTGAGACAAGTACAGTTGCCACGTTACTCTTGCCAGATTCAGAATGATCACGCAGCCTTCTAAGCCTGGTGGCTGCTCAGGCTGCCAGCCATGTAGGTACACTCCGAGGGGACGGGGGCGGACTTGTTACGTTATTGCATTGATGTGTTTTCCCAGGATGCTCTGCGCAAATGTCTTTCACCTCTGTGTGTCACGTGACATTTTTTCTTTACTCTGCACACACGTTTTTCCAACCGATGAATATAATATCAGGAGAGGGGGATGTTAAGATTGTTGGGCAGGCAGGCTGGGATAGTGGCCGTTTAGTCTAGCCATGCATGCCAACTAGGGTTGCCACCTGTCCGGGTTTTACCCAGACAGGCTGGGAATTGGCATCTGTCTTCTGGTGGCAGGAATTGATTTGTACTGAGATCTGGTATCAGTATTGATGTGTTAAACTTTATTAAAGTATCCAGCACGGTTTTGAAAGGCCGAGGCTGACCAATAAATATTTTTACGGGTTAAAGTAGGCAAACTGAAACCATGCGTCTCTACGCAGCATTGTCTGAGCAGTTCACTTGGGCCATATCGGCTTGAGGAACAGTTTTACTCATTGTGACGTTCATATCATCAGTTGTGTGCTCGGAGCCAGGTTCAACAACACCAAACGCTGATGTCAGGTGTGAACTCAAGGCCCACGCTTTTGTGGTGTCACACAGACAATACGTGTGTGTCATTTAAGTAGAACAACATCAACCCTGGGGTGGTGATGAAGCACTTGTGTTCAGTGTTGTCCGTGAGTTAGGAAATACCCCGTCAACTGAGAAAATAGTTTTTCTGTTTCTCTTATTCCGTTAAAACAAGAGTTGTAAAACTGACACAATATAAGTGTTCATTTCACTGGGTTGCATCCATATTTTAGTTTTTTCAAGCATTTGGAAATTTGCCATCCTAATGTCAGCCAATTAGGAATGCACTGCAGATATGAGCAGCTGACATCTGTAAAAGTTAAACAAAGCCTTTGTGGACTATGTTCTGTAGGCTACACACACTTTTGTGACAATGCATCAGCACTGCATACATTTAAAATAGTGTCATCAGCCATCAGAATGCATTTCATGCCAACGGATTATTCAATGAGGCTAGAGGAACATTTTAGAGGCTTGGAACTCAACACCAGGAGACTGGATTCCAGGCCGTGGCATGGGCAGTGACTGAGCTTAATTGCAGATCGGCTTATCCCCAGCGATGACCATGTGTGAGGTGTAGCAACAGCTCCATTTGTTGATCTCATCTTTCAGCTCCTTTTGCAAAACCATTCGATACATTTTCTATAACAGCACACATACACTGCTAGATCCTATTTAACGATAGTGCAAGACCCATATCCATATGGAACTGTAAATATGGTTTATCTTTATTTTCACCAAGGAAATCTATACCTGCTTAAACCATTTCATGTCAATGGCTGAATCTCTCCAATGTCCTGATGAGATAATTCATAAAAAATCAACATGGTCAGTCCATGAAAGTCATCTGAAGCCCATCACATTGTATGGAGCTGGCTTTAAAACTACAGATCCTATAAAAATGTGCTCATATTCCCTGGGCTTTCTAGTCGGGATATTTTTTTATGCTTATGTCTTCTGGTGTATGTTTTGTTATAAAAAAAAGTTATTGCTGCTGGCTTTGACACAACGTTTAATATATCGTTCCATTTCCCCACTGTAATGTGCACTTGTACTGTTTGAATGCATGTGGTGGTGTGTACGTGTCTGAATATCAATTCGCTGTACTTGAACCGAGATTGGTCATAGGTAGCTATTTGAATTAAAACCCAGAGTCTTTCCCTCGCTGGCCAAGTTTGTGCTGGAGGCCCCGGGGAGGAGAGGTGTCTATGATGCCTTCTGGCAAAACCCCATTTTAGCGGAGCCAGATTGTACCCCTCCGCTTGTTAGTTTTTTCAAGAAACACCAGGAACACACTGAGGTTGGCCACGTGGAATGTTCAAATTCTCACTGTGGAGGAGAGGCTTCCATTTCTCTGTTGGGAGCTGGACTGATACCGCTGATTCTGACTCCAGTCACCATGAGGGTTGGACAGTTCTCCACTTGGGGCAGGAAACTGCCAAACAACAGGGAGTGGCACTTGAGTAAAATAATGTCAGAGCATGGAGGCGACATGTGGGTCCCAGGATATTGTTGGCTCACCTCCCCATGAATGGGAGTAGAGTGATGGTGGTGGTTAATAGCTTATGCCCTCTCCGAAGATGAACATGAGTGGAGGGGTTCAGACAAGGCTGATGAGTGAGATGCCTTCTATGACCTTTCCCAAGCGCTGGCTAAAGTAGCCTCTCAGGATAGAGTTATCCTTTTGGGTGACTTTAATGCCTGAGTGAGTCATGATGCAGACGCCTGGTTTTGAGTGATTGGAAGGCATCGGCCAGATAAGCTCAATAACAACGGTCAGAGGTTGCTAGCCTTCTATGAAGCCTATGGGCTTGTAATCACCAACACGCTGTTCCGGCATCAGCCCATTCACACATCATGGATGCACGCCGGATCCAGAAAGAACATCTGCTGGACTAACATAGTTATGGACCAGCGAATACGGACCCATGTCCTTGACATGGAGCTGACCTTCCTACTGCCCATTGTCTTGTCATCTGTAAGATGCAGTTATCAGAATTTCACTGTGGTGGCAATCATCCATTCACCCACAATAGCCTGGTCTCGTCCAGCTGATTAAGATTGCAAGCAGGAAATTATTCATCACTTGCAACTAGGATTGGCACCTTTCCCTACCCCCCACCCCCTTCTAACGCCAAGGGGAAATGGTAGAGTTTTAAGACTGCGACTGCTTTGGCTGCATTGGGCATGTAGTCAAGAGCTCCCCAGAAACCCTGGCTCACGTATGAAGTGTTCTGGCTAGTAAGTAATTCGCAGGCCCACTCCCACCATCTACAAAATCCCACGTCTAAGAACGAGGAGGCTTATCACAGCATAGATTCGGAGAGCCGTGCAGTGCTGCAAGGATGAATGTTGGTCATGGGTTTCTGAGGAAATGGAAACTGCTTCATTAGCACGTGATAACAAATCACTTTATGACACCATTAAAAAGTCATTTGCAGTGTCACGCCTATCACCATCTTTCAGGGAAAGAATGGTAACCTGATCTCTGAACCCCAAGAACAGGTTCGCAGGTTTGCTCAGCATTGGAGTGAAGTTTTGGAGGAGGGGAAACCCCTCAGCTCAAACATCATAGGGCAAGGTGGGGTTGACCTTGCTGGTGCTGCTGTGCCTCAAATATTGAAGTAGCCACTCCTTGTGAGTGGTTGACTGATGTGCCATATTTTGAGTGTGCGAAGGGCAATCCAGTGCTTGAAACCAGGAAAGCGCCAGGGAGAGATGATCTCCCAAGCGAACTGCTGAGGGAGGGGTGGAGTTTTTGTGCAGACTGCCCTATATGACATCATTACAAATGTTTGGTCCACAGGATGGGTTCTGCAGGACTGGAAGGATGCCTAGGTGGTCGCCATAAAAAAAATGGGACCGCACTGATTGCACAAACTACCGGGACATCTCCCCCATTGTGTCGGGAATGGCCCTGGAAAGAATTACTCGACATTACCTTACCAGACATGTTGAGTAGAGGCTTGCGGAGCCCCAATGTGTTGTCATACCGGGGTGGTCCTGCACGCATGCCATATTCTCTGTCCTTATGCTACGGAAAAGGTGTAGAGAATCCATAATAGAGGTTTTTGGGTTAGATCGCGTAAATATATAAATGTGTCCTTAAAACCCGCCACCACCCGACACAGCTGATGAGTAAAGGTTGTAACGTAAACAGAACATGCCAATTCGTCACTAGTACAGCACACCACAAAATTTACAAACACAGTTCGTAAATATTGTGGCTTGGCTCTCCAACACACCGGTGTGCTGGACTAGTGACGAATTGGCATGTTCTGTTTACGTGACAACCCTTACTACTTGGCTGTTGGGTGGTTGCGGGTTTTAACGACATTTATGTATTTACGTGATCTAACCCAAAAACCTATTTTGGATGATATTGGTCGCGAAAGCCTACGTGTTAAACGGTGTAGAGAATGTCAACAGGACCTACATATCTGCTTTGTTAACCTGGTCAAGGCCTGACATACCATCAATATACCCCTCACAATAATTAAGAACCTTTTTTTATTAACCTGGTCAAGGCCTGACATACCATCAATATGCCCCTCACAATAATTAAGAACCTTCATAATGGTGGGCCGGTCTGGGTAAAGTTGCGTGGTTGAGTGTCGGAGCCATTTTATGTTCACCTTGGTGTGCAACAGGAATGTCCTCTTGCCCCCCTACACTATTTAACATCTTCTTTGACCACATAGTTCTAGAAGATTTCCATGGATGTACTGGTGGAATTTAAATCTGGTATAGATATAATCAGAGGCTGATCAGTGCCCAGGGGTGGTCAAGGGATGGCTCCTGATTTGTTAACCACATTCTGTATGCGGATGATCTGCTGATTGCTGCCCACCCTGAGAAGGAGTTGGAGGCACTTCTACTGAACCTGGAGCATGCTACTCAGAGATGGGGCCTTATCATCAGCCCTACAAAAACAAAGTACCTGCTTGGGTATTTTAAGTCATAAAGTGCTCCCCTCCCTCAACTCTCCTAATGGGGCAGTTGTGGAGAGAGTGGAGATGTTTCCGTACTTGGGCAGTGTGCTTATTACCAGCTCCGGTTTGGCAGCTGAGGTCTCACTGCGAATCAGTAGAGCAGCATGATATTTTAATTAACTGCGTAACGCTGTGTGGAACCTACCTGGTTTATTGCTCCATACAAAGCTCCGGGTCTTCTCGGCCACAGTTATGCCCACTCTTATCTATGCTTGCGATATGTGGAGCCCTCAAATAACATCTGCACCGGTTTGAAACATTCAGGCTGGCCTGCTACAATCCATCCTGGCTTTAACCAGACTGGATTGTGTGAGGAGCTCACAGATCGTTTAATATCTGGACTTTTCTGGCAAACGAGGCTGCGTTGGTAGGGTCATGTCACCCGGATGCCCAGCGACTGCATGCCCAAGCAGCTTCTGTTTGGCGAGATAGGTGGGGCTAAACGCGTGCGACACAGGCTTTAGAAGAGCCGGACTGATGTGCTATAGAAGGGTGTGGAGCTGATTGGAATTGCCCATAACTGGTACCAGCAGTGTTAAAATCGGCCTCTGTGGAGGAGGTTCGTGAAGGATGCTGTTGGGGAGTTGGAGGCAGTCGCCCATCAGCAACAACGGATGGCAGAGGAGCGATGCTCAAAACAACGAGCAGAGCGCCGGGCAGCTAAAATGAAGACAGTTGGCACAGTGGGGAGCACAGTTGGTGCATCTGCCAGTCATCTCAGTCAACCGATGGTACCTGGGTCTGTTCCGTGACCTTCCAGCAGGCTTTCGACACTTCACGTGGTCTCAAAGTACATCTCGCATGGCACAAGCGCCGTGGTGTGTCACGTCCACTTGGTGGTGAACGGCGGTTGTTGTTGTGTCTGTGAGTGCTCCACGCTGGTGCTGTAAAGATTATTCGATGTTAATAATGCCGTGATGTATCTGTTACAGAAGTTAAAATTACCATCTTAGGCTCTGTTTCACATGAGTGAGTAAGCTATGAGACGTGAACTTGCTGTTACTTTCTATATTAGTCATGTGACACAAAGTAATTCATTGCTGACATTAAATGTTCTGAATGGAAGTGAAATTGTCATTGCTTGCCTTTTTGTTCAGTCATGTTCGAAAAAGGGTTGTCGGTGTCAAAACAACGTTTGCAAACTAGTAGGAAGCATTGTCGCGCCATGTTAGTCCTTAGAGCTGGAATTACTTTAAATTATGTGAAACCAAGTACAATGTGAGGTCGTTGGTGAAGGGTGGAGACTATCGGTCTCAAATTCTAATTATCATCAGGCTATTGGATAGCTTCGTTCAGGACATAAACAAATTCCAAATTATGCCAAAATAGAATGTTGGAGATGGATTGTTAACCAATGGTTTTCATAAAATTTCGAAATTGCATCTGGCTATATCAGGTAGTTGGGGAATAAAATGCCTGTGTCCTTTTATAGCTGGGGTCATAATCTAGCAATGCACAACTCTGTACCACGCTACTAAGGATCATAAGCGCTGCTAGGTCTCGGCAAGGTAAGGTAATTTACCCTTTTTACCGGGTAAAAGGGTAAGGGTAAAGGTGTCGACATGCCAAGGAGTAAGGTAAAGGGTAGGGTAAAGGTAGCTCGGAAGAATTACCCGGTAGGGTAAAGGTAGCACGAAGTATTACCCGGTAAATACGGTGCCTTGTTTACCGCTAAAAGCTCCGTGGCGCAGTCCGTGGCCTCCATTTAATAAGTAATATAAAAACCTTTGTAAAAACACGCTTTAATGAAATGTACCGTACGAGTAATGGCAGAACTCCACGACTCCAGGAAGTGGCCCTGAAGCTTGCCACAACGTAAGGGGCCGTGGCCAATTACAGACGTCAGTTTACCGTGGACAATTAGACCCAAGCCGAAACATAATAAAATAATGTTTAAATATATTGTTATGATAGAATATAGTATTGTCATCAGTATGACATAAGTATACCAAGTTTGCAGTCGATTCCACATTGGGAAGTGGGTTAAAATTTAGTTACAAGATTTGAGGATACGACAACAGACAGTGAGTTAAAAGAAAG